CTCGTTACTGGTCTCCAGCCGGACATTGAGCCATTGACCACAACTCTTTGTGTGCGGCCATCCAGCCAGTTCTTTATCCACCCAGTGGTCCATCCATCAAATTGATGTCTCTCCAATTTAGAGACAAGGATGTTGTGTGGGACAGTGTCGAACGCTTTAGACAAGTCCAGGTAGATGCCATCAGCTGCTCTAACCCTGTCCATCAGTTCTGTAGCCCCATCATAGAAGGCCACCAAATTGTTCAGGCAGGATTTCCCCTTCGTGAAGCCCTGCTGGCTGTCACCAAGCACCTTGTTTTTCATGTGCCTTAGCATGCCTTCCAGGAGAATCTGCTCCAAGATTTTGCCAGGCCCAGAGGTGAGACTGACTGGTCTCTAATTCCCCGGGTCATCCATTTTCCCCTTCTTGAAAATGAGGGTTATATTTCCCTTTTTCCAGTCGTCGGGAACTTCACCTGACTGCCAGGATTTCTCAAATATGATGGCCATTGGCTTAACAACTTCATTCTCCAGCTCCTTCAGGACCCGTGGATGGATCTCATCAGGACCCATGGACTTGTGCACATTCAGATTTTTAAGATGGTCTCGAACCAGTTCCTCTCCTACAGTGGGCCCAAGGTCTTCGTTCAAACAGTCCCTGCATCTGCCTTCCAAGACTTGGGTGGTGTGGTCAGAGCCTTTGCCAGTGAAGACAGAAGCAAAGAAGTCATTAAGAAGCTCAGCTTTCTCCAAATCCTGTGTAGCCAGTTCTCCCAAGAGCTTCCTGAGGGGGCCTACATTCTCCCTAGTCTGGTTTTTATTTGCTATGTACCTATAGAATCCCTTCCTGTTATCTTTAATACCTCTAGCTAAGTTCAATTCTAACTGGGCCTTAGCTTTCCTAACCTGGTCCCTAGCTTCCTGGACAACATCCCTGTACTCTTCCCAGGCCCCCTGTCCTTGCTTCCACTTATTATAAGCCTCTTTTTTCATTTGAATTTTCCTCAGGAGCTCCTTATCCATCCAAGGAGGTCTCCTGGCCCTCCTGCTGTACTTCCTTCTGGTTGGGATGCAACACTCCTGAGCTTGCAGCAGGTGATCCTTGAACATCAACAAAGAGTCTTGGGCCCCCCTGCCTTCTAGGGCTGTATCCCATGGGAGCTTACTAAGCAGGTTCCTGAAGAGGCCAAAGTCTGCTCTCTTGAAGTGCAGGGCAGTGAGCTTGCTGCGTGCTCTTCTCACTGTCCTAAGGATCTCGAACTCGACCATCTCGTGATCGCTGCTTCCAAGGCTGCCCTGGAGCATCACATTTCCAAACGAGCCCTTCCCCATTGGTGAGCACGAGGTCAAGCACGGCACCTCTCCTTGTCAGCTCCTCTATTACTTGCAGAAGGAAGTTGTCTTCTACACAACCGAGAAACCTCCTGGATTGCTTGTGCTGGGCCGTACCGTCCTTCCAACAGATGTCAGGGTGATTGAAATCCCCCATGAGGACAAGGGCCTGAGAGCGTGAGGCTGTTCCTGTCTGTCTATGGAGGGCTTCATCCGCAGGTTCCCTTGATCTGTAACAGATCCCCACAGTAATGTCGCCCATATCTGTTCTCCCTTTAACCCTGACCCACAAACTCTCTGTTAACTGCTCACCTGTCCCCAGACACAGTTCCATACTCTCCAGCCTATCCCTAACATAAAGGGCAACCCCCCCTCCCTGCCTGCCTGGCCTGTCTTTTCTAAAGAGCCTTTAACCTTCTATTCCAACACTCCAGTCATAGGAGCCATCCCACCATGTTTCTGTGATGCCTGTTATATCATAGCACCGTAGATGTGCCCACATCTCTAATTCCTAATGGTACAGTGGGTAATACACAGATAGGAAGTCAGGGGACCTGCAGTCTTCACTTCTCTGGCACTGTCTGCTATCATTTGCCTCCCTTATTAAGAAAGTAAGCTTAGGGCAGGAAATTGTAACTTCATGTTAGCACAGTGTAATGGGGTCCTGACCCTAGTGGGGGCTCTGGGTGCCACTGAAATGGACACGTTAATAACAGTGGTGACCTGCTCTATATCCTGTTATTCCAGTATCCAGCTTCAGTTATGAGGAACAATTTATTCCAGGAAATCTGGTGGAAGTATCCATTAGAAAATACGGTTATAGTTTATTTTTGTTCCCTTTTAATTTCAGCTGTTTAAATATAAACATTTTTCAGAAAGAACAGGGTGCCCCTCAAGTACAGTAGTGCAGAGCTTTCCAAGTGTATGTAAAGATATTTGTATGGAACGGCCATCTGAACAGTTTTATGGGCTTCTGTGCTCAGAGGATTTCAGACCTTCTACGTGTCCATAAGGGAGAGAAGCAAAACTGAATTATAAATAAGCAATAGAGTCAGGAGCAGCAGAAGTCATCTGCTGCAAGTACAGCAATAGCTCACAGACCTCCTCCTGCCAGAATAGAAGTGTCCTTGCTTACAGCTGGTGGTGGTGAAGGTGGGAGTACCATAGTAGATATAGCATCTACAAGGAAAATACACCAGAATTGCAGGAAAACAATGGACTTTTGCAGTAACACTTCACTGCAAAGCTTTAGGAATCCAGGAGTTTACTGACACTGTCATATTATCAATTCCTAAGTGCTATTAGCTGAGACAACTTACAAATGGTTGGATTAGTAGCCTAAAGGACTTGTTGGCCTTTGCCAAGACAGATAGAAGGAGTTACATAGAAGATTCAAGGGAATCAGTCACCCCAGTGTGTAGGTGTCAGGATGGATAATAAGCCATTATTCTCCTTCTAGGACTGCAGTAGTGTACAATAGGATGAGAACTATCAAGTAGAAGTACACTGAGCACACATTGCCTGTAGTAATGCAACAGCCTGGCAAAATCAACCCAGTCAAGCAGATTAGAGGATGGAGTTGACAGGACATTCTTATGGGTGCTTTTCATGTGGCTAACAATTCATGAGTGTATTTGGATGGTACAGAAACTGACTGTGCTGTTAGTGGCAGAAAACCATTCTCCAGCGTCTATTATTTAGGGTCACAGGAGGAACTGTATCTCAAGTGAAGGATAATTTGAGTACTTCAGAATTTCACTTTAACAGACTTTTAGCCTTTTTCAAGGGAAAAAATATACCTATATTGTTTACTTTGTTGCATGATAGCGTTGGCCTGTATGATGCTCACCTCTTGGACAGATTTGCTCCAAGACTGTAAGAGATGTTGTCAAATAAAGATGGTAATATGGAACTGATATTTTATTTTCACACTCCAGAGTCCCATTAATGCATTTCAGATATGTGAGCACAGAAGGTACCTTAACTGAATGGGAAAATCAGACACAGCAGAGCAGGGATAAAAAAAGCTGAAAATTACATGTGTTTCCAACAGCCATCATTTTTGCTTGGTAAATAGTGTGCTTTGCTGTGGCAAACCAGATTAACAGCTTAGCTGTAGGAAAAATGGAGTCACACTTTTATCACTGCATGTGGTAGGTTTTTGTTTTGCATCTATTGTGTCCTTGTTTTCTGTGTACTCTTCAAGATATGATGGCAAGAGAATACAACACTTCATTGCAGTTCAGCTCCTCATCCCTGGAAGTCCATCAGCTAAGGCCCTGTTTAGAACATACCAGAAAGCCCTATATTTGGTTATATGATTTTATCATGGTCACCAGTGGGCTCATTCTTGCAGACAGAGATCTTTTAAAGCTTATACAGTTTAACATGTGGCAAATGGGCAAAAGAATAACCCAGTGAGGCTTTCTATTATCTCACCAACATAAGGACCTGATTGAATATTATCTCCCCAAGCACTGACTTAATGAACAGAAGTGATTCAGCTTTTCCTGAAGGTCAGCAACACTGAGCTGTTAGAAGAGCAAAACATTACAGTCTTCTGATGACAGCACTTTGTTCTCACTTTTGATTCCCTTTTTCTACTGTGTTTAAGCTGTAGAGGAAGACTTGGCTGACTCCAACAGCAAAAGTGAAGCCCAAGATTGTGACCTGGTGTAACGGGAATTCATTTAACTTCAGCAAATGCAATGGTGATGTCTTTAGGAGTAGCTAAATATCTCAGGAATATGATAAAGATGGGCTTATTTAGTCTTTAGAAGAGGCTCAACTTGAATCTTGTGGGGCTTTCTAAATCAAACTCAGTAGTTCAAGCTATATCTGGAAAAACTCTGTTCAGCAAGTAGTGAAATCAGCAGAGCTCAGGTATATAATGAGCACTACAGAAGTAGTCTTAGCAACAGGGAAGAAGGCAGCATCCTGCAAGGTCCTCAGTTGTTGCAGGAGCAAAAGACCCTTTAAGTCAGACAAAGGAGAAAAGGAGGAAGTGCTGCGTAAGCTCTGTACCTAAATACGTTTTATTTTTAGGTGTGTAGGCCTTACTCTGAAACAAGACCCCAAAATTCCAACTAGGAATGATGTTTTCTTGCCTGGGCTGCAGACCTCCTGCCAGAAATACATGAACTGATGTGGAGGGTGCTCTGTGCATTGGCTTAATGCTGGTTGCATGTAGAATTATAACCATGTATTTACAAAAGCCAGGCCTCTGGTATAGTGAGAAATACAAATGGGTTCTGATTTTAGAAGAAAATGAAAGGTTCTGTGAGTAGTACTATGGGATATGTTACTGCAAACTTCTACATCAGTATTTCGATGGGTAAGGATTGCACCTCCACTTAAGCTGTTTTGAGATGAAAATGATAACTGCTATTAATTCTCCTGCTTCTGGGTGTATGCTGAGTGCTTCAGACAAGTAAATTCCCCATTACAGTATAATGTAGAAAAATATTGGAGCCAGTTGCATTACACTGAGATTTTACACCCTATTACTGCTCTGAATTATTTGTCATCGGCTCTTATAAAGGCAGATTGGGTTAGCTGGACAATTGTCTATTGCAGTTTGATTGCAAATACGCTGTTAGGCTTTCAAATGAATATGTAAAATGGGTCATTGCACGACTTTTCTACAAATTCTCTTTTTATCTCCTCCTTCTTCTTCCTCCATCTTTTAAGGAGCTTCCACCCAGAATTCCAATGCAGTGGAACCAGAAAAACAAGTTGACAGCACGGTGAAAATGGCTGGAGTTATAGCTGGTCTGCTGATGTTTGTTATTATCCTCCTGGGAGCAATGCTTACCATCAAGAGAAGGTAAGTTTCTGCTTTGCTTCCATCTCAGACCTTCTGGCTACCGTGTTGTTACTAGAAAAGAAGAATAGATTTGGTAGAGGTAAAACATTCAGTTTGGGTTGCAGGGGGCAGCAGTTGATCACTGTTTACTACCACTAAGAAACAGTCCCAGGAGAGATGCCTGTTCTGTTGTATGAGCAACAAAAGAATGCCTGTTACTGCAAAGTGTTAATAATAATGAACTGATAATTAATGAGGAGGAATAGCCCGTGAAAAAGTATGGGGAAGTACAAAGTGACAGTGAGGCAATGGAAGTGGGCACATGAGCCTGTGCAGGTAGTGCTGCAGTGGTCCAGGAGAAGGCAAGAATTCTTCATTCACAGCCAAGGAAAATGATGTCTTAGGATAATGTGACCAAGAGTCTTTCTCCCAAGTGAGTCTTGATGAGATATTCTTTCACACAGCAATTGATTTGCAACCAGTTTTCAGCTGGAATATTGTATCTTGCTGAGGGTTAGAATCTTTCCAAGAGTTAGTTTTAGTTTACAGGGGAATGAAACTTAGAAAGATCATAAATGGTAATGAAATTTGTTCAGACAGTGCATTCTGTGTGATTTTCTTTGGACCATTTGAAGTAGACTATTGTAGTTGCTACTGAAGAGCTCCACATTTACAGTGTAATACACTGATTCAGCAAAGCAATTAGGCAAGAGGTTTTCCTGAGAAAAGGGTGCATTTTCTGTATATTTCACCAGTCTCATTTCTGAAGTGAAGCCTACTTCTCAACAGTAATTTGATTCTAAGTGAAACAGGAGCTAGGTGGCCTGGTGGACCCTCCTCTAGGGTACAGGTAACATTATGTGTGAGAGCCTTGATGATTTGACTTGATCTGTTGCAGGGATTGAAGCTTTTCAAAGCACAGCTGTGTTTCTTTGAGATCTCTGACAGTCACCCATTTCCCAGAAATAAGAGTAGCGGTTAAATCTAGATAGGATCTCCTCTATCATAACCCAGAGCACATGCAAATGGATAGCTCCATGCTACAGATGCTGGAGTGCAGGGCTGCTATTCAGAAGGACATTAGGAAGCTGGAGAAACGGGGTGATGGCAACCTTGTAGAGTTTAGCAAAGGCAAAGTACTGCATCTGGGATGGAGTAACTCCATGCATCAGTACAGTCATAGAAGGACCTGGAGATCTTGGGAGACAAGTTGAACAACAGTCAGCAATGTGCTCCTTGCAGCGCATTGCTGACTGTATCCAGGGCAGTGTTCAGCTGTATTCAGGGCAGTGTTAGCAAGAGTGTAGCTAGTAAGTTGGGGTGAGTGATTATTACCTTCTGTTTGCCACCGGTGAGGTTGATGTAGGCATAGGATGTCCATAAGGGATCCTCAGTACATGAAAGGCACTGATGTATTAGAGCAAGTCCAGAGGAGAGTTAACAAAGTGGAGTGGAGTTGGAGAATCTCCATCCTTGGTGAAACTAAACACGTGGCCAAGGCCCTGAGGGACTTGCTGCAAGTGAAACTGGTTTGAGCAGGACATTGGACCGCATGTCCTTTGAGTAACCTTTCCAAATGATGTAATCTACAAAACAGATGGCATATGGACTGACTACAGTGAATTCCTGTTGAATTAACTGAAGGTGAGGGAGAGCTAGATTTTTAATCCAATTGTGTGTGTGTGTGTAAAGGCTCCCCATTTTGTGGGCAAATGCATATGAGTTTTGTTCTCGTGTCTGGTGCACTTTGTTCAGTGTTAACCCAGGCTGGGTTAACAGATGTCTCTGATTCCAGTCCCCTGGGAGATTTTCAGTTCATAAGCAGAAAAAAATCAGATGCCTCTAATGAAAACCAGAGAAAGGGTTTCAGCAGACGTGGAGCTGGGTTTCTGGTTTGGTTAATGCCCAGCCCTCATCCAGTCCTCTTACCTTCCTAAAAGCTCTTCAAGAAAAGCTTTTGTTTTCAGATTGAAAAATGAAAAATTGAAGGAAAGCCATTAGAGCAATGCCACATCTGGTGTATTTCACAAGCTATTAAAAGCTGATAGCATTTCTGTCCCATCATGTATTATTATTATAAATCATGTATATTGCTGGGCAGAAAACAAACAGTGACTTTTCATGATGACCAGGACAGTTTTTCTGTGGTGTAACCTGCCACATGCTAAGTCAGAGAGGCAAGGATACTCTTATGAGGCAACGTACTTTAAAAAGTATTCATAAAGTCATAGAATCCTGGACTGGTATGAGTTGCAGAGGATCTTAAAGCTCATCTAGTCCTTGATCAGGGTAAGTGCTACTAAGCAACAGCTAAACCATCAGTGTATTACAGGCATCATTCTCAGACTAAAGCCAAAACACAGCACTGCACCAGGTACTGGGAAGAGAATTAATTCTATTCCAGGCAAAGCCAGGACAGCTTGATATAAAAATTCCCAAGCTAGAGTTGACTGAGTGCTATACACACGTTCTTCTTTGAAACCAGCCAGGTCCCAAAAGCTTCAATGTTGAGTCAGTTTGGGTGTGATGTCCCATGGACAGAATGTTATTATATCTAGCTTTGCCATAGGCTCTGTTAACCTGCGCATCTTCCTTCAAAATTAAATTAAGAAAGTGAGTGAGTTGGAAGTATTAGAAAAATAAATTCTCACCTTTTTCCTTCCAGAGCTGAAAACTTACCTTTTCCTCTGGGTCACTCCTTGCCAGAATGCAAAATCCCTGCAGCCTGTATTGCTCTTGGCCTGTTTGCTATCATTTGCAAGGTTACCCACTGAAATACAGACTATTATAAGAAATAATCTGGCTCATCGGCTTTAAAATCTTTTCCCATTTGGAAGCTATGAGTGCAGGAAGGTTGGGGAGCATTGCTGTCCTTGGCTGTGTGAGCATACCTAAACCAGCCCATCTCTCCAGTCCGGGTCTCCCTTGAACGGGCACCACCACTTGCATCCAGTTGAGTCTTAGAGCTGCATATGGACAAGTGGTCCCTGCAGATGAACTCCAGCCTGTCAGGCTCATTTCATTTGTAGACTAATGCAGATTGGGAGCAGCGTTTATAAAAATGAAAGGCCTCTGGACCACAGATTGGTTTGAATTTCAGAGGAGCGCAGCTGAAAGCTCACACTTGCCTGAAAGAGCAGTTTCACAGCAAAGTTCTCTTTCTATTTTACAAACAGAAACATCAGGAGCTTAAGCTCTTGCAATCGATTTTTACATTAACCTTACTTTAAAAAGAGTTCCCTGCTCAGTTCACCAAAGCTAAGGCAGGCAACAATACAGAAAAACAATGTAATTAGACAAAGGTGAGGCCTTTTCTTGAAATGGAGCTGGAAAATATCACAGTGACATTTGTTCATGGGCCGGGACATCATAGATCATGGGTAATAGGCACAGTAGTGGATTTCCTGAATGAAACCTTTTGTTAACCAGGCAAAGAACAGAGGAGGGAAAGGGACTAGAAGAGACAGAGCACTAAGAGAAGGCAGGCACTGGTTTGAGATTAGTACTAGATCAGAAACTGCCTTTTGTTTCTGTGAGATGCACCAAGTAATATGAGCCTTTCATATGCAAGACATGAGCAAGTGTTGCCCAGTTGCTCATAGCTTCAATAGACGATATTGCAAAACCTCTAATGACTTGCGAATTTCTGGGGGCTGCCAGTTTTTTATAGGGTTTAGTCAGATCTGGGAAGATAAATTAAGCCAGGCAGAATGTTTATGCAGTGGACAATTTGGTTTGACTTTACTTTTGTTATTACAAGTTTTAGTCTCTTGAAGTGAGCTAAAGTTTCTGTATGTGTGTGTCTGTGTACAAATTGTGTATAGAGAAAGTTCTGTTGTAAGTATGACTGCCTTACAGTCTCTAAAATCAAAACCATTAACATTTGTTTTCTTGGGTTTGGGAGTGCACTAGCTGCGTGTTTGCAATTCTGCTGTCATCATACGTAGACGGACACTAATTGTAACTGCATCGTTTAGCCTGTTAATGTACAAGTGGTACAGTGAGTGCCCACATGGGTGTATTTGCCCACGTAACTCAGCACCACTTTCATTAATAGATACATACCTGGAAATAACTCATTTTATTGTATCAAAACATTGCTGTTTCTCTAAGTAGCTTGTTTGTCCTTACTGTTAAATATTTTTATGTAATAGAATCCCAGCCTGGTTTGGTTTGGAAGGGACCTTAAAGCCCATCCAGTTCCAACCCCTGCCATGGGCAGGGACACCTTCCACTAGAGCAGCTTGCTCCAAGCCCCTGTGTCCAACCTGGCCTTGAGCACTGCCAGGGATGGGGCAGCCACAGCCTCTCAGGGCAATTGGGAAGACAGGACCAGTTAGTAATAGAGAATATAGGGCCAGTTAGTAAAAGCAAGCTGAAATAAGAGAAAAAGACATTTGTAAACTTCTTTTCTGGAGAAAATACCCTTTGACTCTGCCCCCCCCCCCCCCAAAGGATTAGATTTTGGTCAGTTCTGATTTCGGTCAGGCAGTTTGAACACTCGTGTCATCCTGACTTGCATTTCCCTGGAGTGAGGAGTGTGACACTTTTCAGGCTGGTGCGTTGAGCAGACAAAGCCTCTACTGACCCCTTTAAGGATAAGACTGAATAAATAGGATCAGACGGCCTGTCATGGGTGCACTGTATATAAGTTCTTTAAACTGCTGTTGGTAGCAAAAAAGGGAGATGTGGGGCTATGTAGGGTCTAGGATTAGTTCCTTCTATGAAAATCCAGCTCCTTATTCTGCATTAGGATTTAGGTTGTTACCTTAAACTCATGAAATAAAACCCCAAAGCCTCTTGAGCAGAACATACCCAAGCTGTAGGATAGAGTTAACAACAGGGGCATTTGCACAGTCAGTGATCCGTGTCCCTTCTGTGTCCATATTTCAGGTGGATGACAGGCAGGTTTGCAATTTGTGTGACACATCTTAAGTTCAGGGCATGTTTTTAGTGATCCGTAACTCTCACAGTTTTAAGTTAGTTTAGAAATATTCCTTAGGAATTCCTTATTTTAGGTCTCATTTTGGGGGAGAATTTGGGCCAAAATATCCTGTTCAATTCCAAAATATAATCCTCCTTTTGTTTGTCTTCCTTTATTTTCTGTCCTGCAATAAATCTTCCTGAGCTTTCCTCTGCAGCCTTGAGAGATTACACAGCTTTTTAATGAGAACTAAGAGTCTGTGATCACATGTGTCTGCTGGCCAGGACATGAGGCAAGCAGAAAGTACAGCAAGATGTTCAGCAGAGTAATTATAGTTGATAGTTGTGAGTGAAACCTGGTATTGGCTATCGGAGGGGTTGGTTTAATGGGATCAGTTGGGGGATGTAGAGGCTTCAGCTATGTGGCCTCTTCCTTTTCCACATCCTGTTGATTTTCCCCTTCATTTAGAGGTTCAGTGGAATTTCCCAGTGAGTGAAGCTCAAGTGGCAAGCACTGCATCTTACCTGATGGATTGCTATGGCATGGGTGTCAGGAGATAATAGCATTATGTTAAACATGCATTCAGATGGACCTTGTAATTGGTGTCATTTAAATAACTTGGTACATAGCAGGAATCTGGTCAGAATTTCAGGCTTATAGTAGGGGTCATCACCAGGAAAAACATGTTATTTCAGAGTAATCCTCTTGAACGTCTCTTAAGTGACCATCCTTTACCCAGTGTATGCACAGCAAGGAGGGCAATTGTGCACAGAGTAATTGTACTCAATCTGGATTTCGTGTGTGCTTATGCAAGCTGTGTTCAGAGCATCCATAAAGTGAACACTTGAACCTTGCTTTTGTACTTTCTGGTATTTGTAGTGTCTTCGAGGATGGGGTTTTAAAGCTGTGAAATTGGTTGAAGCTTGTATTTCAATATTGTTTCCCATCTTGACCATTACTGCTGTTTTTTCAGCTCTGAATCTGATAACATGTGCTAGGTCTGTTGTGAACCAGCCTTTTCAGAGAAGCCCTTTTCCAGCTATAAGAGGGAAGACATCACCTCTTAGGTTCTGATTGCTAAGGCTCATTTTGTGGCGCTGCTCAAAACCGTATCAGAATGTTCTGAAGTGCATTGTTGAAAACCTGTGATAGAAAAGGCTTAATCACAGTGACGCAAAAGCTAATGCATATCCAGTGCTCATCTATAAATATGTAGAGAAGCTTGAATTGTTAATGAACTATTTGCATTTTAGAGTTGGATGAAGCTTGATTTATCATTACACATTTTGTTCATTGTCTAAGTATTCCAGAAATCTGGTGTTCTTGCATGTCACTTTCCTGTTTCTTGTTATTTATATTAATAGCTTGTACATATTTCTTCCCACTCCAAAAATCTCAAAGCACTTTAGAGGCGAAGGTAAGTCTCATGACCTGTGTTACTGACATGGCAAACTTAAAGAGGTGAGGGGATTTTACTTGTGGTGACACAGGTCAATAGCAGAAGTGGAAATGCACCCTGCCTCCACTTCAGTATCCGTTGCTCACCCACGTAAAAGCTGCTGACAAAAAGAGTAGGGTAATAGTAGCTCAGTGCAGGAGGCAACACAAATTCTTTGTAGATTGAAAGGAATAATCCCAGTGTTCATATAAATCTAATTCTGTGTTTTTTCTTCTTTTTCTCCTTTTGGATACTTTGTTCATCTGACTGGCTGACGATATTTAGAAGAAATGCATATTCCTACTCCTACTACTTGTAAGTACTTGGCTGGGGTAATTCTGTGCTTTGTTGTATTCTTCTTTTTTTTTTTTTTGCCACTCCATTTATCCTTGTCTATCCAGCAGCCTCTGTTTTATTTTCTGTTTCCCTCTCTTTATGTTTTCCTTGGTTTACCATTGCACCTGTAACTGTGCCTGCAAACACAGATATGTCAGTTATGGTTGATAGTTATTCAAATGCTAATGGACAAATACAGTGTCCCAACTGCAGCTTTTTGTCATTCTCCTCTGTATTTAGCCAGGCTGCAGGGAAATGCCCACCAGAAAGTCACTGTTAAGAATTTCTCAGCCATGGATATAAGCTCTTTTAAAATGTAAGGTTTCAGACACACAGGACTTGCCATTAGCTCAGCAAACATCCCTGCTCCTGGAGTTTCCAGATTACAAATTCCAGCTTAGACGTGGATGATGAAGTGGTTCAGCTATTCAGACCCAAATCACCTGTCCAGTCCTAATGACAATGCTGCATAATTAAGGCAGTTGTTAAGGTTTGTGAAAAAGCTTCACACATCAGTTCTTCCAGAGCCATCTGTTCTCTAAAGATTGAGGGGCTGGAAAGTAATCAGGGCCAAGCTGTTTGTGCCAGGATAATAGCTGTCTGAGGATAAGGAGGAGGAGAGGACTGGATCAGTGATCTGAGGAAAGAGCCCTGGAGAACTGTGTTGGATGCCTTTGCTGTCACCAAGAGAGTTGGGAGGCATGGAGAAAGCAACTTCCTGCTGAGAGAAGCAGGTCACCCCTCTCCATCTTGCAGAATCCACAGCTGTATCACTGACCTAAACCTTGCCCCCCCCACAGCAGCAGCCTGCCAGACCTCCCAGGGCTCTGACATCAACAGTTGTCAAAGGGCCACATCTGCTGTGCTAGCCCTCCACCACCCCTGGCAACCTCCTCCTTTGCCTATTCCTACAGTTTGTCTTTGTCTTGATCTTGTGACTTTGTCCTGTGGACACAGCTGGAAGGTGTTTGCGGGTCAGTGAAATGAGTGCATTCAATAATGCACTAAATAATTTTAGTGGAAGTCGACTTCCACTTCCAACTCATCCATATGAGTTGATTTGCATACAAAGAGCAGGGCAATGGAGTTAAGTGTGAGGATCCCTTTGTGCCACCTGTTGGAGTGATTTTGCTTCTCAATGACCCATCAGAAAATAATTGAAAGAGGAACCTTCCCCACCTAAAGACACCGTAATGAGCATTGGCTTTCTCCAGTTGTAAATGCAGAGTAACTCTGTTTCCTCTAGACTTCTCACTGGTTCACCAAGAATGGAATTTGTCCTTGAGTAGTCACATTCCAAGAGAAGTTTAACCAAGTGTTAAAGTAGGAAACAGTCTTAACATAGGTGCTCCTAGCTGGTTGCATTTCTTGCTACAACCTTTTCTCTTCTGCACATTTCTCATGAACGTCAGGAAAGTGCCCTCTGCACTGATCTGCTGGTTTGGTTTCCTCACCAGTCAGCACCATTGCCTGAAAAAATGCAGACCTCAGTTTTCCATGGTAATTTTGTGTTCTTTCAGCAGCAGTGTGTGGTCAGGATGTTTCCTGCTTTATTTTACTTTGAGATGCGTGTATTTAAAAAGATGAATCAACTTCTGAGCCCTGTGTGACCCCTTTTGAACAGCTGCACAACAGCATTGCTTTAAACAGCTGAGAATTACTGTGCTTGAGAAGTAAGGGTATTATTAAGTCTCTTTGCTGTCTTGTAATGGCTTTGGTGGATCAATACACTAGAACTTTATTCTCAGGGAACTGGAGAATGACTCAGGAAAAGTGAAGAGACAGATCTCTGGAGGTCACCCCAGCCTGAGGTTGCAGTGAGCTTCAGCAGTAGCAGAAGCAAGTGGTTTAATAAGATTTAATAAGGCAGGCGTACACCATGCAGTATATCGTAGCAGAGACAAGCCAGAGGTATCATCAGGCAAGCTTGTCTTCATAGCAGCCCACTGAAGCACTCGATGGAGATTTGAGCTCAGGATGCAAAAATCATGTAACTGCATCTCCCTAGTACTGCGCCCAACATTGTTTGCAGGGAGCTCATTCTTAGCTCTGTGCTTGTGGTGTCCCAAGTGCCTCATCAAGCATGAGCTCTGCTAGCTGGAGTATATTTGTGGTAGAGGTAACACGTAAGTAGTCATCACACAGTAAATACTTCTATCATCAGGCTATGCCTTGGGTGACATGGTTTAGTGTGAGGTGTCCCTGCCTATGGCAGTGGGGTTGGAACTAGATGATCTGAAGGTCCTCTTCAACCCTAACTATTCTATGATTCTATGATCCTATGTATGTCAGCATTTGGTTTCAGATTGACAATTTGCTTATTCCCTGATCTCGGAAAACCAAGCTCTGCTTGTGGTTTCTTTTTTCCCTTAACAATGGGGGGATGCTCCAGTAGTGAGAGAAGAAAGGAGTAGAATCCATAAAGGAGCACATGATAAAGTTTTATTGCGTGTCATCTTTCAAGTTTCACATGAAATTGGACATTTCATTATGATTGCAGATGAAAATCTGAAATTGCAAAGGACTGTGTAATTCTTAGCCAAAGCTGATAGAAATTGCAGCAGCCTCCTATGAGCAAGAGGTTTGATTTAAGTTTATTTGAGAAGCTGTGAAAATAAGAGCAGCAGAATGTATATGTATTTCCAATAGAATTGATTTTGGTGTTATGACCTTGTATGAATGTTTTAGTCCTGAAGCCCAATTCGGTTGAATGAGTTGCCAGTAGGTTCTTGGATGGATCTGCTGGCAGACATTTAAATAAGATCACGTGGACTACATCACTGTAGTTTTAGTTTCAGTTTCTGGACTTCAAAGTTGTGCTTCTTGGAGTAATTTTTATCTGCTTTCAGGTAATTCTCAGCCCTATGTCATCTGGCATTTCATCTTGTTAGGGAGCAAAATCTCCAACCCAAACTCTTCTAAAGAGGTCTTAATGATAAGCCTGCGAAAGTCACAGAGCCTTACATCAGGAGTAACTGTTTTTTACAGAGAGAGGCCATAAGTGTTGTGGTAATCTCTAGACTGGAGTTCTGCCTTCAGCCTGTCCTGTGTTCTGCTACAATCCAGGACCACAAAGCCTGATTCTGTAAGATGGTTGAGGTGAGCTCAGCTTGGGTGAGACCAACCAAAAATACTGATTCATAAGAGCAGCTCTTTTAGCTATTTTGTGTGTACATAGTTATGGGTAAATAGTTATTATGGGGGTTCTGTATAGCAATACTTCATAAAAAACTTCCTACAACATATAGGAAAGGATATTATGGTTGAAAGAGAAGGTCATAAAGATCTTTAACATGCTTCAAGTGGAAATACAAACCCAGAAGGCCTCTATTCCTAACTAAGTCATTGTGCAGGATTGACACAGTTTTGTGTACTTCCATTTACCCATCATTAAAAGCTAGTTGCTTATGATATGAGATCTTTGAACAGAACTCAAGTTTGTGATGGGAAGAACTGGATGTGGAATCCTGAGTTCCTGTCCCGGTGCACTCAGCACATTGCTGTTGCCAGGGCGATGTATGAACCTTTTCAGAGGAGTTACTCTGTATTTACACCCATGCAGATGTCATCAAAGGTTTGTTGTACAAAGTTACTAGCTCTGTCACACTGCACTGCAGTTTAATAGGTGATGAGCTACGATGTGCGGTGTCAGACAGCAGCCCATCCACGGGTGGAAGCTGCAGTTTCTTTTCCTGGCTGGAGCCACAGACAGCAGTTCATCTGCTTTGAAGGAGGCTTTACAAACGCCTCTTCTGAGCAGTGTTTTCGACTGCAGCAGCCCATATCAAGGCTTTATTAAATCCTCACCAGGAAAAGGAATGGAAATGCTGTTGTGAATGGAAATGTTGGTTTAGTTTGTTTTGGTTTTTTTTCTCCTGGGCTGCATAATGTTTGTGGAATGAAATGGAATCAAGGCTGTTATCAGGCCAGAGACGTATTTCTGGAAATACATAGCTTCGCATATGTGCTACAAGCACTCAGGGTAGTGTTATTTGTAAGGAAAGGTCACTCCGTGGCCAGTATGTTGTTTCCCTCTTCCCTGAGTGGCCAGAGTACCAAGGCCATTGCAGTGTAGGAAGCCCCTATAACTCCCATCACAATTCCATACCGTTTTTAGTTGTGGTGGTGGTGTCAGCCAGGAGTTTCTTTCCACCAGAGAGGCTCTGTCAGAGGTATTAAGCTAAATTTACACTTGCCATTTCTGAAATAACAGAGTTTGTGCTGAATTTATTTCCACCCTTTGTGGGCCATTTGAAAAGAAATAAAGCATTGATTATTTATAGGCAAAACTGTATAACCACAGACATACATAAATACCTCCATATATTTCCATGGATGGGGGATTTGCCTGCACAGGTCAGCTTGCTAAATCAGAATGTTAAGAAGAAACTGGTTTCTTGTTAGATGCAGGAAAACCAGAACCATGAATCACCAGTTCTGCCAGTCTAGTGAAAGCAACTAAAAGAAAGTATAATTAAACTCCAGAAAGTGAGATTTATTTAGAACATCTGTGTGGTGATTGCAAGCCTACACTTTGCAGAGGACAGTGTTTGCTGGCTGTACCAGCATCTGCTTAGTCTGTATGGCTCTTATATGTGTCTTTCTTGTCTAAGGTTTATGTAGTTATAGGTAAATGATAAGTAAAGCTTCAGGAGTGCAGCCCTACATTTTTCAAGACCCTGTGTTTGTATACACAGAGTGTAAAATACTGACGGCATCTTATATCTACACTAGGTCCCTTCCTTGTGTCAGGTAATGTTTGCTTTGCAAGTAAAAAGTGATGCCGCTGGGCCTCACTCTTCACCTTTACTCTAGGGAATTCCTTCTTCTCCTGCAATGACTTGCACTGAGCTTGGCTTCACCATGGCAGCTGCTAAAACAGTGCAAGTAAAGTTGTCATTATATGTGCCTGTAAGTGGAGGATTTGCCCTTAGAGTGGCTATAAGAAGCAGTAAGCTGCCAATATGCTTAGGCTAGAGAGTATTTGAAGACAGGCTGATAGAGCTGGGCTGGGTCAGCCTGGAGAAGAGAAGGCTCCTTAAGGGGAGACCTTAGAGCAGCTCCAGTGCCTAAAGGGGCTGCAGGAAACCTGGAGAGGGGCTTGGGACAAGGGATGTAGGGACAGGCCAAGGGGAATGGCTTGAACCTGCCAGAGGGGAGACTGAGATGAGCTCTTAGGCAGAAGCTCTTCCCTGTGAGGGTGCTGAGGCGCTGGCCCAGGGTGCCCAGAGAAGCTGTGGCTGCCCCATCCCTGGCAGTGTTCAAGGGCAGGTTGGACACAGGGGCTTGAAGCAAGCTGCTCTAGTGGAAGGTGTCCCTGCCCTTCCTTACAGTCTGCACAAAGGGAGCCTGGGTTGAGCTGCAGTTTCAAGCAGGACCATCAAAGCATGGGCAGGAGATACCCACATGTCAGGCTCCCAGAAGGCTGCACTGCTTTAACTCTCCTTCCTCTCGCTCTCTGGTTAAAGAGCTCCAGTTGCCAATGTTGCTCAGCCTGCCTGCATGGTCGGCTGGAGATGGGCAGCCTCCAATGCACAGAGTTTAACATGAATTGCACATCCATGGCTTAGCCCTATTGCTTTTTCCTAGCCCCTGTAGGCAGGCAGAACAGCTTCCTCATGTGGAGTCTTTTCATATGTTTGAAGACCTATCAGCTCTGTTTGATTTTCTTTTCTCTGCATTAAAGATCCATATTTCCTTTGGCCTTTGCTTGTAGGTTATGGTTTCTAGATTTACCTTCCTTGTTCATGTCCCCTTGGCAAACGTCTTATTTGATGTGCAGTATTGCAGCAGAGGCCTTAGGGATTCTCAGCACGAGCAGGAGGATTACATGTGGTTTGCAGACCCTATTGCCGTGTATAATCCCTCCCTTATTTTTTACACCAGCATGAAACTGTTCTTTCAAATTAAGTTTGTGATCTACTACAGGTTTAGGGGGCAGAGAACTGCTATTTAACCAGTGCTGGGTGTTTGTGCGGCTGGTCGCTGCCTGCCTGAAATTTGTGCAGATTTCATCCTAACTAATATGTATACTCCTAGCAGGCTGCTGCACACAAATATCTAAAAGGAATTGTGTTCTGTAGCTTTCTTAAATTGCTTATAGAAAATGAGGGCAATATGCAATTCTTCTCTGTAGGAGGAAATTTCATGTTTAACTTAGGTGATCTATACCTAATGTCTCAATTACCTGTGCATGCAAATCCACATTATAGTGTATGTAATCCAGCCCTGTGAGACATCTAAAATTAAATCTGTCAACGTACATGTAGAGGAGCTCTTTAGGAGTGGCTGATACAGTTTTAACATTCATGCATGTAAAACTGATATAAAAAGAGTTTGAAGCTGCTTTAGGAAAGTAATCCCTAACATTTATCCAAAAACTCTGCAAAATGGGGACCTCATCATATAGTAGAAGTTTCAAAAAGAGCTGAATCAAATCTCCATCTTTATTTTGTTTTTACCAAATTCACACTTAGTTGAGGTTCAGTGCCAGTAACTTTTATCTGTGCTTCAGCTGGGTCAGCGTCAACTGCCTGATGATACAGCTGGCTTCACAGTTTTATTCTACTTTGAGCATCTTTCTGTCTCATTCCTCCTGTGTGTGTATAGTGCATTCATTTACAAACCCCGTGGAACTGAAAAGGGCAATCCAGTAAACCCCATCCCTGGATTCCCATTTTCTTCTTGTCACATGTTCCTTACACTTAAATGTAAATCAGCCATTAATATCACCTTGTTGAGTTTGCCATTTCACCCTGTGTTTATTGTATCAGAATCTTCTTCCAAATATCTGCCTGGTCCTTCAGTTCTTCCCCTTTTCAGCTGTATAATGCATGAGATGGGAAGTGTCCCTGTGCCTGGTGTCAGAGTGTGCTGGGTGCATGCTGGTGGCAGCCTGCAGCCCACCCATGGCTGACACCCATGCACTGATTGACACGCATGCACTGATTGCAGTTTCATCCGGGTCTGCAGTTGTGTCTGGGGGAGGCTGGTCAGTCAGGAGAGCAGGAGCTGTGGCACCAATGCAGCTGGTCAGTGAGTCACAAAGATCTCTTGAAGTGCCCTATTTTGGGAAACAGAATTTCTGGATAAATGCTTTTCCAATTTGAAGGCATTTTGACATGCTGTGAAATAAACCTCTACCTAACTGTGGGTTTAAGTCGCATCCCTAACATTCTAGAAAATGCTAGTCATTCGATTTTATAATCCCTTCTATGAATTACAATGATGGTAAGGCCCAAATAGGCTTAGTCCTGTGCTGCCACTCCATCCAGACACGTCACGGAGGCAGAAAAGGCACATTTAGAAACCAAGAGCCCCTTGATGTGTCTGGCAAGCTTAGCGCTGAAATCCTCAAAAGAGATCTGTCTGCCTCTTCCCTCTAAATTTAGATGAAGAGTTTTTAAATTCCTGCACTAGAGAGGGAGAAAGGTGGAACCTGATAACGTGCTGCGGAAAGAGCGCAGCAGCCTTTTCAGGCGCAGCAGGATTTCCTGTGCGGCTTCCCTCTGAGCGCGGGTGAGCGGGAGCTGGTCCCCCCTGCGCAGAGGCGGCCGGTTTGTGTGTGCGAGTTAGCGTGAGAACTTGAAACTCATGTCACCTTTTCTTTTTAGGCATTCAAGCCAATGTTTTAGGGGCCTCTCTGTCTTCTACAGGACCAGGTAGAACTGCTTTGCATAGGGCTTTTGTAAGCAGGCCTGTGGGGACTAATGGGCTTGGGTTTGGGGTTATTTTGTCCTGCCTAGCACATGCAGAAATGTTATTGTTCGTTCATTGAAAGAGAAAAAGAGTTTGCCAATTCCAGCTTTTTGTAGCTTATGGCGTTTCTGAGAAGATACCAGGCAATGGGACTTAGAGATAATTATTGCCACAAACAATTTAATCGGGATTTAATAAGGACTTCACCCTTTTTGACTCACCTTTTTTAACCAGCAGTCATGGCTGGCTGTAATGGCTCACCCCAGCAGTCCAGAGTGCTTGTTATTAAGGACTTGTGCATTTTGGATTAGTGTTTCCCACTGAGAGATTTTAATTCCTGTTGCCAAAGAAGTCACATAGGCATGTATGACTAGCAAATCTAAAGGATTAAAGTAAGCACACAGCAGGGTTAATACACTTCAAGACTATTGTTGTTAACCACAGCCCAAAAAAAAGAGGGGCTCCCATGTCTGTAGCTCGTCGTTAATAAATCTGGCTGTGCTAAAACATTGCCGAACATTGGAAGCAAAGCTTTTAACATCATTAAATGCCAGCTTTTTGCTTCATCACTCAAGGATGGTCCCCCTGTTTGTATCTTCATCTACAGAAGTGGATACACCATGGAGATTTAGTGAGATCTAAATATGCACCCTGTAATTATGTGCCCAGTTTGAGTAGCTACAGGTTTGAGTTGAAACCACTTAGCTGTAAAAGGCTGAACCTCAACTGGTTGAGCAGATGAAGCAGATGTATTTGTTCAAAAGTCTGCAGCAACCATTGAACGTTTCTCCATGGACCTGTGCTCACCTGCTCTGGATGCTCAGCTTTCTTTGAAAGAGGGATTTCCCACAGGCACAAAGGTTTTAGTTCTCTTTGACCCTTCTCTGCAAATGAGTGTAACTGGCCTCAAGAAGGGCTGGAGTGCAACTGTGTGCTTGAACTTGCTTGGAAATGCCACTCTGACATGTATTTTGAGTAAAGCAAGCCTGGTTGAATATGTTGCAAGGAAAATCTTTATCAGAATCTCCTGCAGTTTAAACGACGGGTAGTACTTTCCATGAGCATGTAAATTTAGTGAAGAAAAACCTCTTTGCAAAATGATTTTGTTGTCAGGATTTTTTTTTTTCTTGGAGTTAAAAAAAGGAAACTGAAGCTCCTTCTTACAGAAATCTCTTTTTTCTCACTTTTGTTTTGTTTTATTTTCTTATCTACGGAAGTCGTGTAAGCAAAGTGCTTTGCTGGTACTGGGGATTTGTGTGGTTTCCTCAAGGTGTTATTGCAGAATGTCACACATTCATTTTTAAAGAGTTCTGCTTTCTTATATGAATGAAGCACGGGGCAGTCAAATGTCAGTGGAAGCTCAGCAGCTCACTCTTCCTGCTTCTCTCCATTTTCCTATTATTAGCTATGTTTGCATAAGAGGAGCCTCTGACACTCTTGGCTTTGGTTGTGTTTTCAGAGCATGCAGTGCTGCTGCTTTTGCCAGTGGTTTTGATGGCTCCTCAAAATAAGAAAAGACCAAATGTTCCCAGAACAGAGACATATTTGGCCATTTCTAAAATATCTTCACCCTTTTCTTTTGCCCCACATTTCACTGACTGTTGATCCTCAGTGCAGTGTGGGTCCGTGTCAGAATTCCATAGAGGCTGCTGTCCTGTAGGCAGAGCTCCTGCTCCAGCTTCCAGTTTACACAGGCTCAAGTCACACTTACCACCGCAGCACACAAAGGCGATCCCAGGTCGAGGCACCTCCATGGGATGGATGCAGATGTCCCATTTACCTCCCAGTGAGCGGTTCTGATCCCATGCCCTCTGCTCCTCCTGGAGCGGCTGACACCCATCCAGGACTTCACCTCTGCCACCCTCTTCAAGGGTGACTTTAGCACTCCTACTGCTGGGGTGATGCAGGTTTGTGCAAGATAAGCCCCTGGGAGGGACAGCTAAGATCAAAGACTGGTATCATTCTATTTACTGTGCACCACAAAACTTATATGAGAAAGTTGTGGGTTTTCCTCTTGTGCAGTTTGTCACAATGCCCTGCATGTCTGACCAAGTAGGATAATCATGATTTTCAAAGTACTTTGTCATTGCTTTGTTTTTAATGAGGGAAAACTGACCTTGATTTCTCCCCTCTTCAAAATACCCTAAAGGAAGCTAGCCAAGAAGCAGAAGGAGACTCAGACCAGCACGCAGAGGGAGATGGGTCCCATGGCTACTTCCGACAAGACCTGTACCAAACTCAGTGCTGTTCACAATGAAGAAGCTTTCTCTTCCAGCTGCCAAGATGTTAATGGATTCAGTAAGTTTAACTTGCTTGCAATGGATATGTCCCCCTTGGAGAGCTCTAGGTTCTTAAAAGAACCTATTCCTATGGGCACAATATTGAGGAGCTAGGAATGACAGTGACAGAGATCGTTGCAAATGCTGGGTAGAAATCAGTTGTCTGAAATGTCTCTGACACTGCCCCTGTTTTAACTGTCAGAGCATTCCTTCTAAGAATAATTTATATGGGCTGTTCTAATAACTCCATCAGGCAGACAAAAAGGCACATGTTTATGTGCTCTTCAGAAATATTTTTTCCTTTGTGAGTAGAAGAGTCGAATCAAATCACTGGGCTGACTTGTAGGATGAGAAAACATCTTTTGTATGAAATTGTTATGACAGAAAGCGTGGTCTCCTGGTTAGAGATCTGGAATGGAAAGAGCATTTCTTTTGTCTGAATGAACCTGTCCTCAGTTCATTCTTCACATGGGTTCAGTATAACTAAACTTAGTTAATATTTGTAAACCAAGTAGCTGGAAGAGTTTTGTGGGTAAAGCAATGTGAAGTCATACTTTAGCCTCACTAGATGCAGATTGAGTGCATGGTGGCTTGCATGGTGGCTGTGTAACTGCTGTCATATGAAATAAATTTCAACTTAGACACTGTGGGAATGTCACTTCTTCTTTTGACACTTGGCCTGCTACAGTCTGAACAGGGAACAGCTCTGAAACACAACTATGTGCTAAACCCCTTTTGTCTTTCTTAAACATCTTTAGTAAAGAGGCTTTTTTCCCCCTAATTACTAACATGGAAGTGGTACAAATGTGGTTTATCATTGAAACCTTTCTTTGTCATCTCAGAGTGAGTGGGACAGGCTGAGTGAATTCTTTTCCCTGTAGGTCATGGCAGATGCCATCTGCATGTGTTGCTGCTGTCCCTCTGTGTAACATCCCTGTGAGATGGATAGATAGGTGTCGGGGGCTGTCAGGGCTAGCAGTGAACACTTCTCTCTGATACTAAATTGACATGAATCAAGATCTAATTTTCTCAGGTGCTGAGTAGCTCTATCTCCTAAAGAGACAGTAAGAGTTGTCAGTGGTTCATCTCTTTGAAGGACAGGATAGCAGAGGACAGCATTGTAGCAACCTAGAAACAGCAAGGTACTTTGTCTAAGGTGTATGGGGGAAAGGAAGTTTTAAACACTTTCTGCAGTATCTGGATTTTTACAAGTTTGAGGAGTTGTTTCCACCCAGAAAATAAGAGAGAAGAGATGAGCTGGAAATGTGACCTCTTTTTTTTTCCCCACCCCCTTGGTATTTTGGGAGCCTAATTAAACCAGCTGAATCATTTACTTGAAATGGCAACGATGGAAAATATGTTGTATCTAATTCTGTAAAAAAGCATCCGTCCAGGTTTTCTTTTTTTAAATCAGTTAGCCCTTTGCTTGTCTGACATCACTGCAGGTTTTAGCACCACCTCTCTCTGTAGCACAGCCTGAGTCAAGTCACAAGCCCATGCTTTTTTTGTTTTCCTTATTATATCCATGAGGAACAATTACCATTAAGCCTTCCCGATTTCTCCAGATATTTCACTGGCAGGTCCAGGGTACCGAGGTGTTGGAGGCAAGTTCTGGTCTCTGCAGTACTGTGCACGTGCTCATGCAGGAATTTAATGGGTAAAAGACTTCGTCTTAAAAAAAAAAATGCCTTAATAGAGTTTAATACTTAAAGGCTTCTGTGGAGGCCTGTTCCAACTTTTGAATAGCAGGATAGGATTACTTCTTAACCTGCCTGCTAACTAAGGCAGTTTTACAGGGGTTATCCATCCTGGCTTTTGAAATCAGCTGTTGAAGCAGTAAATTGTCCTTTTGCCTCCCAACAGTAAATAGCATTTGCAGATATCATGATGGGTAGTTACCCTCTCCATAGAATCACAGAATCATAGAATGGTTTGGGCTGGGAAGGACCTTAAGATCATCCAGCTCCAACCCTGCCACAGGCAGGGACCCCTTCCACTCGAGCAGCTTGCTCCAAGCCCCTGTGTCCAACCTGCCCTTGAGCACTGCCAGGGATGGGGCAGCCACAGCTTCTCTGGGCACCCTGTGCCAGCGCCTCAGCACCCTCACAGGGAAGAGCTTCTTCCTTATAGTTAACCTGAACTTTCCTGTTTCAGTTTAAACCCATCACCCCTTGCCCTACTGCTACATTTCTTGATGAAGAGTATCTTGCCCCTCAGTTATGGGAGCCCCAGTTGGTCGGAGCAGTGACAGGGAAATACCCCTCTCCTCTTTGAGGAAGGCCCAAGAAGAGAAGCTGAGTGCTTTAAATCCCAAGGTCACCTTGCCAGCTCACAACAGCAAATGGAACAAGAACAACTTTTTAAGTAGGATGCCTCACAATTCCTGAATGACTTGCAAGCAAGGTTATCTCCAGATGACAGTGTCTTTGCAGGGCATGTGTCCTTCCCTCCAGCTTTTCCTTCCTCTCCCAATAATTTTCAATACTTTTCCAACAGGAAAAAAATCAATGGGTTCCCTATGGAAGCCTTTTTCTTCCCATAGTGTCTCCAGCTTGGCCACTGGTCAGCTCCTGCTGCCACTATTGCTGTTCCTGGGTGACCCCTCTCTGCCCTTCTGCTGCACCCGCCCTGTTTGCTGCCTTTCTCTTACCCCATAGGGAGCTTCCAGCTGATGGTCAGTCTCAGTGCCTTAAGGGAAAACACGTATATTTTCAATATTAAACTGATGCAGATGACATCTGGAAGATGTGTAGGCTCTGTGCTGAACAGGGAGACCTCAGGTCTTGCTGAAAAGTGGGAGAGAACTGGGCATTTATCTTTGCTGGCCCAAAGCAAAGCTCCTCTTCCCTCCTTCCATTCTACACTGTTAGTCATTATTCAGGCCAAATTCTTACTGGTTCATACAGGAGTTTAAACTGAAGAGATTTTTGGACTCAGCCTCTGTCTCTGACACCATATGGCATCAGGAAAAGGTGTTTGCGGAGAGATAGACGGGTTTGTGGCAATTCCAGCTTGTCTGGTTTTACCCCAGGGATTGTGTGAAGGTGAAGCAGGCTCATCACAGTTGTTAATTTTTTTCAAATATCTTGCTTTTTTAAAAATAGAAGTCTGTCCTAAATCCATTGAAGTTAAATGATGGGACTTGCAGTGTTGGAGCATGCTCCTGTTACAGGCATGTTTGGAAAGCAGCATCGTGTTCCTCCAGGTACTGCACACTCATGGAGGCATTGCCTTCATGCAGGGTTATTATGAAACAAGATGACAAATTTGAGACAAGGTGAGCCTAAAATTATCCAGCAGTATCTGTGCACAGACCAGAAGAGCGTGAGGGGATGTTATTGCACATAAATTGTGTGCAGTTTGGCACTCCATCTGTATGATGGGAGAAGCAGTAGTGTATTGTCTCAGCAGAGATGCACAAAGGAGCTGCTCTTCTGGCTTTACTCTGCTGAAATGGCATGGATCAGGCTTATCCAGGAGAATTCCAGGTCACCAGCATAGCCATCCTGACATGCTGGGAGGGTTCAGGCAGGATCTGTTTGATTCTGAGCATCCGGAGAGAGACTTTGGACAAGGGCCTGTAGGGACAGGCCAAGGGGAATGGCTTGAACCTGCCAGAGGGGAGACTGAGCTGAGCTCTTAGGCAGAAGCTCTTCCCTGGGAGGGTGCTGAGGCGCTGGCACAGGGTGCCCAGAGAAGCTGTGGCTGCCCCATCCCTGGCAGTGTTCAAGGGCAGGTTGGACACAGGGGCTTGGAGCAAGCTGCTCTAGTGGAAGGGGTCCCTGCCCGTGGTGCGGGGTTGGAACTGGATGAGCTTTAAGGTCCCTTCCAACACAAACCAGTCTGGGATTCTGTTATTTAATATCTTAAAATGCAGCCAGTTTTGCCAAAGGCTGATTTATCAGGGTGTGCTTAACTTCTGTGACATGCCAGTTTGGGAGGCTGGCTTTCCAGACAACCTTCTGGAGTGACACTGATGCAGGTTAGCTAGGTGGGGTCAATGTGACAGGCAGAAGTACAGTTTGAAGGCAACATTTTGGAAGCTTAGGGAGCTGAGTTTTGCATTAGTGGAACTAGTGTACAGCGACCAAGTTAGCGTGCTTTTACTAGGAAGAACAAGGAGATGAGAAAGATGTAGTGAGTGGCACTCGGGGTATTAAGGATCATATTTAATAAGAAACATGTAAACTCACACATTTCCATATCCTGCATGTTTTTATGATGAATGAAATACAAGGGTATTTAGATTTACTCTGTGTCACAATAGTCGGTTACATCATGATCTAGTTCTTGTTCCTACCTCCTAGATAATTTTAGGTTACCTGCTAAATACAGACTTGTGGAATCATGACCATCATGCTTTCTTTAGTGAAAAGTTCTAAAATCAAATTTAAAATAAAGTCAGATTTCATCAAAGGCATAAAAGGAAAAAAACATTAAATCCCTTTTACTGGTTTTCACGCTGGTTTGGGATTTTTGTGGGATTTGCTAGTTCAGAAAAATCTTATCAAAAGCAAGGGAGAATCATTTCCAGAAGAGGAAGGAGCCCCCACCATTCTGCATGGCCAGAGGGGTCTGTGTGGCCTCACCTGCCACCGCAGGGAGCTCGGAGAGAGCTTTTAATGAAGCCTTAATCTCTACCCTTACATGGGGCCCTCTCTGGAAGTGTTTCCTGTCAGTGCACATACTGGTGCTTGTAAGAACCTCTGTTTAGGAAGCAGCACTGTGCACACATCTCTCATTACACAAGCCCCTAGCTGGTGAGATTTGGGGAATAAGCTCTGCAGAGTTGTGGGAAACATGGGTTTTTGGTGGGTTGGTTTTGTTTTTCTTTTCTGAATCTAGGCATCTCCTCCCTGTCTCACAAGTACAGTTCAATTCATAGAACTCTGTTAGTAAGTTTTAATCAGACTCACTGCAGTGAGGTGTGTAACTTCCACTGTCTCAGTAATGTATCATTAGCAGTTCCTGGCAAGGCAGGATGGCCCAGTGAGTTCTTTTATTCTCCCAGATACCTGAATCCTGCTCCAAGCCCTGTTGACTTTCTGTGACACTGGGCAAACAAATTACTTTCTTGACACCTTATTTTATAGGTCTGCAAAAGTGGCCAGGTTCCAAGTACAGTAAGAGAAGGATCTGATGTAGGCTGAAAAACACAAGGGGAAAAGTGGAAGAGGCCCCGGAGGAGAGATGCTTTATGGCTTGAAGGCAGCAGGGGCAGGACCAAGCTGTGAGAAATTTGGTTATTGTAACGTGTATTCAAAGGGTGTAAGTCTGAAAAATGGCAGGAGAATGCACAATGAGAGCGAGTTCATTTACTAGATGATTCTAAACTGCTTAGGAGGCAATTCTGCTGACTCCCAGCCTAGTGACTTCCTCGGTTCACCCTATAGAGTAGCATGAATTTTTTAAGTGGTATTTGCTCTAGAGATACAAAAATTGCTTCTGAAATTACTTTGATGTATACTGAGTTTTATCTACTTCTATTGGATTATGGGATAGTTTTCCCTGTTATCTATTGTCATCTTTCTGATATACTGAGATTTGTATTAGCTTGTTTCCTCACACTGCGAAGAGGAGATAAATAAATGCCTGTAGCTCTCTGAGAGTGAATGCAGAATTATAACAAAGGAATATGTGTTCAGAAATGATGGATTGCCATAAGAATGTATGTGTATGCTGTTGTAGATAGAAACCAGTCTCACAAATTTACTATCAAGAAAAGAATCTACTGGGAAGATGTTGAGCCCTGCCTCCTTTCCATAGAGATTTGATTAATATGGAAATACTTTGTGATTCTTGTCCAGGGAATGCTAATGCTTTAAATGGGAGACAGGAGAGATGTTTGTCCTGAAAGAACCCAGTTCGCATGGGAAAGGATCATAGGATTTGCTATGAACAGTCTTGGGTTGAAGAACAAGTCCCCTGTTACTTTGCATTGATCTAACAAAAGAATTGCTATCCTACCTGTGTATTTCTGTGGCACCAGTGTACATTGTGTTGAGTATTTTCCTGTTAATACTGCACTTGATTGTCTAGAGTTTGTATTTTGGGGGGTGTTTTAAAGGATACTTCTCCTAGAGACAAAAGCATAAATTTGTTCCTTTGGTTAAAAAACAGGATTTCTAGAATACAGTTCCGTATGTGTACCCTGTGTAGGAGCACATTGATTTACAATAACTATAATTCTATATTTGGGGTCTGGAGTGCTTATATTAAAGAAAATCCATCATGGTGACAATGTAATAAATGTAATATGCATGTCAAGATGAAAAATATAATTCATTTTGATAAGCCTTATATATCCCATATTACTGTGTTCTTTGCGGAACATTCTCCCTGTTCTCTTTCTCTCTCTTAATATATGTCTAAAGTCTTTTCCTTATGTCTTTCCTACCTAGCATCACCCTCTCCTTGTTCATTTTCTGTCCAAAGCAAAACCCTTCAGAGCAAATCTTTGTTGAATTCCTACTATTCAGGTACTAGTGCCAGACTTTTCTTTCATTTCTAAATGTTCTTGGCTTTTGTACGTTCCAAATATGAGCTGTAGACCGACTCTTCTGCGTGTGAGATCCAGCTAACCTTGTTTTCATCTTTTGTGACTTCTCTTCCTGTCGATCGTCTGTTGATTTCCATTGATCTGTGTCGTGTGGGTGAACGGAATTCCATCTCCAAGTATCATCAGACACTGTTCCATCGACCACGCTGTTAGGTAAGAAGACAGGTATGGTGTCCTGCACTTCACTGGAGAGCAAACACACTAAGTGTCTCTTGGGAAGAACTTGGAGAGAGCTCCAAAATCATTATTAGTCCTGTGGTCATGTGTTAGTTGGAAAGCCTTTTGGCTCATGCTTTATTATTGCTATTAATTGATATTTTATCGTTAAAAACAAAAGGTTTAGGAGTTCTAACAGGTGTCTGTTGTTTCTTTTTATGAACGGGATTTGACATTCTGGCCAAGTCCCAGCAGGCTGCCTTGCCTTCAGCTTAGTTCTGTCTCATGTAAGTGTGCAGCTGGTGTAGAATCATGGAATGGTTTGGGTTGGAAGGGACCATATTAGATGCCCCATCCCTGGGAACATTCAAGATGAGGTTGAACAGGGCTTTGACCAACCTGGTGTGGTTGTAGATGTCCCTGTGCATTGCAGGAGGGGTTGGAACTAGATGAGCTTTAAAGTCCCTTCCAACCCAAACCATTCTGTGATTCTGTGAATCAGAAAGATGTTGTGTAGTTGATCAGAATCTAACCACTGGTGTTTACCAGACCTGTTGTTTTGACTTATCTACAGTAAATGTTCACTTCCAGGCACAGTAGTCTACTATGGCTGCCTTAAACGTTTTATTACTCTGATGCCCACTGGTAGACCAGAAAGGAATTACAACCCATTGCTTAAGTGTCTTGGCTTACACATGAACAGCACAGGCACAGAGGCTTGAAGGGACTGCCACCATACACACATTTATCCTGATGTCTATCACAGTGTTCATGTCAGTGAATGAGCCTTCTTTTAAGAAGGGAGGGAAGGAAAGGAGTCCCTTTTCCAGACGGTTTGTTCCCATTTCCGAGAGACTCAGTGTCATCAGTCAGAAAGTCTAAAGGTAGATTTATCTTTCAGCCATACTTGCGCAGCAGGGCACAGACCTGCAGCTTGCTGGGAGGTGTCAGACTGCTCTCAGTCTGGTACTGGCATCTGTGACAACCGGATCCTCCTCTGCGGGAGCTGTTTTCCCCCCTCTGTCCTGGTAGTGAGAATGACGGTGTGAACTGCACACTAAGTAATCTGAAGCTCAAGGAGCAACAGACAGATTCAGTCTGCACTTCTCATGGGAAAGCAAAAGCCGAGAAAGTCCCCAAAACTTTCAAAATCCCAGATTTCAGAGAGGAAAAAGAGGAAATAGGACATAAACTTGTATAGATATATTCAAAACTCTTTCAGACTTCAGTTCTACTAACCACTCTGTCTGAGTAAGGATTAATATCCCTGTTTTACACGTGAGAAGTTAAGTACAAGGCACTGTTAAGACATGATTTACACAGACTGGTCACCCTGCCCAGTTCCATCTGAATTTAACAGCCACAGGTGCTATGAAACAGCCCTTGGCATTGGAGAAATTTCTATCTTGTGCCTTGAAGACAGATTTAAACCTTGGCGTTCTGGCTTCTTGGATAGATTCACCAGACATTGCTGTTGAGCAACATAAGTTTAGTTTTTGACATTTATTAATATTCAATCCTGGGAAAGAAAAAGAGGTCCTAAAAGGGGCATCAGTCATCCAACCACTAGTATCCATCTTTGGGCACTATCTGCAGTTCATTGCTATTTGTTCCCATCTGTTATGCCTTCTGCTAATAAATGTTCTGTATCTGCAGTAATGGATGAGTCCCTAGGCTTGGCTGTTACATGATTTGTTGATAGGAAGATATAGGGGATTTTGGTTTTGCCTCTACCCTATTCCACGCTTGATTAATACTTTTTGATGTAATGCATGTTTTTAGCTCTGTAATTTTCTCCTCCAGCTGTAGACAGCTCTGGATTTAAATGTTTTGCACAAATATCTTCATTAGAGAAGTGAATATTTGATACTAGGAAATAAAGGAGGTAGATTTCCCTGTGTTTCAATTTCATTAAGGCACATGTGGTAGCAGCGCTGTAAGACCTGAAGCAGAAGTTGCTTTTGGAGAAACTGTACATGGCCAGTAGCTCTTGAAGATGTTCGGCAGATGCCATCAAAGCGTTCAGCTCAGGGGAACCAGCATGTCCTCCCCTTGTACCCATTGACATCTCCCAGCAGGATGTAAGGACATTAACCCTTTGTCCTCATTACAACTGCTCAGGAGGTTCCTAATAACGGGAGTCGCTGCCCAGAGAGCATGAGGACTGTAGTGCCTTGTAGTTCCTTGCAGGTGCGCAGGGCAAGCTGAGAATGCTCACTGTCACAAAGCCTCACACAAAAACTGGCTTCTGCTCAGAAAAACAGTATAGTAGCTGCCTTGCATTTCACTCTTCCGTAGCTTGGATGGGTCCGTGACTAATCTGTCTGCTGCGGGTATACCCACAGCCTAATGTCCAAGGAACTAAAAAGATGTTAAGCTGATACTGCTGTTTTATCAATTGTCATCATTGGCAGCTTTTCTATTTGTGGGATGAGGGAGTTTTATGCAGTAGAATCTTGAAATTCAGTGGCTTGTTCTATTCAGTTGTATCTGTAGCTTTCCAGGCCATGTCAGCCTCTAAGGAGATGTGGGAGAGGCTTTCACAAAAGAATCCCAGACTGGTTTGGGTTGGAAGGAACCTTAAAGCTCATCCAGCTCCAGCCCTGGCTTTTAAATCAGCTGTTGAAGCAGTAAATTGTCCTTTTGCCTCCCAACAGTAAATAGCATTTGCAGATATCATGATGTGTAGTTACCCTCTCTAGAGAATCACAGAATCATAGAATGGTTTGGGCTGGGAAGGACCTTAAGATCATCCCGTTCCAACCCCTGCCATGGGCAGGGACCCCTTCCACTAGAGCAGCTTGCTCCAAGCCCCTGTGTCCAACCTGCCCTTGAACACTGCCAGGGATGGGGCAGCCACAGCTTCTCTGGGCACCCTGTGCCAGCGCCTCAGCACCCTCACAGGGAAGAGCTTCTGCCTAAGAGCTCATCTCAGTCTCCCCTCTGGCAGGTTAAAGCCATTCCCCTTGGCCTGTCCCTGCAGGCCCTTGTCCAAAGCCCCTCTCCAGGTTTCTTCTTCCAGTTTTCATGTTGGCCTGCAGCAGCATGAGCAACAGAGACAGGTGACCTCATAGGCTGGTTTTGATCTGAATTTCTCTGACATTTCTTTCTGCCTGCAGATGATCATGTGGCTTGGAAAACTCTTCCAGTCTTTATGGCTACTAGCTTTGTGTGCTGTATTGAAGTTGCCATCAATAGTCTTTTATCTGTAGCTAATGAATTACTGTCAGGTCTACCTACCTTACACACCCTCTACAGAGGTGGCAGAGATGTGTCTTGGTGAGGTCCACATATTTGAAGAGCTGCACTGTTACACATGTACCCTGTAGTCCCAAGCTTTAGCTCACCTCACCAAAGTATCTTCCTTACATGTTCAAGGAGATTTGCTTCTGTGCTAATGGATGAAACATATGCAATATGAGTAGAATAGACTTGTGTAAGGTGTTTGCCAAGAAGTTCTTAGAATTCTCTTTAGAATCTAAAGAAAAGCACTTTCTGAAGCTTCTTTTAATTATGCATATGTGGCTTCTTGATAGGCTTTGAAAAGAGGTCCATTCTCTGCTGTCTGGCAGACCTGGTGTCAGAAGGCTTTTTGTTAAGGAAAGTGCCTTTTTCTAGGTCAGTTGATATCATTAGATAAATGATGCTTTCACTTTGGTTTGCCATACCACTGTTTGTATTGTATATAGCATATTACAGCTGAATAGTCATCATATAATAAAGCCTTGATGCATGCAAAAAAGCAAATTAATTTTACCAGCTTGCACCATATTCTTAGTGAGAGGGGAACTGATATTAGCCGTGCTGGAGTCATCCTTGGGAGATGTCAAATAACTGACAACCCTTACTCTAGTATGGAGAGACTGGATATGTGTATAATTAAATCCATCACAAACACCACTCAAAGTATAATTTATTGGGTGCAAAGGATGTCTTACTGTGTTACACACTTGCAAGGCTAAGAGCATAAAAATATAAACAGGGATGATAGGCCTGTCATTACAGACACAGAAGGAATTTGTGATATTAAAGCAAAAGTTCTGAAAGAAACTTCTCTGCGTGTACAAGATGACACATCAATGCCATGTTGCTCTCAGTTGTTTGAGGCAGTTTTCTGGTCAGAAGGCATCATCATACTCTGTGTCCAGTATCTACCTCTCACACTAACAAAACTACCTTTACAAAACAAGGTGACATGTATAAAAGGATCTAAAGTTTTCATTCCCAGAGGTGCCCTGGAGGAGCAGGTCCTCTGTCAGCAGCCCTGCTGGGATGGTGCACAGGGGTCTGGTCACACAGAGCCACTGCCAGGCTGGAAATCTACTTTCTCAGCTGCTTTTCATCTTATATGTGACATCCATGGAGAAGTTCATCAATTTTTTGGTGGAGAGAGCTGCTTATTTTACTTGTCTGAGTAGCACCAAAATGCGAGGTGTTGTAGGCAAGCAATAGTCTCACCCTCACAGTTACTCATCATATGGGGAAAGATGCCACCTAGCTGGCCTCTGCTGCAGCTTTTCTCTTCACCCTGCACTCCGTTAGGTTTCTCTTGGTAGAGTAAAACCTCAGAAGTTACTTCAGCAAGCTCGTGATTATTTCTCCATCAGTGTCCCAAAAAGCCCATTTCATAAGCAGGGAGAGTTTATGAATATTAAAAGTGGAGAGTCAACCCTGTTAAATTTGATTATCTGCAGTCACACACTAAACAGATAAGCTGAGATGCCTGAAGAGTTTCCCAATCCTGGTAGTTATGTGAGGCAGTGAATCATTGATTTAACGTCTTGTAAAAAATTTCAGGGTATTTTGGGAACTCTTGGGCTGATAATGAAAGTGCCAGCTTCCAGGAATCGAAATATCTGTGTTAGCAAGGGACATCTTACTACAGGGAGTAAGACTGTTGCCCTAAAAAGGGTTAACAAACAAGCTGACAATATATTTTGCTATTGCAAGCTGCTAATATTAGAAATGATCCTCTTGCAAACAGCATGTTTCCAGCAACATGCAGAATACCTGTTATTAATACAGCTGCACAAAAAGATCTGTGGAAAATTAGAAATGGTTCTAGGAAAGAACGGGAGCCCTCAGCAGCCTGTCCTAATGAGACTTCAGAAGCTCTCAATTGATTTACATTACCAAAGAGAAACTGAAGAAGTGATTTGGTCAGTGCCTGCATGGGTCAGGATTTCAAATGCTCAGAGGGCTCTTAATCTAACAGAAGGTGTATTAAGATTCAATGCCTGCAAGTCAAAGGAAATTCAAATTGCAATTAAGAACTGTTTAGACAGCAAGGGTAATTAAGCATTGCCCCAATTTCTGAGGTCAGAATGGAATCGCTGTCTCTTGAAGTGTTTTAATTTGGATTATTTCTTGGTACTGTATTCCATCATTGGCATGAAGTGGAATATGGTGACATGTGTTCTATCAAAACAGGAGGACATATGACTAGAAATAAGATGTGCATATGAAAGATGATAAAAACCCCAGTGCACAATTCTCTGTGTTCAGTAGTTTCTGAGTATTAGAGTGAATTATTTCAAGCATCTTTCAAAAAAAAAAAAAAGTATCTTTTGCTTTGCTCTTCTCACTGAAAACTCCCAACAGGCACACGTGTTTCAGAGGCCAGTTTGTCCTACAAACTCAACCTCACTGGTCCAGAGAGGTGGTAGATGCACCATCCCTGGAGACATTCCAAGCCAGTCTGGATGTGGTTCTGAGCAACCTGGTCTAGTTGAAGATGTCCCTGCTCACTGCAGGGTGTTGGACTAGATGAGCTTTGGAGGTCCCTTCCAACCCAAACCATTCTGTGATTCTATGATTTGCCTGGGGCATGTTTGTGAGAAGAGGACAGAGAGGGGTGGTCTGTGGAAAATTGCCGTGGCTTGCCTTTAGTGCAACGATTAAAGCAGAAGGTCTGACTTCACTGAGGGATTTTTTGTTGTGTTTTCTGGTAATACGAGCAACAAAGGGAACAAGATGTGGTTTATAGCTGCAGTCTGCAGGAGAAGCACAGCCTCTTTGGAAGCCCTTCAAAGACTTTTGGTTCGTTGTCCTAGAGAGAGAGCAGTTTGCTGCTACCTCCCCTCCTGCCTGCATTTGGAATTGGTCACAGCACATCTTGGGAGAAGGTGTCATGCCTTGCTTAGGTTTGGACTCATGGTCTGATTGGACAGAGCAGGAACAATATGTTGCTTGCATCAGGCTTTATTAGCAGAACATATGACCATGGGGCTCACCTCATACATAGCAGTTGGTCTTCATAAAAGCCCCTCCACTCTTTCCTTGGCCCAGAGAAAAGGCTGGTGGAAATACCTGGCAGCCAACCTGAGCTGGTGCAGTTCTAGGGTTTGGGGTGTTTTTCAGGTAGCACAGAGGCCATTCAAGATGCATTTGTCACAGATGGCCAGAGGAGGTGATCTTCTCCCTAGTTCCAGGTCTGTGTGTCACAGGGTTGAGTAGATTGTGGGATGCTTTTTTTAAAGCAGAAGTGCTTGGCTGGGTGAGAAGCACATGAACAGTGTGATGCCACAGACCATGCTGCAAGAGCTGTTACTACAATCAGTGGAGTTTGTACCGTTTTTTATCTGAGCAAAGAGACCAGAAGCACAATTGTCACTGTAAACTCAAAGAAGAGAATCACTGAGCACCTTCTTCTAGCTCCAGATTGATAACATGGGCACCTACTTGAGGGCAGTTATCCCAGAAAAGAAGGGGCACTGCTTTCCTGCCTTTCACCTCTCCTTATGATACTTCTCCTTGACAAAAGAGCCAAGTATGCCAGAATGAAAGGATCTGATGAAGACAGAAATTAATAATTGCCTGCAAAGGAGCTGACTGATCTGAGCTACATTGTACAAGTCGCCTGTGCTCTGCATGTGCCCTCGCCGTATTAGCACTAGAGCCACACATTAGTTTTAAGACTCCCTCTCGAATAGGGATGTGGTAATGTTTCTTAATTGGGGCTGATAAAAATGTGGCATTACTTGCAGGTTCCTCAGAGAAGCCAATTGTGAAATTGGGTTTGTATTAAACCTAATGATGGAAAATTAAGTGTAGTACGTCTGTCGGAAATGGTCCGAGATAAAAATCCTCTCCTCTCCATTACAGGAGGTTAATAGGGAATAGGGGTGGAAAGATGCATTGGGAAAGCGAATCCAACAAGAGGAATTAATAAGCCTTGAAATTCCCTCTGTTCAGAGTGCTCACACTGTCATTAGTCGGAGCATTAGGGATGATTATACAAATGCTTCGGATGTTACTCTTCCTTAAATCCCAAATTTATTCACATTTTGTATGTGAGGGTTGCTGCGCTAGAGCCATAGCTCTGTAAATCTCCGAGTGTCCTGGGAATGTGACTGTGTTTATGAGAACCTGGGACTCAGAAATCCTTCAATTCGGAAGCCTAATCTTCAGAGCTGATGATCACTTTGTGTAATTTATTTCAGGAGAAGCGGGATGTGTTCAGCATCTCCAATAATTCAACCACCAGACTTATTTATCTCTCACTGGAGGTGACCTCCTTGTGCAGCAGTGTCCACTGCTGGCATTCTGTTCTAGTTCTTGTAGTCCTGCAACTTCACAACTTCAAAACAGAGCGTACAGTCTTGGTATCTTCCCCATAATACCATGTTAAACCAGCTCAAGCATCATTTGTCGTGTCCTGTCACTGCACAGGCCGCCCGATGCCCTCATCCCTCTGCCCTGGCCACCTCTGCAGCAAGGGACACGGCGCAGATTCTTACTGCTGCCGATCACACTCCATGGAGATTTCCCAAGGACAGCAGTGTTTACAGCAGCATTCCAGACATATTTCTGCCTCACCAAAATCACCCTGAAATTGAAATTTGATTTATTTATTCCTTATCCCTTCAGAAACATGACTGTAGGATTGCTGACAAGGGATGGGGGGTAGGCTCTTTGTCAGAAACAAGCCTTGTGCATACAATGTTAAGGATTTTTAAGAACAATCTGAGGGAGATGCATTTTCTGTTTGCTCGTAGGTTGGTTTTGGGTAAGACCAGACAATTGCTGCAGTCTGTTAAGGCCTGTATGTGTGAAAGGACCCAAGCACCTCACATACCTGTAGTCATAGGAAAAAACAATGGATTATTTGGCCAACTGTTTAAATTTGATCATCTCTGGTAAATAAGAAACTGAATTTTTCATTTAGTCTGAGTTTCTGTTGTTAAATATTGTGACAGTCAATTGTTTGGTTATTTAAGTTCTTCCCTGTTACTTCACCAGGAATATCTTTTGTATATATAGAGTTTTGCTGGGGATGTAAGAGATTACAGCTCCAGCTGCATAGTGATAGAGGGGTTTTTAATCCATTTCTTTAAAAAAGAAACTTTCTTCCGTGCTTACGTGCCTGAAATGTCAATTTCTGCATGCAAGATAACTATATTTTTATGCTGGCTTATTATTTCTGATAATATTACAGCTTCATAATTGAGATAATTTTAGGCCTGAACCAGCAGAGCAGTTTAATTCGCCTCTAACACCCTGTGTGACTTATTTGAAATGCTAATGATTTGTTTGCTATTAACGTGGCCCCTTTGAGTTACCTCATGCTGTAAACCCCAAATCCCACTCGAGTATCTTGCTCATCTGTATGTATCTCTCAGTCATGTTCTTTGCAGGTTTGTGAAGACAGGTATGTAATTCGATTGGAGTTGTTACGCACAGCTCACCCTTACAAAATGTGCTATTTCAGTCTCTGTGCAGTGTCCTTTATCAGCCTGACTGGCTATTTACTCTGTTCTATCTCATTGGGTTTACTCAAGTGTGGTTTAGTCTCTCCAGGAAGCTGTAGGCAAGTGTGTGTTTCCTGCTTACTTCTTTGCTTTCTTTTGCCTGCACCAACCTATGGGCTGGTGGAGAAACAAATAAACTAACAGAGCAAGAACAAGAATGGAAATACCAGATAGGTGAAAGCTTGTTTTGCCTCCCTGTCTTTAAAACAGACAGTAGCCATGGAGAGATGACCCAGCCAACCCTGACTATCCAGACCCACCCGTTCCGGAGCTGCGAGCCGGTGGAAATGTCCTACCCCCGGGGGCAGTTCCAGCCAGCCATCCGAGTGGCCGACCTGCTGCAGCACATCACCCAGATGAAGCGAGGACAGGGCTATGGATTTAAAGAGGAGTATGAGGTGAGAGGAACCTTTGCTCACATGAATGAGTAGAAGGATAGATGCTTGGGAGGGGAGGATAACTGTTTTTCAGAGCTTCTGTTCCTTAATTTCCTTACCCTCTTAATCCTTTCCTTTCTCCATGGTATTTCCATTTCTGAGGGTAGGGTTTTGCTGTGCTAGCACTCTTTGATGGCCCTCTAGTCCAAAGAAAAGGTGTTTACTAGCAGTGAGATTACACTGTGCTCATCTGTTAGCACGTGCCCTTTCTCTCATAAAGAGCAGACAGTAAATGCCTAATGGTGCTGAACTCAATGCAGGAAGCGGAGCCCCATAGTTCCTTACTTGTTAATGTGCTTTTGTTGCCAACAGTGCAAGTCAGGCAATAAGAAAAGGAAGAATTTTTGCTTGCGCTTTTGTACTCTGTAACAATTGGTCAGACTAAATCACAGTGTAATGACCTGGCTGCAGGATTGTAAAGGCAAAGGCAGGAACCGCATGAAGCTTAAATTCCAGTATGCTTAAGCCTATGGCTCCTGATGTGTTTGACTGATGTCCTCTTCTCTGTCTGGAGAGAAGCAAAGAGTAAGCTGTAGAAATGAAAGCAGCCATGCTCCCCTCTCATCTTTCCACCAGGCTGGAATGACCAGGAGCAAAATCCAAATGACCAGAAGAAACTTGACACTGGGGAGGAGATGGAAAAGGAGTATATATTTAGAGCAGAGAGAACTAGAAGAAGAGGGAAACAACATCAAACATATGTGAAACTTTGCCCTGGCAAGCAGTAATTGTAATGAATGGAGTAAGCTTGTGGGAAAGCAATTAGAAATTAATATGCATAGTGGCATTAGAACTACTTAAAAATAACATAACATCTGTGAAAAATAAGCTACTTAATGAAAACAGCTCACTTTTCCACCCTGCAAGCCAGGGTCCATGGGGTTTGCATCGCTGATGCTGGGGTTTGTTCTAAATGAGAGGCAATCTTCTCCTGGCTGTCACCAGGGAGTATTTTTTTAATCGGATGGCATCAAAGACTGTCATAACAAACGTTTCTGGTAACTGTATGTTAACCAGGTTTAGTCACTCATGCCCTGCAATCAAGCACACTAATCAAACCATCAATATAAAGAGCCCTGTTTAATACTGAGAAAGGGTAATAATTCTCCTAGGAGACTTACTGAGCTCCCCCTTGGCCTCTATTTCCATGATAGTACCCAAAACTACATTCAGCTCAATTACAGATGCCCTAAAATCTAGTTCTTGATGCTCAAGAAGAAAACAGGTGCTGGCATATATGTAATTTTCTGGCACTGGCATTGGTAATTATCAAAATAGCACATTAGCATGAAAAATGTCAATGCAACTTTCAGCTCCACAAGTTCTGCCTTTCCCAGAAAGTGCTATCTCCATACGTATGTAATGACTGTGACATTATAGAGATTTGCATAATTCCTTTCTTTACAAGAAATAGCCTGGAGAATGCCACAAGCTCTCAAATCACATGTGCTGCTCTACCCTTCAATTAGAGGTAACTGCCTGTAGCAGCAGCAGCAGTGGTTTTCAGTGGTGTAATTTGGTTTTCAAAGCACAGGATGCAGGGAACACTTCAGCTCCAAAGAGCTTCCAGCCACCACCAGCAATCCTACAAATGTAAGGATTATCATAGAATCCCAGACTGGTTTGGGTTGGAAGGGACCTTAAAGCTCATCCAGCTCCAACCCCTGCCACGGGCAGGGACACCTTCCACTAGAGCAGCTTGCTCCAAGCCCCTGTGTCCAACCTGCCCTTGAACACTGCCAGGGATGGGGCAGCCACAGCTTCTCTGGGCACCCTGTGCCAGTGCCTCAGCACCCTCACAGGGAAGAGCTTCTGCTTTATCTCCAACCTCAATCTCCCCTGTTTAAGTTTAAACCCATCACCCCTTGTCCTATCACTGCAGTCCCTGATGAAGAGTCCCTCCCCAGCATCCCTATAGGCCCCCTTTAGACACTGGAAGGCTGCTCTGAGATCTCCATGCAGCCTTCTCCAGGCTGAACAGCCCCAACTTTCTCAGCCTGTCCTCATACAGGAGGTGCTGCAGCCCCTGATCATCCTCATGGCCTCCTCTGGACTTGCTCTGACAGCTTCTTGTCCTTATGTTGGGGAGACCAGAACTGTAACACAGAACTCCAAGTGGGGTCTCATGAGAGCAGAGTAAAGGGATGTCAAGGAGTGTTACAACTCCCAGAGGGCAAGAGGTTGAAGTTGTTCGAAACGATGTCTCAGGCTGAAATCTGGAGGAACACAAAGCTTCTTTGGCTTTATGGAATGACTGAGAAAATCTTAGAAAAGAATCTGGTGTCTCTTTTAAAATGCCTTTTGATACACTAGTATTAGTGTCATCTTCAAATATGTTTTTTTCTTCTAAAGAGCTGATTTTCTACTTACTTTGCAAATTGATAGCATGAATTACAGCCTGTTTAGTGACATGTTAGCAAATAATCTTACTCTCATGAAAAATCACTTTGAATGGAGTGTATCAGTCACTTTGTGACAATCTCTTATCTCTGTATGTTCTTATCTCCACTAGATAATTGGAAATTGCATTTGGTACTTGTTTAGCACACCTTCACCTGCAGACCATTGGAGCATGGGTAGCATGTTCTACCAAGGGCATCTAGAAAAGTATTTCTCGCTGCTTGCACCTTGCATGGAACTGTGTGCTGAGATGAAGAGCAGGCTGTGATTGTGGAAGTGGTGTCACTGCTGGTGTGAAATAGATGATAACTGTGTGTGTATGTGAGGGTGGAAATCTGTCAGCACTTGCCATGTATGTGTTAGTTTGGGTCTGCCGGCTGACCTGGGGCTGAAGTGGGATTTGGGCCTTTTTGGCTGCTGCTGTTTAGTAATAGGATGTGTAGACCACAAGAGAATAATGTGTCACCAGCTCTGGATGTAGATAGCACTATTTGGGGTCAGGCATAGTCACAAACATTTACAGAGGACACATTTAAATGTCCCATATTCCTTCTTCGGAACTTATCAGCCCTGATTTGTTGTGAGCTGCGGGACTAGTCCCCTAGACTCACTGCGAGCACCAATTACTGGCTATGAAGATAATAAGCTTAAGTGTCCAAGCTCATTTTCCAGTATGATTTAGGATGTCACTGAAGTACCTTCTCCTGCCGCATTACTGAGGCCATTTAGTTATTTTGGATTTTGTGGCTTCTTCCTTGTGCATCTTCATTTTTGAGAGTCTTGTTGACTTGTTTAAGTCGCCTCTCAATTTTAACCCTTTCATTTCAGGCTTCACAGCTTTTGTCTGGTAAAAAGAATAGGTCCCATGGTTCAGGCGATGACACGACGTTACCGCGTGTTTGGCAGCAGGATGTTACTGTAGGTGCTGTTGTTGGAAAATGCCGATTTAAGGCTTTGCTGTGAACCAGAATAGGCACCTGAACTGGTGAGATACTGCTTTTCAGGTTATGTTTGATTTTAGCCAAAACAGTTTTTAACCCTGGGTCACAGCAGACTTGTGGGATTGGTTTTGCCACCACTGCTGAGAAGACAGTGATGCAGAGAGAGGAGCAGGACTCTGTAGCACACTTTGAGATGAGCAGCACAGCTTTTAATTGATGTTGCCTTTGGCAGCAATATTGTAGCATTGGACTAGAGCACTGCAGATGAATGATTCAAGTTTTCCTATTTAAATTAAAAACAGCAAACTAACTAAATGCATCCATTGGAAATTTAAATTGGCTCGCAGGAAGCCTCAATTTAATGTGAACACTTTAGTTATATTTGGGCCGTGGTGCTTAGAAAGCTTGATTGAGATGGAGCTGACTTTTAGAGTTCTATTCTTGTCATTTCAGATCAAAATCGGATCAATTTAGCTTAAAAAAACATCTCTGTAACATAAATTTTACAACTGGGAAGATATTTCATTATACGTTTTATAAAACTTATCTAGAAAATGAAGCCTAAAAATCAAGTCCAGATTTATGAACAATTTTGCCATTAAAACTCAAAGAAAGAGGGAGTGTTTCCTGTGAAAAACATATCAAATACCAACATCTGAGTGATTTACCCTATTTACCATTACTGATAATGCAGAGAAACACAACCAATAACTCTTTTTGCTATTATACTGTGTCAACAAAACCTGAAGGAACAAAACATTAGGTGTGCTTCTCTTTTTCTGGATGCAACCAAATTATAAGTGATACTATTGCATTTGTAAATGCAGTTTCCATTCTTGGTGCAGGATTTTCAGTAATCCCATAGAAAGTTCTCTGTGCCGTACCACCCATGTACACACAGTTTACTCCAGTTTGTTCATCTGGTGTATATAAAGTTAGGGGGAAGAGGTACACTTCTGCAAGGGTAGCTTGTGTTCCTCACCAGTCAGAGCTGTGCTGTGGGTAGTTCTGTGCAAAGCAAAGATTTCTTTGGTATTGAATGAGATGAAAAATCCTGGACTCTTAAATCCCTGGAGGCTATCAGGCTAATATAAAAACATCAGTTTCAATGGAGAATTTCATGTTCAAATCACATAGGGTTTGTTGAAAAGGTATTTATTGGAACTGATGTATTTTCTTTGGCCAAGATAACTTCTCCCAATGGTAGTCATGAGAAAGGATTTTCCCTTTTTTTTCTTTTTCTTTTCAGATGGCTGTGATTAGATGTCTAATGTCTGTTGTCATTCTCTGGTCAATCTGCTGTAATAGTGGATATTAGTGGGAAAATAAGGCATCTTTTTGCTCAGTCTTTGAAGATGAAAATGGACCTTCGTTAGCTCTTTTCTTTTGCTTTGGGATTTTTTGTTGTGTCTGGGTTTGTTGCTTGGGTTGGGATTTTTTGCTCAGGAGATGAGTTGCTGTTTGGAAACAGCTGCCTGTAAAGGAAATAGATGTGTGATCAAAGCCCTACCAATTACAGAGTTATTACTCTTTATCCTGGGCTTTTGAACAGGAGCTCACTCTCCCTGTCTGTTGCCAGCAGTGCTGGTGGCAGTGCTGTAGTGCCTGACATTTTCTGTCCTGGAACCCTTCAGGGGGACATTCACAGTGATCTGCTCTGCCAGGGCTTTGCTTGTATTAAACTTAATTGTAATGTCAGTGTTGTAGATCCTAATAATTATGTCATTCTGCTATTGCATTCAGGCACTGTGATAGACCTGTGTGGCTTGTGAAGATGAGTGTAAATTCATTTACTGGCACAGCTGTGTCACGCTACCCACCGCTAGCTAAGGAAGATACGATTCTACAATGATTGCAATATAAAAACCCCCATAATTTCCTAGGGACCATCAATACTACGATTTATAACATTGCTTTTGTTTTTAGTAATGTGGGACCATGTTAAGGAGTAGATCTTGGTGGATGTACATCTATAGGGGCAAGTCAGTGGGAGGTGTGCTCCTGACCTGTGTTTTTGGCACAGGTCAAGGCTAGGCTCTCTGTAGCCACCAGCAGTAGTTTGTAGATCATAGAATCATAGAATAGTTTGGGTTGGAAGAGACCTTCAAAGCTCATCTATTCCAGCCCCCTGCAATGGGCAGGGACATCTTTAACTAGATTGTGGCTTTCCATTCAGTCATAATGAGCAATGCTCAGGGAGTTCTTGCTGTTGCTGTTCCAGCAGTAAGCACTGTTGTGCCTGCTGCTTGTATGTGTACTGACATTCCCGACCATCCTGAGAAAGGGAGAAGGCTCATCCTGCTTACAGGCATCCAGGCCATCTTCCAGGGAAGGCCAGACCATCCTCCAGCCAGATCCCATGAAACTGATATTTTAGAATCACAGAATCCCAGACTGGTTGGGGTTGGAAGGGACCTTAAAGCTCATCCAGTTCCAGCCCCTGCCACGGGCAGGGACCCCTTCCACTAGAGCAGCTTGCTCCAAGCCCCTGTGTCCAACCTGCCCTTGAACACTGCCAGGGATGGGGCAGCCACAGCTTCTCTGGGCACCCTGTGCTTTTTCTGGCTCTGCCTTGATAAATCTTCCTGGATGTGCCCCAAGGGCAAAGTGGCTCTTTTGAGTGTGTTCAGGATAGTTGAAGGGCCAAGCAGTAGGGCACCACCATGTGCTGCCAGTTTCCTTACCCCATCCTTTCTCAAAGAAAATAGCAGATTTTAGGAAAATGCCTGGTTATTTTCATACTTCATGAGCACATTTTACCTCCTTTTGCCTCTCTTCCTTACAAATGATCTAAACCCTGAGCTGCTTTAATTTTCCCCAGAGAAAATCAGCTAGTGGTTTGCATTGCATCACTCCATTATTAATACAGAACTACATGAAATCACTGTATCTGTTTTCAACTTAAATATGAAAGACTGAGTGTTGTGTTTGTATGGATGTGAAATCCCCACAAACCCTGTTCTGCAGGAAGAATGAAGTTAACCTGTGGCTGTGAAGCCAGAAACAAATTCCCCTGGTCCTTTTACATCAGAAGTAGGAAGATGCAAATGATTCTTCGCTGGCAGAAGCCAAGAGCTGCAAATGGTCTGCACCAAGCTCTGCTTCTTGCTTTAGTGGATGTGCCCTTTCCTCAGGAACACTTGTGTGCTTGGTTGATGACTGAATTAATGCGGTGCCTTTATTTTAGCCCTGCTCAGTCATCTTAAGGCATTGGCCAGCTATTTATAAACTCTCCATACTGTTTGTTTTACAGGCACTACCCGAGGGGCAGACAGCATCCTGGGATACAGCCAAGGAAGATGAAAACCGCAATAAGAACAGATACGGAAACATAATCTCCTGTAGGTGTAAATTCACATTAACCTGGCCTTTCTGTGAGGTGTTGTATGCATCCTGGGGAAAAGGGTGTGTTGGAGAACCTCACTAAAAGCTGGTTTGCAGTGCTGGTTGATAATTATGTTTGTTCCAAGCTATGTTTCTATGATTTTAGTTTATTTTAGGGGCTTTTCTCATTGTTTTACATAAAGTCAAGTATGACTTGATGGTTTTTACACTTTTTCTATCTGCTTTGCTTTGTGCTTAATGTTTGCAATTTCAGGCCTAAATCCTTTTGCCAGATGTACATGGCGAGTGATGATGCCCGTTTTCTGTCCATTTCTACTGCATAAACCAGAGCTTTCAGTGCCACAGATGGGAGCACTGGAGGAGATGCAGATATATCAGATTCTTATTTGGGGATCAGAGATGAGATTTTCTCCCTCCTTGTGGTCAGGAACTGGTGAAGCAATCACTGCTTGTCTCCAGAGATCTGGTTTGATGTGAGGGACAAGCTTAGCTTCTGCCTCAGAATCACAATTAGGCAGCTGAAAATGCACTAAAGCTTCTTAGTTTTACTCCTTTCAATAACCAGTTGCTGTTGATGTTATAGGAATATTGATGCATCACAGAACTGCAGGACAGTGAATGGCTCTATAAAACCATTCAGGTCAGCTTTGTTCTCCAAGTCAGGACTAGATTCACCTCTGTCATTTTGATCAGATACTTCTCCAGGCAGCTCACCCCAGTGTTTCATTATTCCTTACAGTGACTGGGGAGAGGAGGTGGGAGAGGTAATTCTTTGTAAGGGCTGCTGAGCAGCATCAAGTTGGAGAAGCCAGGCCTGAGACCATCAGAACAAGAAATAAGAATATGAATGAATGTGCCATAGATTTTCATGACCGGGTAAATCTGTAGAACGCTAGAAGAGCAGAATGAAGTCATGCTGAGTGATACATTTAGTGCTCTATTTTTTCTGAGGTTAAATATGTATTTGCTGTAAAACAAGCAGATTTACTAAAGAATAAAAACCCCTTGGCCATAAGAAGGATCCTCTCACACACAACTATCCCTCTCTTAAGACCTGAAAGAAGTGGTTTCATGTAACGGTTTTGGGGAATGGCATAGGACAGCTCAGTTCAGGGACCCCATGGTAAAGATAAAGAGATATAGAAATGAGTATCAGAAATTTGTGAGCCCTGCTCTAATCCCACTTCTGCTTCCGGTTTCCTGTCTTGGTTGGGAGCAGGTCACCAGTTCCATCAGTCCTTTTTTTTCTCTATATGGAAAATGGAAGTGGTAGTACTGGAGTATTGCAGTTAGTGTGGAAATATGTCACTGAATCTCACTACAAGTTTCCTGTGTTCCTTATGGCAAAGCGAGATGCCTCCAGACAGAGGTTCAGTTTACCTGTCGATACAATTAGCTTAGATTAAATTAGTTTAAGACAGATGTATCATCCAGCTGTAACAAGTACACAGTGGATTGAAGATGAAAGTGCCATAGTAAAAGGAAGGGAATGTGAAAGACTGTTTTTTTTATGGTCTTGATGAAACAGTTGATCTAATATAAAAGTAGAGGTGGGAAGAGATAAGTCTGTGCAGTAGCCACCATCTCATCTATATTGAAGGTCGCAAAGAAAATGTTCAACCCCAAGTGAAATGTGAGAAGAAATTAAGGAAGCAAAATCTAGGAAGATAAATGTGGTATTACTTAAAGAGAAGATGAAGATGTTCACAAAGATGAATTGTGCTCTAACAAAGAGTGATGGTAGCCTTTTGGCTATAAATACAGTAGAAGTACAGATAGGAGGTTATACACTTGAGTAAGGGAATGGAAAATGTGATAAAAGCTAAGGAAGAAGTATAAAACATAGCCACATAAAACATCAGAAAAGAAGCTCAAGTTTGAGGCCTGTTGGGAAAGTTTTCAGGGTAAGGTAGAAAGGAATAGATCAAGAAATGAACATAGTGAGAGGCAGGATGCACAAGAGTTGAAGGTAAATTACAAAGTTGAGTGGGTTTTCTTCATTTCAAATATTTATCAGGACAAAGAATTTGAGGAGGAGAAAGCAGCTCTTCTGAAACACAGCAAGAAGAATTCAACAACGTGCAATAAAAAGTGATAAATTGGAGTGAAATCCTCGCTTCACTTTGCAGAGGCTGGGGAGAAGGGAGGCAGGATGCCTAAGGAAGGAGCATATTGTTCATCAGATGTTCTGTAGAACCACTGGGAAATGCTCAGTGGTGTCACTGGTTAAGCCTTGAGCCAGAGCCCACTGGTGGCAATGCTGGGCACCTTCCATGAGTAAAGGCAAGGATGGGATCCAGGATAGATAGCAGGTGAGTAGATCCCTGTAGGGAGATGATAAAAATGAACTGTGCTCAGAGGGTGCAAACTGTGCACAAGCCTTCACAGGGAGGTGGAACACAATGACCCCCCTAGCTGCTTTGCTGTACTAGAATTGTAATTGCTGGTAAAACCCAGAGTATGCAGTGATTGCTTCTACCAGCTTACTTGGTAAAAGGCTGCAGATGGCAAGTAATGTGATTTATTTAACCACAGTTACCTTTCCCCTACTCCTGGAACAAGCTACCCCATGTGTTTTGGGCAGTGTATTGAAAAGTCAGATTTGATCTAACTTTTGTAACTGCTTCAGAGACTTCTGTTAAAATGTGGGTTTGTAAGCTCTCGCAGTAAGTAGCGTTGCTCAGTGAATCACAGCAAATGAGATCTTGTCTTTATGGCCTTCTGGGTAATAGTACACTTCCAGCACTGTTTCACTCAGCTCACTGCTTTCCCAGGGCTGTATTAACATCGTGCCTCCCAGTGAAAACCTAGATCTCCCTGCCAGCCCCACCATCTGCTGTTCTTACATTTGCAAACCAAAACTGCACATGAGGCTAATCTCTTCATGGAGAGGAGATGCAAGAGAGTTCTTAGCTCTAAGTTCTCTCTCTCTGTAACTGCCTGAGAGGAGGATGGAGCCAGGAGGGGCTGGGCTCTGCTCCCAAGGAACAAGGGATGGGACAAGAGGAAACGGCCTCAAGCTGCACCAGGGCAGGTTTAGATGGAGCTGAGGAACAATTCCTTCCCCAGGGGTGCTCAGGCACTGGAACAGGCTGCCCAGGGCAGGGCTGCAGTCACCATCCCTGCAAGTGTTCACACACCGTGGAGATGAGGCCTCAGTGCCATGGGTTAGTGGTGGCCTTGGCAGTGCTGGGGAATGGTTGGACTGGATGATCTCAAAGGTCTTTTCCGACCTCATTGATTCTATGATTCTCCCATGCTTTAAACCCCAGTTTTCAAGGTTCCCTTCAACCTGCAATGCTTTTTTTTGGAAAAAAAGAAGAAAACCTGAGGAGTGATTTGTGGTCTGTGTGACCACAGAAATCCCCTGTTGATGGTGGAAGGATGGACTGTGATTGCACAGATTTGCCATGCTGGAGGAAGCTGCTCTACTCGAACTTTTTATGGTATCGGCAGTATCCATGAGCTTTGCTTTGGGTGTAAAAGTTGTAAATACAAAGTTAATTGTGGAGTTGCAAGATTTTTCTGTGGGGGGCAAGGGTAGGTGGTAGATCCATTTACATGCTGAAGCAAAATGATTTAACTTGCTTCAGGGCCTAGATACTGAGGCCTTCAAAGCACACTGGCAAGTGGTTGTTACGGGAGGGATGTTGAGCTGAACACGTAGAAGAGAAAAAATCCAGAAGCTATGTGGGGCCTTTGGTTCTATTCTTCTATTCTATTTCTCCCTATCTTGTCCAGATTTAGAGCTGTTATAATGGGCAATGAGAGTGAAAACTTCCAGGTGAGAGCTGAGGACATGAAGACATAGGGTTGTGCTTTGGAGCAAAGCATGCTCCTTCTTAGGCACCACAGGTCTGAAGTCTTGTGATGGTCTGTTAAAAACTTGAGTTGATGATAAAAGATGGGAGAAGTTCGCTTCATTTCCTTCATGCTCTGGCTACCAGATGCTTCGGGCTGGAACACGGTGAATTAATAGGGAATTTTATGGTAGAAGAGACAAAGAACAGATTGAGATTAACGGATATTTCAGCTGAAACATAGGTGGAGTGCACTTCTTGGCCATGGAAAGGGATAATGCACAGCCAGTATCGGATTTAGAATAAAGTTCTTATCTTTCAAGCATTTTTATTCCATGGTTTCTTCTGTAGTGCCTAAACGCTTGCTTTTCTGTGCAGTGTCCATGAGAGGATGGGATAAATCACACCTTGCCGTTACCCAGTTCTCAGGGCACAGTTTGGGATCAAAGGGGATGGAGAGAGGAGGAGGATGGTGTGTCCTTAAGAGGGCAGATCGTCCTTCCATACCAGAACTGGGCTGAATCATTTCAGAAGATGTCTGTGTACTTCTCTATTGGCTTTGTGAGGAGCTGTGACAGCCGGTTTAGAGGAGCTGTGTGATGTTTAGATGGCGAAAGTTGTGTGAGATTAATCCAGCGCTGGTTTCAGAATGAGATGTGGAAAAATTGCAGTGATCTTTCAAATGATCACTAATGGGAATTTTGACAGAAGTTTGAAGCCATAGCATTTTTGTGCTAAAATGGGAGCACGATGCTTCTGGGTGAAATTCTTGTCACTTTTGAAATCCTTTTTAAGACCAATTTTCAGTCCAAGTACTCTGTACAGATTTAGAGTTCTGCTCAGTTACATAGGGACTAGAGTAAACAGAGGGAAATCAAAGCATTTATACACTTAATTTCCACTCTTTGCAGTCCTCAATGGTATAGACATGCAATTTTCTTCCTGTTTCTCCCTCCATTTCTCAACTTACTTATAATCCATTTGGAACACAGTGACGTGGTGTCTGACAAGTTTAGAGACGAGTTGAGCAATACTTTGATCCAAAGTATCCAAATAAGTTGTCTCCTTGGCTGGTACAGTCCAGTGAATAGACTGCAGAAGCAGAAATAGATTTTAACCACTGAGAGAAGATATAATGAAGACATTTGCTGTGCTTCAAAAACCCTTTTAAAGTCTTTAGATGAAAAAAAACTTAAGTAGAATATTGTTCTTGCTAATAGCATAAGTTGCATGGGATTTTTGCCCCTCTCCGTTAAAATAAGAAGACACATTCCAAAGTTTGGGAAGAAAAAAGAGATTTACAAGATAAGTTATTTCATGAACTTTTATCCACACTGTGCTCCTAAACTTATGAAAAAGATTAAAGACACCATTAGGACATCATTAATATTTTGTGTGCTTACCGCATACACTGATCTTTTTTCTTTTCTGCTGCACTGTTCACACTTATAAAGAGAAATAAATGTCCTCCAGGAATTAATCTCATTTTTGTAAAATATGCAATAAAATATTTTGAATACTGTCCTAAAAAAAAAAAAGTATTTTTTATTTGCTCCCAAAATATAATAGGACCTAAATCTGGATGTCTCCTCTTTGTAAAGTGTCATTCATTTCCAATCATCATTTTTCATCCTTTGCTGCTTTTCAGAGATAGAATAACCATATTGGCTTAAAGGAAAAAACCCAGGCAACAATATTTCCTACAGCTATAGAGCATCTTTTCTTTATCCATAATTGTCTTAAGTGCACAGACCTTTTCTGCAGTCTGTTCCTTGGGTCTTTCACATTTAGCTGCCTCGGAAGGTATTTATAGAATCCCAGCCTGATTTGGGCTGGAAGGGAACTTAAAGCTCATCCAGTTCCACCCCCTGCAATGGGCAGGGACACCTTCCACTAGAGCAGCTTGCTCCAAGCCCCTGTGTCCAACCTGCCCTTGAACACTGCCAGGGATGGGGCAGCCACAGCTTCTCTGGGCACCCTGGGCCAGCGCCTCAGCACCCTCCCAGGGAAGAGCTTCTGCCTAAGAGCTCATCTCAGTCTCCCCTCTGGCAGGTTAAAGCCATTCCCCTTGGCCTGTCCCTACATCCCTTGTCCCAAGCCCCTCTCCACGTTTCCTGCAGCCCCTTCAGGCACTGGAGCTGCTCTAAGGTCTCCCCTTCAGGAGCCTTCTCTTGTCCAGGCTGACCCAGCCCAGCTCTCTCAATCCATCCCTTCTGTTTTGAGTTTATGATGAGTGTCTCAAAGAACTGAAACTTAATTTCAGGGTTTGGTTCCATTAGAAGAAGAGGGGCAGGGTTTTTTTTGCTGACTATTCAGAGCCCTTAACTCCCCCCCCTGCATAGACAGTGTCTCTCTTAAAACATCATTTTCACTTTTTAGCTGTATTGTTGCAATAAGTGAAGACTTCTATAACATTTTTTTTATCATGGGATCTCAAGCAGAGTTAGTAAAGTTCCCCTCTAAAACATCAGCTCTTGGAGCTTTCCCTTTCCGTTTATTCCCTGTGATCCTTTCCTAGCTGGGTTTGCTGCCTGGAATTACAAGTGTGAAATTCTCGACGGGAGGGTTTGTGTATTTCATCCGGATGTCCAGTTTAATCAGCTCTTTTTCTGTCTTTGGGAATTGGTCCAAGTATAAATTCTTTTGTTGTCTGTCTCACCACATGATTTACTGCAACTCCCGGTGTCGTTGCCTTGAGTGCAGGTAATTGGGAACAACATCAGCACTGTGATTAACACACATACCTCCTTCCACTGCGCCTGCAAAGGTTGTATTTATTAATACCAATATAATAGAGCTTTTGATGGATTCACCTGCATAACCTTTTTAGAATGCAAATACGGGATTTGATAAATGCAGCAATTGTGGTTGTATTTTGGGGGGCTGAAAATCTCATCCAAAAAATGAGCACAGTATGAAAATAATTCCTTTTCATAACCAAATGAATATTTAATAAATATCCAAATCTTGGGTTTCAGGACTGCAGGCGCATCTCTCTTCACAATTATTATCTGATCCTGCATTTAATTAAGTCATGACTAAACCCTTTTTGACTGAGTTGCTGCAGAATCACACCTCGGATTTTTATGTTTCATTGCTGTGATTCTTCTTAATGGCATATAAATCATGCTTAGGCCCATATTTTGCAAATTGCTTCTAAACATTCATGCTTTATTGACTGAGGGCTACAGTCACATAACTGGTAGAGAGGAATTAAATTTAATGGACTCAATATTATACTCCTTTTTATAAATCCCTTATAACTGAGCCCAGCATGGCCTGCGGTGACCTCTGTCACCCAGTACCTTTGCCAAGCAACTGACCCTCAGATAGAGTTCTGCAGTGTAATCACATGCCAGTGCTGGGATTGCCAGACCAAATCGGATCAGAGCCCAGCTCAAGGAGGATCTCCTGTGGCAGGGCCCAGCACCAGCTCTTCCAGGGACAGATCCGGATAGTCCCATGGCAGAAAATCGTGTCATGATCTGCCCGCTGGTGCAGTTCCTGTCTGTCTCTGAGCTGTAGTGCTGGGAGATGGAAAGATCAGTATCTGGTATTTCACTGCCTTATCTAAAGTAACTTTGAACATCCTCAAAACCATGTATGTTTTTAATTTTGTTGTGTTTTGACACTGCCTTGATGCTGTTTTGCTGCTGTGAGTTCTGGGGGTTGCATAAAAGAGACGTCTCTGATTTCTTTTAGTGTTTCTTTGGTTTCTGGGTTGTCCCATTTCTTATTTGTAGGATTGCATTTGCCATTTTACCCTCCTTAATCTTTTTATACCTCTGATGTGATCTGTTTATTTTTATCCTCATCTTGACAAGTTTCAGCTCTTGCCTCAGTTTCCATAGCTCAGATGAAGGCAGGGAGGCTTCAAGCATCAGTACGGCTTTTGTCATGGAGATAAATCCTGTAAGGATCTGTCCTGAGACCCCCAAGCCAAGCAGAAGCAGCATTTGTGGTCTCTGTAAAAGCTCAGTGAGCATTATGGCAGCAGTGACCTTGATGAACACAGAGTATGAATGGACACTAACTTCAGGATCTAAACATTACATCTTAAACACAAAAGGCTTGTAGGAACAGGAATGTGATATGGTTTCATTTGTTATTGCTGTAAGAGTTCCCTTCCCCACTTGCAGGAGCCAGCAGATCCAATGAAACGCTGAGAAACTCCTTTTTATCGTTACTGTCACTTCTTTTCCTTTCCTTCTTTCAGATGATCATTCAAGAGTGAGATTGCAGCTGCTGGATGGGGACCCTCACTCTGACTACATAAACGCCAATTACATAGACGTAAGGCTCCTGGACATCCCCACTATGACAAACATTGCTGATGACAAGTCTGCTTATGAATTTGGTGCATGTGACATAGGGACAGACTGTTGATCTGATATGAATGACAGCTGAACATTACACAAACATCATGTTGTGACAGGGAGAAGGTTCTCGGTCTTCTGTTTATTCTGTCTGACCAATCTGGACAGATGGAGATTTCCTATGTTTGACAGACCCACCAACATAAGTGGAATGTGGGCTAAACTGACGTATATGGAAAGCAGTATCAGCCCCATGCAATAGCACTGGTAGATATGAGACTTACTAACTTCTTAGAGTTGCAGTGCAGAAGGCATGTAAGTAGATTGACATATTTTTTAGTGTTATAGAATAACATTCAAAGAGCAGCCTCCCTCACACACACAGAATCATCAAATGAACGTGTGCTTCTTGCATGCGTGTTCTAAATCTTAGGAACATAGACTCATAGAACCACAGACTGCTTTGGTTGGAAGGGACCTTAAAGGTCACCCAGTTCCAACCCCCTGCCATGGGCTGGGACACCTCACACTAGAGCAGCTTGCTCGAAGCCCTGTCCAACCTGGCCTTGAACACTTCAGAAGAGTTTCTTTAAAGGATGAAAAATCTACCTGATAAGTTTACGTAGGACAGGCACTCAGCATGTCCACACTGAGGCAATGCATGCTTTTCTTCCTTTTGCAAACAATAAGGTGCAGCATTTTGCCTGTTAGTTTGCAGAGTTGCCCACAGGTGAGTCCCAGGGCTTGTGTTTCTTTGAGAAAGTAGTAAAAGCTGCCTCATTCCTGTTTTCTCTTTGGCATGATGAGATCTTGTTTCTCAGCCTGAGCAAGATACCATCACTTAAAATCTCACAGGGCAATCCAGTTGCCTATCTTCATTCATTCAATAACGGGTGTTAGTACCCTGTTTAGGCTGCAGCAGCTGTTGTTGCCTGGAAGGTATAAAATACACAATGTTGTCTGAACTGTGATCTCACAGACCATCACTTATTTTCTTTTCTTCCAGGGGTACCACCGGCCTCGCCATTACATTGCAACTCAAGGCAAGTTCATTCTTGTATGTCTAAATATTTGTAAAACCACTGCTGTTTTAAATGGTTCTGAGAGCTATTTCATAGACTCCCAGCCTGGTTTGGGTTGGAAGGGACCTTAAAGCTCCTCCAGTTCCAACCCCCTGCCATGGGCTGGGACACCTCACACTAGAGCAGCTTGCTCCAAGCCCTGTCTCACCTGGCCTTGAACACTGCCAGGGATGGGGCACCCCAACTTCTGTTTGGGGGAACTTATGAAAACTCAGTATAGGAGCACAAAAGGGGAGGATATAGAATGTTCCAAGATCTTTAAGGCACTCAAATGCAAAACCTCAGCTACAAGAATAAGAAATGCTTCAGACTTAGAAGTGGCAGTGTAATCTATAATGTGTCTGTTGTGCATGAAGTATGACATTAGAACTACAACAGACTTTATGGATCTTGGGTTTACCTTCTGGTGGTATGAAATTGCTTGAGGAGGGCAGTATGAATAACCCTGTGACTGATGAACATTTGGTTACTTGGGGGACTTTAGAAAAGGGCTAATCTCTGCTTATTTCCTTCCTCTTTCATAACTAATAAATACAGAGTGAAATGAAGGCATTTTAGTGCTGCACCAGGTACAAATTTCAATACAGTCTTAATACAGAGTCACTGTAAGGTGCATCCCATGCCCTGTCACTTATATGTGTTTACCTACTGGAGCCATCTCTGCTGGTTACAATACACCACTATCACCTCTATTTCCAGCATGCTATAACCTTAAATACCCCAAATACCTCTGCAGGGAAGTGTCTGATCACTTAAAGAGCTCCTGGCTGTTGAATTGCAGAGAAATGCTCTGAAAAGGAGAGTAGGAATCCAGGGGAGCAGCTGAGAAGGGTTGCTGACATTCAGTACGCTCTCTTAAGGTTTCCTTGTGTCTTTTCTCCTGCCCTAGGGCCTATGCAAGAGACAGTGAAGGATTTCTGGAGAATGATCTGGCAAGAAAACTCTGCAAGCGTGGTCATGGTCACCAACTTGGTGGAAGTGGGCAGGGTAAGGATTCCACTTTCCCAGCATACAAAGCCAGTTCAGTTCTGGGTACCACACTGCTGTTCAGGCAAGCTTGGCAAGTGAAATGCCTTTTGCTTACTGTGGGAAGGGAATGAATTAAGCCACTCTGGGTCTTTCTCTACAGTGCTAGATTTTGTAATACTTAGCTGCTTCCCTTCTAGACTAATAGGGATTGTGTTCCTGGTGTAAGTCTCGGCTTTAGCGGAGTTATCTACAAATTTATGCTGGCTGAGAAGCTGTCTCCTTCTTCACTACAGAAGGAAAATGTACTTCTGTAATAATTATTCTTTATCTGTATAATTTGAATACTTCTCTACCCAGGAAAATCCAGAGGGCACGGATGTGTGTCTGGTGTTCAAACTGTTTAAAAGAGCTCTTTAAATAACAGTTCAAAGCCTAGAGTTTCCAGTCACTTCAGAAGATTCGAGGTGGTATGAGGCTGTGCACGGCTGGATCCCGGGGCACACAGCAGCTTGGCCTCCTCAACCCCCACCACTTCACTCTTCTGCACTCAGATGAACCAGTGGCCCTGTGTCAGCACAAGGCAATTGCCAAAGCCCACGGTGGGAGCAGACATGAGTAACTCCAAAGGCATAGGCTAGACTGTACGGAGCAGGAAGAAGGCATGTCTGGGGTGGCTTTCCTCACCATGTTCTTCCCACTCCCGATGGATTTTGGTTTAGAGACATTCTCAGCCAGAAACTGGAGCTCTTATTTATTGCTTTTCCTGGTGTTTGTCACTTTCCATTGCTTTGGTACTAAGAAAAGTTTAAATGATCATTTACCCACAGCCATTAGTGATTCAGCTGCTTTGTATTTGATTTCCTTTAGATCTCATGGTTGAATGCCAGCTGGTTCAGTTCATTTATTGTTACTTATTCTAAGTTACCTTCTGCTGACACTTCACTTTGAAATAAATGCCACTGTGTAAAAAAAAACCCAACAAACCTGCATTAATCATATTTAATACTTACAAAACCCCTTCTGATTATGACTGAAACATAAAACCTGCTTTGCAGAAGCTAATTGCTTCAGCTTTTAGGTGCTGTTCCTCTCTTCATGCTAAAGCATTTAAAAACTTGATAGTCTTTGTTAGCTGTAAATATCCCTTCCAGTGTTTCACAGCCTTGGCTTTAATTTCTACTATTAGTTTAGCACACATCTTCTAGAAGTGGCTAAGCTTGGGCTATATTTATGTGATCAGGAGATGCCTTTCCTGAGCCTTAGCTGAGGCCTGCCACAGCTGGTAAAATGTCAAATTTGTGTCCACATCTGATAAGGAAAGATTAGAGTCAACCAAATTTAATGTATCAGCAAGTATCTCGCAATCCCTGTGAACTGAAATGCTTTGACTAAACAGAGGGAGTTGGGCATTACGGTAGCAATAGCAAGAGCACAGATTTTTCTCAAAGGGGGTGGTGGCAGTGGCTGCCAGGGAGTCTGTGAACCTCATACATGCTCAGGGCATGTATGGAAATTCAAGGAAGACTGTCTTAAAGAAGATGAGCTTAAATGCATCCTTTTGATTTGCACTGACAACAGAGGAAACCAGGATAACATCATCCCTGTGCTTTCTATATGTGATAAAGGAATCTTGACATAATTTATACAGTTAATTTTGACAAGGTCTGTACATCACAACTTGTGTTGGCTTCAGCTGAAAAATGTCCAGACTCAACTTGAGCTAGTTCCTCTCAATGTTTTCTTTCCCTCACCCAGGTGAAGTGTGTTCGGTACTGGCCAGATGACACAGAGGTCTATGGAGATATTAAAGTCACATTAATTGAAACAGAACCGTTGGCAGAGTATGTCATACGCACATTTACTGTGCAGAAGGTAAGGAAGCCTTCAGTCAGCTGGAATTCTGATACAACACTTAATTTGTGTTCAGAAATCGTCTGGGAAACAGATCCAGAATGTTCTTGGAGATGGGACCTGTTGCTATTTGGACAGGTTTCACTTCAGAAACCTGAATCTTAAAGAGAGTCCAATTTTGGACAAGTGATTTTAAGTGAACATCTTGATGTAGCCATTAAAGTAGAATCCACAGTGCACAAAGTTTAAATGGATCCAAAAGCCAGCAGTTGATGCTATGCCAGACATAGCGCGTGTTTCACAGTGGCAGATTACACATCAAAAAAGCTACCAGTTAAACTGGATGCCAAGTAGGGTCCCTTTTCAACAGAAATAAAACATAATAAAGGCAAGAGTGTACGAATTATCCCCAAATTGGCAGCATTTGGAAGATTTTTGTTACTTGTAATTAGAAATTGGAAGTGTAAGTGCCAGAGTATTCCAGGTCTGCCCAAGTTATTCTCCAAACACTCAGTAAATGCTTTTAAAGCTTTCAAAAATTCCTGCTAAATGAACTTCAGTTACACTGGGAATATTGATCCAGTTCTCTAATACATCGGCTCCATATGTCATTAAACCACTCTGTGCTGGTTTCAGCGGGGATAGAGCAAGTGGCTGCCTGGTACTTAGGTGGAAGCTGGGTTTAAACCACAACACATTATAAACCTGGTTCGAAATGTTATTGCCAAAAGTCGACAGGTTAGGGGACCGGCTGGTGGATTCTACCTGCATTTCCTGTGACCATAAAATGTCACAGCTGACAGGCACTTCTTTGTTACCCTTGCAGTGTCCATTTTCATGTGCCAATCACTTGGTCTCACCAGAAAAGCCAGCTCATGGGTCTGGGTACCAGTTTTTGCCCTTTTTGACACCAGTTGTAATCTCAAACTGAGACCTTTTGGCAGCAAATGGCAGAAAATCTACCATTGTCATGGGGCCTGCCTACCGTCAGGGTGTTCATTCCCCAGGCTTGTAGCTTCAACACCTCAGGAAGGATTTAAGAGTGACTGCTTGGTGGTTTATGGTAAAAACACCGCAGGAGTTTATGGTAAAAACACCACATGCAGCCATGGTTTACTGGTGCTAAAGTCAGTCTATGAAGTGAGCTGGGTTTGAACTCCAAGACTACAGGTTTGAACTGGGAGCTGGCATTCACCTTCACAGCTCTCAGTTGTGTGACCCACCTCATTTGTTACTGGAGTTCAGCTTGAAATCTCTTGGAGTAAAAAGCAGCACAGGACACGTTCCTGGGCATAAGGAGAGCTCAATGCTTGCTCAGGGAAAGGAGCAGTAATCAGAACATGCTGACTGCAGTCACAGAGGCTGTGTTGTCTCCTCAGAAAGGCTACCATGAGATCCGAGAGATTCGGCAGTTCCACTTCACCAGCTGGCCGGACCACGGCGTTCCTTGCTATGCCACCGGCCTCCTGGGCTTCGTTCGCCAAGTGAAGTTCCTCAATCCCCCAGAAGCAGGACCCGTTGTTGTGCACTGCAGGTATGTGAGCTCTTTGACTGAGCCTTTGCTCCATCAGCTTCTTTCCTTCTCATCTGGCAATAATCAGTGACATTTAGTTTGTGTAAGGGTGTAATCTGTGGGCCTCACCAGGAAACAAAGCGGAATCTGATTTACTTTACTAAAGTGGCAGCTCTGGAGCCTTGCTGGCACGGATTGGAGATGATATAAGTAGGTTTAAGAGGGTCATTTGAATGTTAAAGACTCTCTGGTGACCTATACTCTCTTAGATACTCATAGCAGAGCTGGAAGAATGGTAAGTATTTGGGTCAGCCATTCCAGTTGTTATCTACAACAAGACCTCGCACGGCTGAAGGGTCAATGTCAACAAAAAGAGAATTTTAAAGCAACTTTGCTTTGCTGTACCCACATGCACTTTAGTTCAGCTTTGTACCAGCACCAATAGGCTTATCAGGAACATTAGTCTGTCTTCCTGGGTCTGGATGCCAGTGCTGTGCATCTTGGACTCCTCAAAGCCCAGGAGTTGAAATGGAAATATCAGATTGAAAACCTGTTCAGGGTCTTCCAGCTAGTTAATAAAAGAGGGATGCCTGAGGAAACCTCACTGCTTGGTTTTCAGCTGTGAGAATTCAGAGTATTGAATCACATGCTTGCTAACTCCACTGCTGCTGCTGTTACTGGTGAGGGCTCCATAGAATCATCACAGAATCCCAGCCTGGTTTGGGTTGGAAAGGACCTTAAAGCTCATCCAGTTCCACCCCCTTGCCATGGGCAGGGACCCCTTCCACTAGAGCAGCTTGCTCCAAGCCCCTGTGTCCAACCTGGCCTTGAGCACTGCCAGGGATGGGGCAGCCACAGCTTCTCTGGGCACCCTGTGCCTACGGCTCAACACCTTCACAGGGAAGTTTCTTCTTTACATCTAATCTTAATCCAAACTGATCTTAAAGCCCTAATTTGCAAGGCTCTATATATGTAGGAGTGTTCCTATCACGCAGAAGAAACAGTTTGCGGTGTGAGCAAGCATGCAGCTGGTGGTGGGAGAGCAGACACACACAGGCTGCTATCAGAGCTGGATGACTTCAAATGCAAGGCAAGAGACTGATACAAAACCAGAGTCTGGGTTTGTAGCATCAGTGCCAAAACTTCAACCCTAATCAGTCTACGCTTACCTCTGAGTGCCATGCTGTGTGATCATGAAGACAGAGACAGTGCATCCCACAACCACTTTAAAAAGGAAAATCAATTAAATCTCACCCTTTTTAAACAGTTTTGGATGGGGGGGGGGGGTGTGTTTGTTCTGTTTGTTTGTTCTGTTGTTTTTTTTTTTTTATCAAGCAGTGAATCATTTCTATAATAAAACACAGCTAGGCCTGAGGAGGTAACAGAAGGGAATTCATTTAGAGCTCAGGGCCTGAATTTGCTGCCTCGGTGCCAGGACATGAGTCTGGCCCTGGAAGGAGTTTGAAATCAAGGAGGAATTTTTCATCCTTCCCGTTGTAATGAATAGAGGCCATTTCCTCACCGTTATTTATCTGCTTTTGAATTTAAATGACTTGCTTTAAGTGGTAATTACCAAATTCTCCCTATCGATGCCTGGCTGGATAATATCACTGTTCGATATTTATGAAGTGCCAGGATCCTCTAAATATAGAAATGTTATAACTATTTGTTAAAATTCTGAAGAGCTGAGAGATAAAGGGAGAGGAAATGCCACTTATTCATTAAAATTCTGCAAATGAAAAATATCTTTCCTCTATTCAGCAGTTGATTAATCTGGTCCATTAATTTATGGTCATTCATATCTCCTTGCTTTCGGCACTGCTGGAGTTTTCATGCAGCTGAAGTTGCCCTTTTTTTAGCTGAGTTTTCCCTCTTCCTTTGGAGTAATGTGAAGAGACGTTCCCCTCACTCTCTCCTTCACACCTAAAGAGCTTGGATGATTTCCCAGGAGGGAAGAAGGACACAGTGACAGCACAGCTTTGCAGGAGATGGTTCAATTCCCACAAGCAGTGGGAGGCTCTAAACTGAAGGTTTTGGGTAGCCTCGAGCTCCTCTTCTCCATCCTCTTACAATCCACAACATGAGATCACCCTCCTCAGGACCCAGACTCCTCTGGATTAAGAAGGGAAAAGAAATGTTTGAGGTGGAGGACTGAGCCCCTTTCATCTTGCCCACTGGAGTAAAGATGTGCATGGCTTTTTTAAAGAAGGAAATGTTTGGAACTGTGTTGATTTGCAAGTGCTCTCCCACATCCTGTGTGGTGAGGGATGTGCAGGTTAACCAACCATTATGTAATGGCATAATGATTATTTGTCATTATTTTCTTGGTGTTGAAGAACACAGGGATTTTTTTCCTACTACCCGAGTCCATTCAGGAAATAGTATTTCATCTCATTCTCATAAATCCTAAGCTAATTTAGCTACACATAAAAATCAACTTTAGAGGGAGAGGTAGCAGCTTCCAAGAGGAGATTGCTGTGTCCGTGCTGCAGTGTTCTCCACAGAGCCCAGCCTCTCCACGGTCCCTTGATCATGCAGCTCCTTGTGTTTGTCTCTTGTTTCAGTGCAGGGGCTGGGAGAACAGGGTGCTTCATTGCCATCGACATCATGCTCGACATGGCAGAGAATGAAGGCGTGGTGGATATATTTAACTGTGTGCGAGAGCTGCGATCCCAAAGAGTCAATTTGGTGCAGACAGAGGTAGGTGCCAGCAGGTCTTCTCTTACAGCATGCTGCTTTTCTGTCAGCTTCTCTGCTCAACAGGAGCCCAGCAATTCATTAAGTCAACACTCCCTTGCTCTGTGATGTGATTATACAGAGCTTTCGGTGGCTAAACGTATCCAGATGTGCCCTGAATCACATTCACTGGCAGCTCCTCAGGGCCTCCAAGACAGGAGGGCAAGCCTTGAAGTTTAGGTCTTAGCATTGCTGATTATTCTCCTAGTAGAAAAAAGCTAGCTCCTGCATCCTCTCATGCCTCATTCATAGGCATGCCACAGACTCCAGTAGTGCCCGGTTTATATCAACTGCACACTAAACAAATGAAACATCCTTGACTCAAGCTTTGGGTGCTGATTAAGCAAAGTTGCTCCATCATGTAGCATCTAGCAGCTGCACAAACTCCTATGGAGCTGTCACCCTGCTGCAGGTTTATGTATGTGCTTCAATGCCTTCCCCTCCTGAGGGACACCAGCAGAGAAGTGCTTTTAACTTCGCTGGACTTCCCATCGTTAGTTCCAGGGAAGAGCTTTACCCAGAATACCAGAAGTCCAGGGGTTTTGAGCAATAGAGCAGACCTGTTAGTACAGTTGTTTCTCTGGTATTATCAGAGGTCCAAAGCACAATTCATTCATGACCACTACCTCATGGCTGTGAACAGAAAAGCTTTGCACCCTGATTTCCTCCTCAGCCCGCTCCCATTTTGTCCCAGTATTCCTGAGAGTGGTGACTTCTGATTTTACTTGCAAATCTGAAATGAGTACATGAGCCCTTGCAGTCAGTGATGGATGAAATACACTCACAAAGCTGTCACAAAGCACACTGTCATTTGTCTCTGCATGAAACAGAGCCAAATGTGCATATTGGGCATGATTTAAGGAAAAAAAACATGATGTTTCATTATCTGTATTGAAAATATGATTTTAATCTCTTATCCCCCCATGTGCAGGAGCAGTATGTGTTTGTCCATGATGCCATTTTGGAGGCATGTCTCTGTGGCAACACGGCCATTCCAGTTTGTGAGTTCAGATCCATATATTACAACATCAGCCGACTAGATCCACAGACCAATTCCAGCCAGATAAAAGATGAGTTTCAGGTAATTTGATATGTCTGTCATTGCAGCTGGTGTTTAATCAATTTCTGTGTGTTATTTTATGATTTCCAGTAGAGCAGAGAAGGGGGACACTGAGTCCAGGTCTCATTTCAGCTGATTTTTGTTATTTTACTGCTGCATCAAGCAAAGATTTATTTCTGAGCATGGACTTCAAACATGGACTGGTATTGAGCATCCCTCTAGGATTTTCAGCCAACACTGACATAGAGAAAATGTGTAATATTGTGGGAAATTTGGGGCAAGGTGAGTCTGATAGGAAAAAGAGGCCTCAGCTATTTATGAAGAAGCCATGCTGCTTAGTCAGTAGTAAAAAGGTGAGTTTCCTTTAATTGTACAAAATGATTTGAGAAAACATTTGAGCTCACAAAGTGGATTGAGAGCAGCCTGAGGAGAAGGGCTTGGGGGTGCTGGGTGAGGAGAAGCTCCCCATGACCAGGCTTTAGTGTACGCTTCAGCCCAGAACCCTCCCCGTGTGCTGGGCTGCACCCCCAGAGCGTGAGCAGCAGCTCAGGGAGGGGATCCTGCCCCTCTGCTGTGCTCTGGGGAGACACCCCCTGCAGTCGTGATCCGACTGTGAAGCAGCAGCACAAGAGGGACGTGATGCCTCTTTTCCTCTCTCCCTCTGCAAAGGGACAAAGTGTGGTTTTTATCTGAAACCACAGAACCATCAGGGTTGGTATAGTGAGATAAGGAATGTGGATCCCAGCTGGTGACAGTTCAATTAAAGCAAGATCTGGTTTTATCAGGTGATACCACATCTATAAAAGTGTTTCTGGTTCTGGACGCTTGGCCTGATGGAAGCAAAGCCCAACCACATCTCATGTGTCATCCTATTAAGAAGAAAGGCACCGTTTGCTGGGCTTACTTTGTTATGATAGGAGATGAGATTTGTCACCTGTGTGTTTGTTTGTTTGAGATACCATGGGCTGGACGCTCCTGGGGGAAGGAAATACTCCACTGTACTTTGATAAGAGGTTCGGTCCTTGTCTAGTTGTAGAATCTGTTTGTACGGATTTTGGCTCAGGTCATTCTTCAGCCCAAATTGTCTGGATTTAATGCAAGAGATAGTATCTTTTACTACAGTCTTTATGAACCAGTTGATCTAACTATAGATCTGTTGGTGCAATTTGTATTATTTAGGTCCCACTGGCCCTTGGGTAAGGCTCAATGCATTTCTCATGCACTACATGTTGTCTGAACATGGCAAAGCTCATTCTGGAGAGGTTTTGTAAGCTGAATAAATACTAAAACAAGGGAGCGAGGAGAAGGGCATAAAATAGACACAAGTAAATCATTGAGTCATCTATTTATGTGCACTGGCAGAGATCTGAGATTTCGTGTTGCTTCCCCAGCCAGATTATCTGCTTTCAATCTCTAGACTAAACGACTTCAGTGCAGAATCTGCCTAATTTAGAGCAACTAGGTTGTTGCAGCTTTAAACTTTGACACATGCATTTATCTTGGGTTGTTTGACCCATTTGTAACCTCTCCTTGGCAGAACTCAAGCTCTAGGTAAGAATTTTTGAACCCTAAATATTTCGGGTTCCTCTGATGGCTGCAGAGGTGTTCACTCTTATGACTGCTTGGGCTTTGCTCAGGTTGAGGACACATAACAAGTGAAACTGAAATGACATCAGATAGCCACTGACATACGACAACTTAAGCAGCAGTGTTGAGATGCATCCACTTTTATTCCCTGTATTTGATCCCTGCTCACCAATCTGGACTGGTTGGTCACAAAAGAAAATTAGATACAAAGAAATACATTTTATCAAGTTATGGGAAAGACAGATAATGGTAAAAGACTGACAGCAAGACCCCAGAGATAAGTTATAACTATGCAAGTGAAGCATTCTGTGTGCCACTCCAAAAGGAAAGTAGCAATGTAAATAATACCAGAAACAAAGAGACTTTCCTGTTAAAAAAAACCAACATTTTCTCTGGGTTTTTATATGAGTTGTTACGATAAATCAGTAATTAACCTGAGGAATCACGGGAGGATCTGAACCCAGTCTGACCTGCTGGGTGAGCCTGGTCAGTACTCAGGGTACTTCTGCCCAGGATCCACATGAAGAGGGAGAAGGATGTGTGCTTCCACCCTAGGTATAGTAGAAGCACGAGGATGTTTCACACCATGACGGGGTCAAAGCTGAAGCTTGTACCGGTGACAGCTGTTCCCAACCTCTAGGAAAGAACAGAAATGTTACCTAACTGCTGTGGGGTTTTAGAGCTGGAAGTTGTTGGAAGGTGTATATAGTGCCCTCAGTTGTTGCTGGAGCTTATGGACTTTGGAAGAGCACCTCAGGACAATGTGCAGAATGCAGTGTATTATAACAGCAAGCTCCTCAGTGCTCATTCTTTTCATTCTCTGGGATCCCACAGATCTGCTAGTCCATAGTGCCTTTACAATACATGTGCTGTGCAGATGGCATTCCTCTTGGAAGTTAAGCCCAAGACACTCAGCCCGCTTCTGTCTTTCCTTCCCTTCTCCCCTCTCCTGCACAGACTCTCAATATCGTGACACCGCGTGTGCGGCCAGAGGACTGCAGCATCGGCCTGCTGCCCAGGAACCACGACAAGAACCGCTGCATGGATGTGCTGCCCTTGGACCGGTGCCTGCCTTTCCTCATCTCCGTGGATGGAGAATCCAGTAACTACATCAATGCTGCACTCATGGATGTAAGCAGCACTGCACTGTACCCACTGATCCTACTCTGCATTGAGTTTATTCATTCTCAGGATACTTTTCTGGGAGAAAGGGATCCAAAGCAAAACACTTTCTTACATGTGGTTTCTGGGTCCGACCTCTCCAAACTGGAGAGCCTGGAGGAGGTTCCAGGGATATCTTATTATGGCCTTTCAGTTCTTAAAAGGGGACTATGAGAAAGATGGGGAGAGACTTTTCAGCAGGGCCTGTTGAAACAGGGTGAGGGGTGATGGGTTTAAACTAAAAGAGGGAGATTCAGGCTGGATGTGAGGATGAGATTTTGTGCTATGAGAGTGGTAAAACACTGGCACAGGTTGCCCAGAGAGGTGGTGGATGCCCCATCCCTGCAGCCATTCCAGGCCAGGCTGGATGTGGTTCTGGGCACTCTGATCTAGTTGAAGATGTCCCTGCTTATTGCAGGGGGCTAGACTTGATGAGCTTGGAAAGTTCCCTCCAACACAAACAGGTCTGTGGTGCTGTGAGACTGGACAAAGGGGCATGGCTTTTCTCTCCTTCACAGAAAGGTGTTCCCTAGACTAGTTCTGCCTCACACTGGTGGATAATTACTGACAAGAAGTTTACGAGAAGTCTGAGGTGGTGTCTTCCCATACGTTGGTTGTTGTACAAGTTGGAAGAGAAATGTTTGCCAGATCAGCAATTTGAGAAGCATCATTTGTAGTATGGAGCACAAGATTTGTATATGCAGTTAGAATATGGGATTGCATGGATCAGATGTGCAGGATACTTTTAAGGCCTAAGGACATGAGTTAAGCTGATTTGGATCTGTCTGAAGGCATTTTCCCTTGCTTAGTTTACAGGCTGGAGTCCAATAGCACAGGCCATTTGTGTAGGGTGAATTATGTTAATAGTTTCTTCTGCTGCGGTACCTGACTGCCTTTGGACAAAGATGTCTTTAAAGCCAGTAATTGTTGGAGTATGTGTAAATAGAATGAAGGGTGAAACATCTGCAGTGAAACATTTTGTCCCTAACAGTGTTGAGGTCAGTCTTGTTTAATTCTGTCTTTGGCAAACAGTAGTACTGCTGCATTGAAGAGGTCAAGTCAAATGGTGATGGAATTAATTTCTGATTGTTTCAGAAAGATTGTGATGTTTTCATGGCCAGTATGCCTAAGGAACCTTTTTGGTTTTCCTTCAGAGTGGGTTTCGTGCTTTGGCAAATCTGCAGAAGCACAATCTCTTCTTCTGTGATTTCTTAGGGACTGGGAATGTGTTTGCACATTTCAGCCCTGTTACCTCAAATCACTTTGCTAATACTTGTGTCATTCCCCACGAACTTCCTGTGAATTTCTATGAAGGAATTTTTCACTTGTCATTGAAATTCACCTTCTGAGCTGGTCTCTGGCTCTGGTTTTTCTTTGCCATAGATGGATCAGCAGCTTTAAAAAATATAATAATCAGAGGGGAACAACCAAAATCCCACATTTTCGTAGGCTGTTGAGGACAGACCTTGGAAATCCTTTGTCTTTCCCAGTAGCTTCATGACTGCATTCTTGTGCTGAGCCTGGACTCTTGTAAGAGATCATCGAGCCCATATTGCCTTGAGCTATCATTAGTTCTTTCACTGTGTGCAGACAGGCACATGCTGGGGAACACTTGACAACACAGTCCCAGTGATGATTTTATTTACAGATTTGTGGTAGACTCATAGAATCAGTGAGGTTGGAAAAGCCCTTTAAGATCATCAAGCCAACCATTCCCAGCACTGCCAAGGGCACCACTAACCCACAGCACTGAGGGCATCATCTACACAGTGTGTGAACACTTCCAGGGATGGTGACTCCAGCACTGCCCAGGGCAGCATCTTTATTTCTTCTTTGTAAACTTCTCTCCCACCCTTATCTGCCTTGCAGCTCACTCTGTATATATCATGAAAGCTGTGATGGAAGGAAGTGCTAGAGCAGGAAGGGGTGATGGTACACGTAGGATGGGTTAGAGCCTGGGTTTGGAAGCACGAATTGTCCCAGGAAGACAGTCTTGCAGGCTCCTCTGGACTGTGTTTACCAAAATTCGCCCTTAGACACAGAACACCATTTGTACCCTCTCTCAGGGGTGAAGCACTCAGCATGGGTCCTAGCCTCAAACTGGGCTGTTGACTGCACAGCATTAAAAACCAGCCTCTTCTGCCTCAGAAATATTGTGCCTTATGATTCAAGTCAGCTTCACAGGCGGACAGCACCAAGTACTGAGCAGTTTGTAGGCTCACTTAGGCTGCCATTGTTGGAAAGCAGTAACCTTCCATCTCCAAGCGCCTCACAAGCATCCTTTGACAGAGCCCCACAGAGGTTGGTAGCACAGTTCTTGCCCTCCGTAGTTAGGGAGGCTGAGGTCAGAGAGCTTTTCTCAGGTGAAAGAATAACACCAGACATTAAATGCCATTGCTGCAGACTCTGAATATTGCCCCACCAGCTCTTAAAGGATGGCTGGGATCCAGATGTGCCACCTCTGTAGCACTACATCGCCAGGGAGCCATAGCAGACAGGGGGGCTAATCCCTTCTGTAGCTACTAGTGTTCATCGCAGCAAAAAAGGATAACATTTGCTTCCAGCTGTTTTCTTCCCATTTATTAATATTTCTGATAGTAGTAGTAATAGTAGAATTAGTATTATTTGCTGAGTCTCAAAATATAAATAATTGATTTGGGTAATCTCTGCTCTTGTGACACTTCCTTAATGAAATGCCTTCATTGGGAGCAAAAGAATCCCATTATGAAAGGTTCATTCACTGCAGAGCGATAACAAGGAGAAGGATATGTGATTTGTATAATCTGGTTAAATGGCTCCGTTGCCTTGCCACAGCCTCCCGGGTGCAATAGTCATTGGGAAAAAAGGTTGATTGAATTTCTTTTTAACTAATCTCACTCTTTTGTTAGAGCCACAAGCAACCTGCTGCCTTTATTGTCACCCAACACCCTTTGCCCAACACCGTAGCAGACTTCTGGAGGCTGGTGTTTGATTATAACTGCTCCTCTGTGGTGATGCTGAACGAGATGGATGCAGCACAGGTAAGTGGCTTTTCATCATTCCTGTCATGTAACTTTCTTCTCAAATCCAGATGGTCTTAAGAGTGTTTCTGCTGCCATATTCTTGTGCCCCTTCCCCCCTTCCCAGCCCAATAAATAAATGAAGGGTAACTGGAAAGTAATAGGTAATATATTGGGCTATAATGAACAGTAAGTATGGACTTACATATGGATACTTGGCTCCTTCCAAGGCAGCTAATTCTTGCTGCAGTAGACAGGGATACCTGAATACATTGTGCTTGTGGGCCCGTATTTTCCTCCCAACACTGCTTTCATCCCTTTCATATTTGTATCTGTCTTTGGTTCAGGAAAGTTTTCCCTAGCCCTGCCCAGTGTGCTTCATGCTTGATGTTCACATGGAATTTCCAGAAGAATGAAACCAAAAGGGATGCTGACCTCATTTGAAAGATCTTCTCCCTGAGTTTTCCAATGCAGTTCAGTAACAGTGAGAGTGTGGTTTGCACAGGTTCCGGAGCAGCACGTTCTGCTCTGTATTTTTCTCTCTAGTGTCATGTGTAAGTTGTTTCTTGGCTACTGAACACACCATTATTGAGCTTGCCAGGGCAGGAGCTGTTGCAGCTCCTCCTGTAGCAGCATTTCCAGCCACCTTGCTCATGAGTGGCAGAACAGCTTTCAAAAAGGCATAATCATACAATTTGTGTGAAGAGTACATTTGGCATGGCTGATTCACTCATTACAGCACTTGTGCAACGAGAGGAACCCTCAAGTAACTGGTGCTTCATGGATTCATTTTGCATTTGTTTCTGTATTCAAAATCTTACCACGCTTGAAGGCAGCAAGTTTATTGGTCTCTTTTTTTTTTGATGGTAATGGAGAAACCAGTCACCCCATTCATTGAGGGCATCTCTTTCAGGGTGAAGGAGATGGGATTTCATTTCCAGGTACAGTGAGAGCTCTGCTCAGAAGTGTGCTCCCTTGCTGACCCATGGAGTCCCACCACTGAGCTGTAATGAAGGTCCTGTGCACTTGCTGCCTCCTGTCCTGTTCAGCCTGCCTGATCCTGTATCTTGGCATTGAATCCACAGGCAAATTTAATCTTTTCCTTTTCTTTCCTGACACTTAAAAGAAAAATACAGAGTATTTTTTTCTGGAAATGACACACTTTCTCACACTTTGTATACTTGGAAAGCAAACCTGTCAGCTCCAGCCAGTGCTATTCTTGAGACTCTCTTTCTGCACAAGATTTCACCTGCTTTGATTTTTCCCTAGCAAAGTTTTGCTACTATGAGGTAATCTGTAGGCACAGAAAAGAGGATTTGGCAATGCACAAAGTCACTTTGGTGGTTACTCAAGCATAGTGTCACCTAGCTTGAGTGTGCAACCCTTAAGATCAAGTCCAACCATAAACTTAATGCTGCCAAGTCCACCACTAGACCATATCCCTAAGGGCCATATCGACAGGTCATTTAAATACCTCCAGGGATGGTGACTCCAGCACTGCCCTGGGCAGCCTGTTCCAATGCCTGAGCACCCTCTGGAGAAGGAATTGTTCCTCAGCTCCACCTAAACCTGCCCTGGTGCAGCTTGAGGCCGTTTCCTCTTGTCCCATCCCTTGTTTCTTGGGAGCAGAGCCCAGCCCCTCCTGGCTCCATCTTCCTGTCAGGCAGGTGTAGGGAGCGATAAGGACCCCCCAAGCCTTCTCTTCTCCACACTGAACCCCCCAGTTCCCTCAGCTGTTCCCCATCACACTTGTGCTCCAGCTCCATTCCCTTCTCTGGCCCCGCTCCAGCACCTCAATATCTCTCTGGCAGTGAGGGGCTCATAGCTGAACACAGGATTCGAGGTGTGGCCTCACCAGTGAGTGCCCAGTGCAGGGGCACAACCACTGCCCTGGCCCTGCTGCTGCACTGGTGCTGGTACAGGCCAGGATGCTGGTGGTTCCTGGCTGCCTGGGCACAAGCTGCTCATGTTCAGCTCTGTCAGTGAGCACCCCCAGGTCCTTTCCCATGAGCAGTTTCCAGTCACTCTGCCGCAAGCCTGGAGCATTGCAGGGGGTTGTTGTGGCCCAGGTGCAGGACACAGCACTTTACTTTGTTGAACCGCACACTGTTGGCCACAGCCATGAATCCAGTCTGTCCAGATCCCTCTGCAGAGCCTCCTGCCCTTCTGCAGATCAGCAGCTCAGCTGTGAAAGTGATGTGCTTGCACTGTCATTGCGTGACCATGTTGTAATTATCTAGTTGTTCATCACTGTGCTGTACCCTAAGCACTACCAAACTGTTGGTGTACAGTTATTTGCAGGTACTGTATTTGTGTGCAGGGTGTGTTAGTCCTTTCTGTTAGTGGAACACAAATACAGAAATTGCTTATATAAAAGCTGTGCCTGAACTATAGAGAGGACAATAGTTAAAATAAACAGGTAAGAGAACCTTTAATACATTATGGAGAGAAAAGGTGCAACTAAAACCATGTGGAGGTCAGAAAAGATGACAGACAATTTTAAGCAGTGTATATCCATATGCATTTGGGTGATGGCCATTCACAGACCTGGTCTATGAAAAGCAGATTCTCAAGATGAAGGAAAGGTTTAATCTTATTCTTCTTTCCAATGCACCTTGAGGTTGTTCCTAAAGCATCAGCTCAGCTCAGATCTCCTTGGCTATTGGGCAGGTGCTTTGACAGGAGATGTGTGGGCTGCTTGGAAGTCTGAATGAAGAGTAAAACCTTCAAAGGAGGACTTGCTTAGGTGGTCTTGGCTGGCTTGCTTAATCTTGAAACACTCACAAAGGCAAAGATGCATAGGACTGCATGAATATCCCACCCAATTTCAATCCCATATGATCAAAGGAATAAAAGGGATACAGAATTACTGCAGCACCATGCACACTTGACACACCTGACACACTTGATGTTAATACTGGCAATGACTGAGCTTGAAATGCATGAGATCAAGTTCAAATGAGCATCTGGGGGTTTCAAAACTTCTAAAAAATTACACTTGAAAATAGGAAGAAAACCCAGAAAGAAATAAAATTCAGCAGAAACTGCTAATGAGACCTCCACAAAATATTTTCTCACCATGATCTACTTCAGATGGAGTTGAAATACCTGGATTGTAGTTTGTATGGGCAGGATTTTTTCTGTACTTTCAGTAATATCTGCATAAGAAAAGACTCCTGAGCTGCTTCACAGACTGCAGAGATTGCAGGGCTCACCTGCAATCAGAGTTGCTCTCATTGCTTTCAGAGGAAACTCACCCTCCCTCCCCTGCTCACTGATAGAGCCCAAAAGCTAAAAGGTTCATCTTACATTAAAAGAGCAGTTCCACTTTGCTTGAATTAAGATGAACTTTCTTGGTGCAGGCACTGCTTCCTCATTCACACCAAACCTCTGCTTCCCACCAAATTTAGCTACATACACTAATCTTTTATGTTCATTTTGAATCTATACCCCTACGGAAGCTTCATTTGTCAGCCACTTTTTCTGCACCTTCAGAGCCCAGAATTCAGTCAGCTACAAATTGTGTCCATACAGAGAAAGAGAAGGGGGGAAAAGTCAAGCTTTTAAAAGAGATTTCTTATTTTCTTCACATCCATGATATAAAAAAGCTTGTACTGAGGTAAAAGGAGGACTTCTCTGAGCAAATACATGTAATACAAGATGGGTTATGGAATTTGAGCTGGTTATAAATTCAGTGGGAAAGAAGACTGAACACGCATCTCCCTGTTAGTAGTTAAGGTGCTTTCTGTTTCTTCTGGCTTTTTTTCCAGCTCTGCATGCAGTACTGGCCAGAGAAGACTTCCTGTTGTTATGGCCCCATTCAAGTAGAGTTTGTTTCAGCAGACATTGATGAAGATATCATCAATCGGATATTCCGGATCTGCAACATGGCCAGGGTAAGAGCAGTGAGATACCAGCTTCCCTTCTCTCAAATGTCTATTTTGGCACAAGGAATAGGCAGAACCAAGACTTGTGGTTTAGAGATGCTGAATCCCTCACCTAGGAACAAAATTCCACTGCAGAATTTAGTAGCTACTTCTTTTAATTAACATTTAATTGCATCAGTCTGTGTTGGTAAAAGATTCTTGGCTGAAAGTAGAGAGTGGATGATATGAGCTGAAAATCTGTATTTAAATGTAAAGCATTTTTGTGTCTGTATTTGAGATAAATTAATCACTCTGTAGCCAATATAAAACCATTGGTATCATAGGAAATAAAACTGGGATGGTGTCAGCAGCTCTCCCATCTGTCAGCTGCTGTGCAATGTCTCTGAAGACAGGTCCATTGTTTACTGGCTAGACTGGGATTCCCCATGGCCCAGTTTTCCTATAAACAAGCAACTGCCATTTCTGTAACTAATTCTGTCTCTGTATTCCTCAGCCCCAGGACAACTGAAACGATAGAAACAAAGTTTATCTGCGCACTGGACCCTGACAGCACAACTTCAGAGCTGCAGGGAAGACTTCCAGGAGAGGATTTTTCTCTCCTTAGTTGTTTCCCAGATTGATTATGTCTCCTTTCTAGTTTTTTCTAATCAGAAATGGAAACAGGCTCCCCAGATCACTTTTCCATGCTGTTTTACACATCAGTCTCTGACTGCATGATCAGAGCCTGAGCAGCAATTCAGTCATGGCATTGCAGAGTGAACCTTGTGGTCCAACTACACAATTGATGTATCAGATATTTACCTTCTGTATCCCACGCCAGCTGCCTCAGAACCAGTCTTGAAATCATACAGCTGATAAGACCAAGGCTCTGGGTCTCTCAGGACGGAGCTGGCTCCTGACTGCGTGGCTGGCAGGGTGGATGTTGGGAACTCACAATTCTCTGCACCCATCTTAGTTAGACACCAGTGGCCACTGCTAAAATCTTTGTGAGGATCCTTTCCTGCCATGGCCCCCAGAGATTTTTCTGAGGGCCGCCTTTGCCGTGTTCTTACGGCACAATGAATCTGCAGCACAGGCAACCAGGAAAGAGAGATTTGATCTATTTGATCTACTCGTACGGTTTTATGAGACTTTATTCTCTCCTGGGAGCAACAAAGGATCCTGTGCACCTGCTTTCTGCCTGGCTGTGTAATATCTGAGATCATCTTTGTTATTCAGATTACTGAAAAGTCCTTGTTTCCCCACTGTATCAGGTATCCAGAGTGCAAGATGTTAATCATAGAATCACAGACTGGTTTGGGGTGGAAGGGACCTTAAAACTCAACAGTTCTACCCCCTGCCATGGGCAGGGACACCTTCCACTAGAGCAGCTTGCTCCAAGCCCCATCCAACCTGGCCTTGAACACTGCCAGGGATGGGGATTAACACTGATGATAAGAGATCCAGAAGGGAAGATGTAACCAGTGCCCCCTGCTTTACCCTATCTCTGTGTTCTGCAACATCCCATCTCACATCTTGAAAACACTCTTTGTTTCAGCCGCAGGATGGGTACCGCATAGTTCAGCATCTGCAGTACATTGGCTGGCCAGCATACAGGGACACCCCTCCTTCCAAACGCTCCCTCCTCAAGGTGGTCAGAAGGTTGGAGAAGTGGCAAGAACAGTACGATGGGAGAGATGGACGGACTGTTGTCCACTGCCTGTAAGTAGGACTGGAGAATGTCTGTAAGCTCATGAAATGCTGTCTGAAGAGCACTGATGATGGATCTGGAAATCTGGTGGCTTGCCAGGCTTCAGCTGAGGAAAATAAAGTTAATTATGTTTGTAATGAACTTCAAGTTGAATATTGTGCTACTTCATAGCATCCTGGCCTCGAGATTTTATGACTCAGGAGTAGCTGAAAAAGCTCTGCTAACTTTCTGCTGTATAGGTAGGTCTCATAGGTGGAGCCCAGATGCAATCAATGCAGTGCTGCCACGTGTTCCAGTGTGACCACAGAGCAGTGAGGAGCAGCACTGCAGTCCCTGGGACTTCCCTGTCCACCACTGCCAGGAATGAGCTTAGCTCTTCCACCCATCTACTGCCCTGCAGGTCTCCACTTTCACAAACCCTTGAATGTTCTTCACCTATCCTTATATTACAGACCTTCCTTAGCATATATGGTGTGAGAGCTGCAGTGCAAGTAGTGCTCTCCTCCATTCCCTCAGTCTTCATAGAATCCCAGACTGGTTGCGCTTGGAAGGGATCCTAAAGCTCATCCAGTTCCCACCCCTGCCACGGGCAGGGACCCCTTCCACTAGAGCAGCTTGCTCCAAGCCCCTGTGTCCAACCTGCCCTTGAACACTGCCAGGGATGGGACAGTCACAGCTTCTCTGAGTAACCTGTACCTGTGTCTCACCACCCTCACAGGGACTCGCTCAAGCAGGTCCATGTCCTGTCTTCACCTCTTGCCTCTTTTCTTGTGCTCCCAGGAATGGTGGGGGACGCAGCGGCACTTTCTGTGCCATCTGCAGCGTGTGTGAAATGATTCAACAGCAGAATATCATTGATGTGTTCCACATAGTGAAAACGCTACGGAATAACAAATCCAACATGGTGGAGTCATTGGTAAGCTTTTTTAACCTGTGCCTTACCCATCCAGCATATGCAGGGAGGCTTCAGGATAGGTTAAAGAACCACAGAATCCCAGAGTGGTTTAGGCTGGAAGGGACCTTAAAGCTCATCCAGTTCCAACCCCCTGCCACCTTCCACTAGACTAGGTTGCTCCAAGCCCTGTCCAACATGGCTTAGATCAGTATGAATCAAAATGAATCTGAACATGGATCCATCAGAGTTAAAATCAGTCCTATTTTAGTATGTGCAATGAATCCTCTGGTCCTGCTGCTTCCCTGAACAATGTCTGCCATGCCCAACTGCTTCCAGGAGGTTAAACTCCAAGTCGCCATCACCGTGGCTTTGGGGAGTGTGGGGATTTCTCTTCCTGTGCCTGCATACAGCCTGACACTTAATGCTGTGACATGCCTTGAAGCCAGGAAGGGAGAACAGACCGAGCCCCAGGCCTTGATCCCTGCAACCAAAGAGATAAAACTGTCCTGATTTGAACCATCCCAACTGATCACACTGAATTCTTTCCTCAGAATCAATGTGTGCAATGAGTGCTTGAAGCAAACAATGAATAGTCCATACTTTGGCTGTTGCTATGAGTGTTTTGTCTCTATGACTGTTTTTCTCTTCCACTGGTGATACCATCCCTTAGTAGTGCTTGCTCAGGATCGCGTGGAAAGGCAATTACTGTTTGCCTGGTGCTGCCAAATGGTGTAGAAAAGAAGGCATTTTTGGCAGCTTGCAAAATGAGGCTCTGAAGAATTTGCCCGTATCCTAATGCTGGTGATTTCTATTCTCTCTTTCAGGAACAGTATAGATTTGTATACGAGGTTGCACTGGAATACTTGAGTTCCTTTTAGCGCAGTGGAGGCATGGGAGCCTCTGGAATGCCAGACCCCAATCTCTGGCCAATGCTTCTCCCTTCTCCCACACTGGAAGGCAGTGACAAGCGTGGGAAGGAAAACCTCTCCTTCCCGGAGCAAGAGACTGAGACTGCACAGACCTGTCTGGATGGAGGAGCCGATGCCTGTGTCTGCAGCTGCCTGCTTTCCCTCAAACATCTCCTGCTTCATGAATAACCTCCTGTAAAAATCAGCAACACGGGAAACAGGCTCAAGACTGGACTTCCAATCCCCTCTGACTTCTTCTCTCCTCTTTGGGATTGTATTTTTGCTCTCCTTGCTGCAGAGTGGGGAAGGAATGAAACCCTGAGGAAATTCTCTTTTCAATGTCTCCTTTTTAATTTATAATTTTGTTCTCAAATCCTAGCCTCTAAGTTTTTAATTCCATGCAGCAGTCATTTGGGACAAATGAGATAGCCATAGGGGACATCGGAAATGGTTCATTACCATTTGTCTGCCTTCCCTGTTTATTTGTTTTTCCAAATGAAAAGGCCAACACAAGAGAAAAAAAAACCCAACCAGCCAACATTGGAATTCTCTTCTCATGTGTAGCTCCTTTTAGCATGAAAACAGATGGTGGACATGAGAAGCTGTTCATGGATTCACTGCCTTGGCTTCTACCCAGATGTTTCCTCCCAGTTTCTGCTAGGCTCCCAAGGCTGTGCATGAACCAGTTCCAGCTCTGGTCTGCGTTCCTTTCAGTGCTGGTGAAGCAATACCAGGAATGAGTTTCCCACGCACTTGAACCTTAAGGTTAAATATTTGCATCAAACAAATTGCATTTGTCTTGCAATTGGTAACTTTGTTACCACGTTTTTCAAGTATTTGCTGGGGTGCAGTGTGTTTGACGAACAGGGTATACAGTAGGTATTATTGATCATATACTATGTATTGCTATTTCTTATTTATAACTTGTATTGCTGTACAATACAAACTCGGGACCCCTAGTCACGACAGGACCCTGCTGAACTAGGCACTGTGCAAACAGAGGACAAAGAAGGTTCCTGCTCAGGAGCTTCTGAAGATAAGTCTTAAAATTGGGCTTGCTCAAGATTTCCTCACTATTTCCAAACTGTTGTACAATCAGATGCAGTTGAGTGATTTATTCAGACCTCCTTAAAAACAGTAACCCATCCAAGGTGCAGGAAAGGTGATGTACATACAGAGAAACCTATTCTGGCATGTGCTAAGGAGGGGTTAAACCAGCAACTCCCCTTCTCAAACGAATCAGCTTTTGTTTTATTCTGCAGAAATGCCTGTGCAAATCTCCTCCTTTGAAACAAACACCAGATGTGTTCTGCCATGTTCTGGATCTCACTCTGACTTCTCAGCAGCTAAGAAATTGCTTTTCTGAGGGGGGATGTTGCAGTAGTTAATCACTGAGATCTGCAGGGTAATCTTGGAGAAAAAATAATTGAATGAACAAGGCCTTACAATATTCAGTATTTCAATTTAGCCATTTATATATCTTGAGGGTGCAGGGATATGAGGCTGCTCTGTGTGTAAATTAGATTCTGGGAGATGAAGGTTTCTTCCGATACAGACTTGCTCAAAGATAGACTGAAGAGTTGAAGGAAACTCCACTTTCTTACCTCTCTCAGGTAAATACCTGGAGACTGTGCTGGGAGCTCTGTCATGTCAGTGCCTGGTACAGAGCATGCCAGGAGTTCCAAACAGGTTACTAATTCTGTATGTAAATTCAAAAGGCACCTCTGCTTCGTGGTCATTATTGTATCAATAGTCATGCCTTTACCTTGACAACGAAGGATGAAAATCTGATAAAAACAACTCTCAACTCATACAACATACCAGTATCTAACCAAATAGTTATCATCAATACCAGGACCTGCAACAGGCGAAGGAAGGATGCTTGGAACAGCAATAATCCTCCTCCAGAGTGAAGAGGAGGGGCTTCTTAGGATGCTGAAGCACCTAGCTCATATTCTTTTCGAGGAGCTTTGGATTCTTAAGAATAATGAAGGTTTTAAATGAGGTAGAACCAGATTCTTCCTGATGTAGCCACTATGCCCTAAAGTATCAGTGAGAAACCCTTCACAGGTGCCTCTGCTCTGCTTCTGTTTGGTCCTTTCTGTTGTCTGCATGAAATCATTAATCATAGAATCACAGACTGGTTTGTGTTGGAAGGGACCTTCCAGCTCCAACCCCTTCCACGGGCAGGGACACCTTCCACTAGAGCAGCTTGCTCCAAGCCCCTGTGTCCAACCTGGCCTTGAACACTGCCAGGGATGGGGAAATCCCCTTTAGTTCCTATTGGGGCTGTAGATGGATGTCTGGCATCTCATGAAACAAACTACTGGTTGTAATTGTTTTTTTGGTTGTTTTTTCCTTTTGCCTCTAAGAAACACAAACAATTCTGTAGAAGAAAAGAAAATGGAAAGCAAAGCAAAACTATGAGTTAAAAATGAGAAGGAAGACGTGTTTGTGTTCTGCTTACACGTGACTGGCTGCAACAGTGTAGGTCAGGAGCTGGGAGCCATTAGCAAAGAGAGAATCTGGATCCCAGAAAGGGCTTTTCCAACAACTGCCCAGGTAGGAAGAAGCTACAAGTCAGTGAAGTTTTTGTGCCTTCACTAACTCCAGAAGGCCAGAGGGAGTCATTCCCTGTGGATACTATGGAAATGGTCATTAGTAGTTAGCATAGAAACTAGCATAGTGATAGGGCCTCCTCATGAGTTACTGAAAGCACTGAGGGGAACAGCCAGGATAAAAGGACTAGACAGGTAGAAGAAATGGCAATAGGATTGAGATGTGAAGTGTGGGAGGTAAATCAAGGCTTAACAGTAGCATGAAGGAAAGTGAATTAAAAAGCCAGAAGGAAGCTCATAGGAGAGATGTGTGTGTGGAGAGCAGGAGTTGCTGGATGAGCAGAGCAGCACAGAACTTGCAGTGGAGTTATTTAAGGTTTTGAGGTAGGTTTGAATGTGCTTGACTGAAGGGCCAAGTCCTGTCTCATCTGACCCACAGCAGCACACCATGTGCTTTTAGCCCTCTGCAAATGCCAAGTGATGGTAGCATACACTGCAGGGAGAGAGATTAAGCTAAATTTTACCTTTAATTTGCAAGGAACAAGTTTAATGCTGGTTACCACAGCCTGTTAGTCACAGCTTATGATGTGGTGGTAACTGTGCTGTGTGTCTCAACCTTCTTCTAATGCCCACCATACAATCCCTGGGAAAGATGCTCAGCACACTACGGATGGTGTTGCTGTTATATCATCATGCTTTTGGGGACTGACCAGCTCCACTCTGTGTTAGCTCAGGGACCTTTATGCTGTTTCTTACTGGAAGATGCATGTATGCTGAACGGAAATTAATGATGAAGGGAATTGTGTGGCAAGAGAAGAGAAGCTCATTTAAATAACCTTATTACCTTGAGCTTGTTTAAACCCTAGAGAAAAGTCTGTAGCAAAATAGGTGACATGTTGGAGCAAGATTATGGGTGATGGGTTTGTTTATGCTAGGAAAGGGAGAAAATATGAGATGAGCTGAAGGAGCTTTCTCACTGCTGAAAGGTTTAATAGTCAAGTTGAGCTTTCCCACCTGAGCATCCCCTGCTGTGGTAGAAAGCAATAATGTACAGTAGAAAAGGTGAATTCCTCCATGTCTGAAGTTTAGGCTGATAAGATGTAACATTGACAGTGTTTGAATGGACATAATGACAAGAAACTTAGTCCCATTCAGACATCCTGCAGGAGTGAGGGAGCACTATTTATTGATAGCATAGCATTGGTCTAGTGTTTAATCTGAATTACAAGGGACTAGAAATAGGTAAAGAAGGATGGTTCAGGGGTCACTGACTCAGGGTGTAACTAACATCTCAAATTGTTAAGGGATATAACCAAAGCAGTGAATTCCAGAGCTATCTAGGCTGGCTGCTGGAGAAGGAAGAGAGTTGTCTGCAGGGGAAAGATAGAGCAAACCCCCTAAAAGGTGCAGTAGGTCTTAACAGTCTGTTCTTTTTGTAGTTCTCTGTGTGTGTTTGGTGGTGGTTTGTAGGTGGGGTTTTTAATCACGATCTCTGCAGGAGCTGTGTCCTTGCTCTTCTTTTTGTTTTGCCTTCTTCAAATTACCTGTAAGGAAAAAAGACTTTCGACCTCCTGTAAATAAACTGGAGGGACTTGTTTATTAACTGAAAGAAAAGAGAAGATGCAGGGGAGCACAGTGTACGTCTGAAGGAACTGAATCAGGACCTCTGGTAGCAAGCAAGCAAATGGGAATTTGGTGGTTTTATTTATGGCTGCAGTTTGAAATAATTGGTATTCTGTGATCAGGGCAGTCAGCAGGAGGCCTTTCAGTCTGTGGTTTAAATTCTTCAGCAGGGTTGCACAGAATTATCATAGAAATCATGAAGTGAGATCTGCCTTTGCCAGTCTCTGGTGGTTACTGTAATTTAGTCACATTTTAGCCATTGATGTGAGTTAAAGTTGTCCATTTTGGTCAGTAGTTTCCAACCTTTTATTCTGGATCTGAAAAAAACTCCCTGTAAAAAGAAAGCCCAGTGGCAATATAGACCCCACAGTAGTAGGTGTAAGCATGCAGATGGTAGACCTGCTTTTCCATTTACTTTTCACAGGCCCTTTAGAAGTAGTTTGTGGGATTTCCCTTGGGAATCTCAAGCCAGGGATTGCTGGTCACTGCTCTTGATGAGCTGTAGAGTCAGAGAAAGGAGGTGATTCAGAAAGCAGTTAAACCAGTTGCCATCAGGAAGAGAAGGAGAAGAAACCTCCTTTGGGAGAAATAAACATTGGAGAAGGCAGATTAACTGGAGTCCTGAAACAGGTGGAAACTTGCACTTTGTTCTGTCTCTCCTGCTTGCACAGCTACTCTTGTTTCTTACTATTCTGAGTTCATGCCGAGATCATAAACACCAGGTAATGCTGCATTCCATGCTGTGGAGCTTTACGGAGATGGAGCAGAGTGTTACAGAGGGAATAAATCCTGAGAGACAAAGATAAAATGAGGTTTGCTGGAGAGAGGAACCTGCAAATACGAGGTGTTTCTGCCACACTTGCAGAATTCTTATCAAGCCACCCGAGCACACACAGTCCTGGTTCAGCCCTGGATGTGCCAATGGAAATGTGCCACTTAGAAAACTTCGTTGTCCTGGAGTCAGTTTAAACAAACAGCTCTGTTACACGGGTAGCACAGTTAACGTTGGTATCTCCAGCTGGTGCAAGGGGCATCTGCAGACCTTGATGTAAGCCGCTGTATTTTCATTTGGGGTTCTTTCGTTTCTCTTCACTGTACACAGTTCAGTCAACCCTGGTTTGTTAGACAAGTAGAGCCCCATGTGGCAAAAGTTATTGAGCATAACCACTGCCTTTGGGTCAAAACCTCAGCATACCTGCTAGGACACTCTCAAAAGGTAGGCAAACTACTGCATCTTCCCTGCACAGACGTTTCCAAGATAGAAAGGGGGAGCCAGCTAATGAAAGTCAGGGGGACATAACTGAGTACTAAAGATTCTGTTAACCCCACTGTTCCCAGCTATTTAGATTTCAGGCTTCTATAGACATACATACATAATACACAGTTTAAATGCAAGTGCTCTTTCTTTCCCTGCTCCCCAAAATACCTAGAGCTCTTCCTTCATCAAGGGCAAGCGAACAGCATAGCAAGCAAAGCCCACTTTCTGCAGTTCTGCCACGGACCACTAGGAAAATCTGTCATGTATTATCTGTTCATTGACTTGGAAAAGTTATCATAGAATCACAGCCTGGACCTTAAAGCTCATCCAGTTCCAACCCCTGCCACGAGCAGGGACACCTTCCACTAGAGCAGCTTGCTCCAAGCCCCTGTGTCCAACCTGCCCTTGAACACTGCCAGGGATGGGGCAGCCACAGCTTCTCTGGGCAACCTTCATCTTCCTCATATACATACTTGAAGAATGTACAATTTGCTGTAACTGTCTGGCAAAATCATCTATTTTCATACACAGGGACCAAATCCTGGTGATACTGAGTGTGATGGGAAGAAAAAACCCCAAACTTGCTGACTTCCAGTGATTATGTAGTCTATAATCTTTATTTGCTCTGTTAAAATATTTTAAAAGCCTCCCCTGTAAAAAACCACCTCCCCTCAGCTGTCCTGCAGTTGGACTGACATAATGGTGAAATCCTGGCAGCTTTTCCAGTTTGTAGAAACATGAGAGACAAATCAGCCTTTCCACCCTCAGCCCAGTGCATGCAGCAGGTTTTTCACCACTATTCTGTTTTCAACCTGAGCCTTAAAAACCAAAATAATGCAGGAGACTGAACGCCGGATGCTGGTGTTCCCGTAGTGTTGGCTGGTGGGGGGAAAGAAAAGAAAAATGGCATGAGAAAAGAGCACACTAACATGTTTTCCTTGCAACTCAATTCAGCATGAGCTGTTTCTAAGCAGTACAAACATGAGCCATTCCATGCTACGTCATCTGCAGAAAGGATTTGCTTGTTGCAAGGGGAAGGTATGCAGTAAAGGCACCCCTCGGGACCTGGTATTTCATATGTAGGTATCCAACAGCACTGTGGTTCCTTTAGTGGAGATGCTTTCAGAGAGTGATGGTGATTCAGTGGAGGTGTTTGTCACTGGGAGATCTGATACCCTGAAGCACCACTCTTTGGGAACGTGAGATACCTCAAACATGTTGGGATCTGTTTCCTTGTGTGTGTCATTTTAATGGGGACCTCCAGGAAATGTTATTTCTGTGAAATTATGGAAAGGAGTGCATTTGGGGGATGGAAGTGGGAGTGTGGCCAGCACTTCACAAGCTTTCATGAACTTAGATGCTCTAACCAGACTCCCCAGAATGGTCAGTTTTTTGCATTGCTAACAGTCTAACCAGACACCATGTGCTAGACTTTCATGTACCTGGAGCAGAACTGGCATTACCCTCTCATTGTCCCTGTAGCCCTTTCTTACATCTCCAGCCCTTAAACACTGTACTTCTATGCCAAAAGTTGGAGCTGTATCCTTAACACATCCTCTAACCCATGTGGACTAACTGCATTGACAAAATTCACTCCCATATTGATTTAACCTCCTCCACCTCCTCCCTCCCCACACCACTCCTGTTGACATTAAACTGTATGAGCATCGCTTATTGCCACACCTGGCACTACTTCACACAGCAATGCTGTGGCTGCATCTGGATCAGCAGTATCCTCTTCCAGCTCCCTCGATGCATTTTGGCAGCAGGGAGGAATGCTGCATGAGAGAGAGTCTCTGCTGTTGCAATGCCACCCCCATCTGCCCCCCTCCTTTGGCCTTTATGGATTACTGGTGAAACTCACTTGTACAGTTTGGATGTTTGATAGATAAAGCACGTATGGAAAAAAAAGGAAAAAAATATAAATACAGAAATCTCAACACTGTGCATTCAGTGTCTTTCTAGCTTAAAAGAAGGAAGGTAAATAATGTCAAGTCAATGAATATCAGATATATTTTTTGACTGTACATTACAGTGAAGTGTAATCTTTTTTTTACAACTGCGAGTCCATCTTATTTATTCTTGTAAATGTTCCCAGACAATGTTTGTAATATGGGCTGTGTTGCAAATCCATAAAATAAATCTGTGATCTGAGAGTAATGTTTTACTAAGGACTCTTGTACTCGTGCCTTTTCTTTGCACTGAGGGACAGCGTGTCGCAAACAGCACTACTAGAAATGCTGGGGTGGTTGCATGGAAAAAAACAAGTGCAGTTTCTTTGTCACAGTGATGGGCTGTGCATCACTGATGTCATTCAGGAGGAGGTTGAGAGCAGCAATGGGCATTTCAGTCTGCCTGCAGATTTGGGGTCAGTCCTCTCAGAACTTCTGTGTATGAGAGCTAAGTAGTTATGAAAATTATAGTCTTAGCAGCATGGGTTAGAGTGAAGAATATTTTAGCAACGTTTTCTTTCTAACAGGTATTAATATATTGTTTCCTTGGTGTTCAGTGCTGAATAACAATTACTGATACTGAGCTTTTTGTGGTGGTTTCTGTCGACAGACACCCAGGGGGCTTTAGTGCAGCTGTTGCATGCCAAGCCCAAGCACAAGAGATGAGTGTCAGGAGGAGCGTTCTCACACGTTTCCCAGCAGGCTGTCATCTTATGGGCTTCTACACTTGTTTATTAACAGACCTTGCCACCCAGGTCAGCCAGTGCAAAGGAGTAGATCATAGGCAAGGCATTACACAAGGCTGCCGTGCTCTGAAGACCTCTTCTTTCCCAGAATACAAGCAGGAGTATGTCAAGGGTCACAGCTTGGAGTGTCAGAAGAGCCCAGTCGTGCCATGCTCACACAACCCAACTGGTAAGATCGACTCTTTCTGGCATTTTTCATTAGCCTTACTAGAAAAGTTAACAAATCAGGCACCTTAACAAGGACAATGTCACTCTTTTTCTTGAAGCATAGTAAACATCCCTGGGATCACCTTGGAAGCATACTTTGCTATTACTTTACTGTTTCTTTTTGTATGTATTCACTATTTGCTTTTGAAAATACTGCAATTCTTCACTGCTATGAACAGAGCTCTGTTTCTGCACCAGGTCTGAGTGTTTGGCTCAGATGCCTGTGGTTTTTCATTGGCCTGATGAAGCAAATTCCCCATCTTAATTGCAGTGAACGTTCAGATATAGCAACTGTTTATTCAGAGCATTCATTATAATGGGGTTAGACTGTGTAAAACACCCTTCAGTAACAGTTATTGTTATGCTAGGAAGAAGTTGACACCAAAGAACACCTTACCACAGCTCCAGATTGAGAGGCAGTTTTACCTGCTCAGCCCTAGCTTTACCAGAGACAGCTGGATGTTCATGGTGATTAATTACAATTCATCTTGGCACTTGATCCAGATTTATCCAAAATATTTTGCTGACACTTGGTAATAACAGCAGTTTGCATGTGTTGAAGGTAAACAGCAGAGACAGCTCTGCCGTATTCCAGATGGTCTTACAAAGATCCATGTTGAAATGCCAGCACTGAGAAACAGACACGAATTCACCTTTCTGTCCTGCTTTCTACCCAGCACAAGGGTAGTGGTGGCTTAAAGTGCTGGGGAAAGACAGATGCAGAAGCCTGAAACCCAGTGGGGTTCAAAGTCTTCATACCCTGTTCCTGCTGCTGTGACTGGCACGTGCCAGGGTGTGAATGCAGCATAGATTTTACCCAGGTGAGTCACTGCCTCCAAGTATCAGCTGCTGCTTTCCCATCCATCCATCCATCCGTCCGTCCGTCCGTCCATCCGTCCGTCCATCCATCCCTCCATCCATCCCAACATCCCCACCATGACTGGTATCATCACACGGATACTACTGCAAGGTCTGTCAAGTGTGACCGATGCTCTTTGCTGAGCCGAAGCTCTGGGTTTCACAGGTTAAACCTTTAACTATCATATCTCATACAGAACCGACTCTGCTGCTGCTGTTTAACAGCAGACTTCAAACCTGGGACTTAATCAGGCATGGCTGTCTACGTGATAGCTGTCCACGTAGAGAGGGAACATGAACAACTGTCTTGATGGTGAGAAAGAGGCCTCCCCAGAGGATGAGTCAGTCCTGAATAAAGCAGTCTGGGGCAGATGGGTTGGATTGTCCTCTGAATGTGTCCATCTTGCTCCACTGATTGAGTTCACCAGGTAACCAGTAACTCAGACAACTAATTCTGAGACAGCTGCAGTTAGACGAGGTTTGTTCCCCTAGTAGATACCTGTAAGCAAATGACCCGTGTCATAAATTAAATGGCATAAAGAGAGAAGGAACAGATTGAATGCTTCTTGCTTATGCTTGGAGATTCTTCTTCTGAGCCATGTAGCTAGGCCATTCCAGATCCTCTCTTTTGTCAAGGCTCACAGTTGAAAAAGATATTTTTCTTTTAAATGCTGTCCTATGTTAATCCTACTTCTGTACAATGAGGCATTACTTTAATTTACATGAACTAAACCAAATAAAAAGACGTGTACTTTTTCTCGTAATGATCTTGGGGTTTGTGACTTATTTCTATGACTATTTGTGCTTATTTTATGTTTCTCACTAAGAGTGTTTATAACAGGCTTGTAAAAGCTTACCCATAAAGTCGCTATATATCATGCATTAGTAGCTACAAAGCATTTATGCTGCAGGTCAATAGGGTTACTTAAAAGTCTGTAACATTTACTGATGTGTTTATGAATACCTATAATAGACTCTTTATGCCCAAAACAATGTAATGTTTAGTACTCCTTTATTAATACATCGTAGATGATATATAGCTAGGATAAACCATAACCTGATGGAATTTTCTGTGATGTAATAGAACAGCTTTTTTATTTCATGTAAAAATGTTCCCTCTAAAACGAGCAAAAGAAAGCCTGGCTTGCACAGAAAATCTGTGAAATATGCAGAACCTTCTTCTGGAGATGAATAAACCCAGAAGCCTCAGCAGGCTCAAATACAGGATGGACATGAGCCTTGTTCCATGTAGGATCAAGAAGATGAAGAGCTTGTACTAAATATCCTCTTATTTGAAATTTCTAAAGGTGTTCCTGGATGTATCCTTTCACTTGTGTTTCATTACTAAGTATGCTGAGAAGGAAGGTGATGTTAAGAAGGAGAGGCTACCAGTTATCACCTGAGCCTGTTCTGTAGGAAACTCTTATCACAGCTCTCAGCTCCACCATGGACTTACCATGTTACTAGGAAAGTGAAGTGGTTGGTATGTACAATGCTAATTTTGCAATAGGCTCCTCTGTTACAGTGCCTGAGTGTGGGATATCACGAGGCGATACCCAGATGGTTCTTTCTTCCAAGAAACATGCTGAATTGTGCTTGAACTAACTGATTTTTTCCATCCACAGGATCCATGTAGGACCCACCAGCAGAGCATGGACCTCCATGCAGGACTGAGGTAATCCAGTTTTCTGCATTGCTCTTGCAAATGAACCTGTTTGATCAGCAAAGTAGAGAAGCAATTGTTCGTACAACTGTGTGTGCGTGTGTGTGCTTGTCTGTGTCTTCCTGACTGGAAGGCTTTATTGATGGTGTTGGTACAGTCCAGGGTGCTGAAAATGGAAGAATGGGTTGTCTAGGAAAATGCTGCTGATGTGCAAAGAAACAAAACTATTGTTTATTCTGGTGCCATAGGAACTATCTTGCACAGGAAAATAACCTTTGACAAAAGGAGGTAATAAGCAACTCCAGTTCTCTGAGCTTGTGTGTATATGCGTTTGCTTATAATTACACCACATGGCTGAATGTGTGAATACACCAATTGTAAGTAGCCAGTTTCCAGAATGAAGACATTTTGTCCAGTGAGAGTGCTAAAACACTGGCACAGGTTGCCCAGAGAGGTGGTGGATGCCCCATCCCTGCAGCCATTCCAGGCCAGGCTGGATGTGGTTCTGGGCACTCTGATCTAGTTGAAGATGTCCCTGTGCTCACTGCAGGGCGCTGGACTGGATGAGCTTTGAAGGTCCCTTCCAACCCAAACTATTCTGTGATCATACCTGACCAGACCTCAGATGCTATCAGGGCATAAAAGAAGCCCCGTGGGCAACCATTTGGACTTGCTCCTCCTCAGAGCAGCGGGCTGCAGCTGGGGACTCTCCCCTTGGGTCAGGATGCCATCCAAGGCAACTCCTCCGGATTGAGAGCCTTCCCTTTTCAGGGGAGTGACTGCACTTTCTGCATCACTGGCCATAAGCTTGAAGGTTCAGCAGTGTAGAGACGAGCCCACGTGACATCCCAAATCTGTAGTTAATGGTGGTGGAGCTTTAATTGAGATTGAGCAGTAAATTCAGTTTAGCCTCGTTTCTTGGTTCTGTGGCCATTTGAAAGAATGATTCGTGGTGTGCGTTTTCAGCTGCAAACAGAAAAAGGCAAGAGGGGCTGGCAAGGCTGCGAGGAATCTGAGCAAACTCTCTCTGATCTGATGAATCCGACTGCCTTAAATATCATCTCTATTTTACCTCCATTACCTTTTAGTCACAGGATGTCACAGATTTTAGTGCCTTTCAATGAGACAAATCCCTCTTCCTTGACGCAATCCTTCCTTCAAGGGGCTTGGAGCAACCTGCTCTAGTGGAAGGTGTCCCTGCCCATGGCAGAGGATGGATCCAGAGGAGTTTTAAGGACCCTTCCAACCCAAACCAGTCTGGCATTCTGTGCTTAACCTAAAATCTCTGCCTCAACTGACTTTCACCTTCACCTGCTGATAAAAACGTACAAGGAGATGGAGAGAACTGGGTTTGATTTTCTGCACAGAGATGTGTTAGGTTGGTGCAGACAACATCAACATGGGGTTCTGCAATCCCCAACCCCCTTCAGCGTCAGGGGTTTGATTTCTTTGGCTCCACAGCCAAGCAGGATTCTAACAGACCTAAAATCTTTGGAGACTTGGATTTCCACTCAAAGGAGAGCGCGGGAACATTTTACAATTGTGACTACTTCAGGTCTGAAGCATGAAGTTACTGAGTCCCGTAAGGGTGTGATGTGCATCGCTCAGCAAAACACCTCCTAGCAAATGCACGCTCTCTGCCTCTTCTTCCCTGCCCGCTCTCAGACAGGGTAATTGCAAAGCTCTGAGTTGTGTTTGAAATGCTGCTGTTGAAATCTGAGTGTTGTGGTCTAGCCCTGCTTGTAGTAACGCTGCAGGGGGAATAAAGGAGTAGTAATGTATTTTCTGAATGCAGAAAAGTAAAATTTAACGTGAACTCAATTACAGCCATGTCAGATTAGGTATTAGAAAGAAGTTTTTCCCTGTAAGGATTGTGAGGCGCTGGCACGGAATGCCCAGAGAAAGCTGATTCTATGAATCTTAAGAAATTTATGAGTCAGAATTTTGTGTTACTTGAAAGGGTAAAGGAAAAAAAGACTGTGTATAAGTTCAAGTTCCTTTCTCTGTGCCTGTATTGTAAAAACATAATACTGGGATCTTCCCAGAAAGTGGCAAGAGCAGTGCAGGACCTGGAAATGCAGTGAAATTGTGGGATCGAGAAGAGAAGAGTGAAGGGACTCTGAGCAGTTTCTTATAACCATGGACTGTAACCACAGTGGCAGCCAGATTGTACAGAAGAGCTCCTCGCACCACTGAGGAGACAAAAATTGGATCCTTTGATGCCACATTGGTTGTGGGTATGAAAGGATGCCCAGCCAGCCATCGTGTTCAGTTCTGCTGCTGATAGTGGGCAAAGCTCTTCCTACACTAGCCCAGAAAGGGCTCTCTCCCTATGTGAGAGCCCACAATGATGCTGCAGAGGTAGAGGATCCCTTCAGGCAGCCATTTGTGGGGGATACTGAATAGGAGCATATATATTTATTAATCTGTGGACATTTTAAAGCACAAATACTTGATCTGATTAGACAGGAAGAGACACGGAGGCTACCCTGGGGTGCCAAAGTATCTCAGTCCACCTGCATGCATGCTTGGTGGTGCCAGTGCCATTAGCAGTGATTGGACTGTGACAGTTATTAGTGTTGAGCAACTGCCGTTCATAGGGGTGAACCTCCTACCTCTGGTCTTGAGCTCAGGGGAAATCCTTGAACCAAGGAGAGAAGATGCTGATGGCTGCTTTTGTCCCACAGTTTAGACATCAGTGCAGAGAGAGATGTTAAAAAAGAACTTACGGGCGTTGTTAACAACAAAACTGCTGTCTCCAGGCAAAATTTTGCAGCTTCAGTTTTCCTCTCTTTCAGCTCAATATACTGATTAAACTATGACTAAAGCAGAAAATGGCACAGTTTTATTTTTAAAGAACATAAACAATAGTGTTTTATAAATGCAGCAGTTTAACTTTGTCCAGAAAGAAGGAGTATTTTTGGCTCCCTCCACAAGATGCAGTTGCCAAGAGGTGTTCAGCTACTGTCCCAGCTTCGTGATCCCCAGAGCACATATGCCTAAGAAATGTAATCCTTCTGCTATTGTCTGCCTGCATTCCTCTCTGAATACACTTGCAATTGCAGGCGTGAAAAACAATTAGAGATGGGAACAGTTGTTGGCTTTAAAACTTGCTGGATGACAGCTCAAAAGAAGTGATTCTGCCAGAGAATATGGGGTCCCACATCTGCACATGGAGGACTCTGCTGAGCCTTGTGTGGGACTGTTTCATTTTCTGCTGCCATAGTTTACCCTGCTTGGTTAGCACTGCTAAGATTCTGCCTTTGTTTTTCTTTTGTTTCCCGTTGCTCTAACTCTGTCCTAAATACAAAAGGGCTCTTGGGAGGAGCAGCCCCTTGGGCTGTCGTGTTGAACAGCCTCCGTATCCACATGACAACAATGAGAACTCTAGCATCATCTGGGATCAGTAAGGACTTTTCAGCACAATTCCTTGCTTTAAAGCAATGGAAGTATTCTGAAATGCCCGTTTCTAAAGTCCTGTCTCCCTTTTGAAATATGTTTGGTGATGTTGACGTGTGTGCATTTAAAAGGAAAAGTACTGGTAAAAATCAAACAGAGGTTTCTGCCTTTCCCTTTACTGAAAACCCAGGCTGTGTTCCTTCTATTAGTTTCCTGAAGGTCTATAGCTACCTATTACCTTGGACTGCAGTGGCTTCAGTGGAGTTTTATGAACCTTTCACCCTGTTGCTATAAAAACCTTCCATGTTTCTGCCAAACCTCCCTCAGAAAGATTACTTTAGCTTTGAAGATGCCAATAAAGGAAATTACTTTCAAAAGGAAAGAGCTAGGAAGACAACCCGAGACCCTTCATTTGGATTTCCTCCAATCTCAAATGTATTGGAACTGAAGAGCAATCCCAAATATATTGTAAACTGCGCCGTGGTCCGAGCAGCGAGGTCTCTCTGGGCAGTACTTGGTTGTGTTTTGGTGCCTCCTGCCCCTTTGTCAGCTTTAGAGCAAAAGCTTCAGAGAGAAAAAAACCAAACCCCTCATGGCCCAGCCTCCGTTGGTCAGCCGCTCACAGCTGGTGAATAGCAGACCTGGATCCCTTCCCCTTCCATTTTACCCAAATCCCTTTGTACAATCTTCTTAAGAGCAGCACATGCTGCAGGACCACCTGGAGGATGCTGTGTCGTGGCATAAACATGAAAAGATGTGGCAGAGCAGGGCTGTCATCTTTGTCCACAGGGACAAACTGGAGCCTGATGTAAACCGAGAAGGAACCAGCTTTGGAAGTTAGTCAGAGTTCTGTCATTAGCCCAGCCAAGGTGAGAAATGAGGTTGTGCAAGTGGATGCATGTTCACTTGAACTTCTTGCCCAGGTTTCCTAGATGGAGCCTGGAGAGCTGGAACTCGCAGAGGGAGCTGGGAACTGACACAGGAGGCAGCGCGGCCACTACATGTTGTGCATTGCTGCTTCTGCTGCTGCAATGAGTTCCAGGTTCTTTCAGCCTTTCAGCAAGCAAGTACTTCACATCAGGCGGGCAGGTGACAAGGTGTGAGTACATCTATAGGTCCTTTAATCAATGTAAGGGAATCTACTGTATGTTGTCACCATATTCCCTACCTGAAGCAGGTGCAGGGACACTCAGGTCACCCTTTGCTGCCCAGCTCCAGCTGGACCATTCTCTAAAGCTGGGTAAGCCATGCTTGGTCTGATGAACCATTCGAACACAGCCTCTGTGTTATCACCAGGGCAGGCGAGTGGCAACCAATGGTACCCGCATACAGGTACCTCATCCCAACCTTACCGAGTGAGAAATAGCCTTAAAATGGCTTGTGTCTGCATGGAAAGAGACAGTAGAGGGGAGGCAGCTGAAGCAAGTCCTCCAACTGTGTGGGGAAGGGAGAAGCTTGGGCAGGAGCATAGGGAAAGGAGAATTTTTTGCTCTCAGCTTCATGTCAGCCACTTCCATGAGCTGCAGATTAGGACAAGCAGTAAGTAAAAAGTAATATTGCTTCTCACTAATGAAGATTCACATTTTAATCTTTTTTTAGTTTACCTTTTATTTTGAAGGACTTCGAATATGCTGGAATGGGTCACTTCAGATTTTTAAATGGTTTGTAGCTATTTGACCACAAGAAGCCTCTTTTCAGCAGTATTTTATGAAGACAGGGGGGTGGTTAATACCAGGAAATGGCCTGCTCTCCAGGCAGGCTGAACACACACTAAAATGAGGTTTGGATGCACACTAGCACATCCAGTGCCAAACCAGAGATGTAACTCAATTACTTAAGTGAATTATCATGTAGGAATAGGCAGTTTCTTCCTTTCTCTCCTTTTCTTCCCCCACCATCCTGAGGGCAGCTGCTGTGACTGTTTCCTTTTGCCCTTTCACTGTGCACTGCAGAGGAAAACCTGTCTCCATCTCCTTTGTGACCTCTCTTTAGAACTTCTGTAAGCTTTAATTAAATCTCTGTATAAAAGAATTGTTTTCTTGAGGAGCTGTCTCAGTACCTTCATGCTTCACTCTTCTTATAATCTTCAGAATATATCCTTGTTACTGATTTGTTATATCAAAGCAGATTTAATGGCTGGACATACAAAAATATCTATATCCCTGAATGTCTGCATCCCTGTGACTTCCCTGACCCATAGGTAGCTACTCAGAGGGGTTGTGTGGAGCTGCATGGCTCTGCCTTCAGGGAGCTCTTCCAGAGCTGATCCCTTTGCTGGTACATTCTTCACCTCCTCTATTTTTTGGGTCTGGTTGAACCTCTTCTGAGGTCAGAGAAATCAAATCACTGCTACTGAAGATTTCAGAATGCAACAGACAAAACAGGGACCCAGTTCTCTTTTGATAACACGTTCTTCAGTGATAATGGTGATACTTTGGTTTTCCATGTTGTTATGAGGATGCTTTTCTGTATGCATCAAAGCAGTAATAATTTGACTTGTCTTCCTTGAGTAATGATTTTGTCTTGTACTTCTTTCAATTACATTTATTTTCAAGGCATTGATTTTGTTCCTTTTAAAATTTTTTAAAGTTTTTTCTCCTCAGACTTATTTTGTAGGAATTCTGAACCAATTACCCATGCTTTGCAATTGTTTTAAATAGACACTACTTTTATGTGTAGTACCTAAAAACTGTAAAAACCTGAGGCTAAACCCTCCTAAGGATAACTTTCCCTGCACCCTCAGAAGGCTTTGTTAGTAGTTTCACTGAATGCATCAGCTACATTAATGGATTGTTTCTGTGGAATAGTTCCTGACTTTCCTACATAACAGCACTCATAAGAGACCCTCGGAGCTGTTGCCCTGCCTTGCCTGGGGTGGAGGGAGTGGGTGCCAGGATTGATGGGCTCAGAGGGTGCATGCATTGCTGTAGATCACACTGTCTGGTTTAATTTTAAGGACTTGGGGGTGTTGGTCGATGAGAAAATGAACATGAGCCGGCTTCAGTGTGCACTTGCAGCCCAGAAACCAACCGTATCCTGGGCTGCATCAAAAGGAGCGTGACCAGCAGGGCGAAGGAGGTGATCCTGCCCCTCTACTCTGCTCTTGTGAGACCTCGCCTGGAGCATTGTGTGCAGTTCTGGTGTCCTCAACATAAAAAGGACATGGAACTGTTGGTACAAGTCCAGAGGAGGCCACGAGGATGATCAGGGGCTGGAGCACCTCCTGTATGAAGACAGGCTGAGAAAGTTGGGGCTGTTCAGCCTGGAGAAGAGAAGCTGTGTGGAGACCTCATAGCAGCTTCCAGTATCTGAAGGGGGCCTATAGGGATGCTGGGGAGGGACTCTTCATTAGGGACTGCAGTGACAGGACAAGGGGTAATGGGTTAAAACTGAAACAGGGGAAGTTTAGATTGGATATAAGGAAGAATTTCTTTACTGTAAGGGTGGTGAGGCACTGGAATGGGTTGCCCAGGGAGGCTGTGAACGCTCCATCCCTGGCAGTGTTCAAGGGCAGGTTAGACAGAGCCTTGGGGGGCAGGGTTTAGTGGGAGGTGTCCCTGCCCCTGGCAGGGGGGTTGGAACTTGATGATCTTAAGGTCCTTTCCAACCCTAACTGTTCTATGATTCTAATTTTCCTAGATTTCTGGTGGAGATTTGAGCCAACAACTTAATTCACTAAGTCCCTGGAGAGTACAGATGCTCTGTACACTGCAAGTTGGCCTCGCAGAAGAGTTGCAGAGACAAGAAGGTAGGAGCATGGCAAATTCATGCTCTTGTCTGCATGGATTTGCCGTGCAGATGTGGAGCTTGCTCTTGACTCGACAGAGCAGCAAATGTGCATTCATAGCATGCAGCCGACTGTGCATTAAATCAGGCCTTACAATCATTGGAATAATTTATTTACCTAAGTTTGGTTTCCGGGACTGTGTAGCAGCATGAATGTAGCCAGATTAGATGATGGGCTGTGTGCTGTGGTCATAGTCCTCATCACAACTATTATGCTCTAGCACACAGGAGGGAAGTGACTGGTCTCTTCTCCCAAGGAACAAGTGACAGGACAAGAGGAAACAGCCTCAAGCTGTGCCAGGTGAGGTTTACTGGAGCTGAGGAACAATTCCTTCCCCAGAGGGTGCTCAGGCATTGGAACAGGCTGCCCAGGGCACGGCTGCAGTCACCGTCCCTGCAAGTGTTCACACACCGTGGAGATGAGGCCCTCAGTGCCATGGGTTAGTGGTGGCCTTGGCAGAGCTGGGGTAAGGGTTGGACTGGATGATTTTAAAGGTCTTTTTCAACCGGGTATTCTGTGATTTAAGTTGGGATGGGTGCTCTGCTTACTCACACATAGCATCCTATTGATGGTCAGTGTTATTGGCTCTGATGTTCAGTGTCACCAGAACTCCAGACCCCACCTCTAGGATCTGGAGTTCAGTGACATAGAGACTGTATTGTTGCAGTGGACCTCCTGGACTTTGGGAAAGGCTCAGGCCATCTATGCCACTCTAACCATGAGCGGTAGGAGAAACAGAACTGTTGTGTGAGGGTACAAGCGGCACTGGTAAATTCCCCAGATATTTTTTCCCTTGCTTTTTATTATTTTGTTCTTTCATCCTTTCATGTAATGGTTCTAAATGTTCCATTGTTAGTTCTATTCAAATATAATTTTGTGCAGAGCAACCAGATGACCACAATCCCAATATTTGAGATGTAATGTTTGCTGTGATAATAACTACATCATGTAACTGTGACAGTGATGGTCCTAGCTGTCATATTAGGAGAGATGCTGCAATGTGACAGGGGCTGGGGTTTTGTTCTAGTAAAAGAAAAGGCTATAAAACACTTGTGTCGTGAATTCACATCCATTTGAGTGATTTCCCAGAATTACCAGTGGGGAAATTAACCCATTCAGACCTAGAAAAAAGATATTTGAAGTCAGACACATACCTGATACCTCAGAGAATCCAAAATACCAGTTCCAAATTCTGAAGTTGTCGGTGTTTAACCTCAGTTGACAACTAAGCACCGCACAACTCACTTCCCATGGGATGGGGAGGAGAATCGGGAAAAGGGAAAACTCGTGGGTTGAGATAAGAACAATAATTGAATAATTGAACAATAATTAATAATTGAAATAAAATAAAATAAAAAAATAACAGGAAAAAGAAATGAATAAAACCCAAGAAAGACAAGTGATGCACAGCACAGTTGTTCACCACCCACTGACCAATGCCCAGCCAGTCCTCAATCAGAGGTCAGTGGCTCCTGTCTAACTCCCTTCAGTTTCTATACCGGGTATGACTTGCTGTGGTATGGCATATCCTTTGGCTAGTTGGGGTGAGGTGTCCTGCCTCATTCTCCTTGTGCCCCTCCTCACTGGCAGAGCACGAGAGACTGAACAGTCCTTGATCAGAGGCCTGATTATAAAATAAACTTCCAGAGGAAAATGGACAAAGCCAAAGGCTGTCTGATTTAGGAAACTGCTGTAGCTCCATCCTCTTCTGCAGCACTGTAGAAAAATGAAGTTTGTTTTCAGCCTTGCTGGAAATAAGCACACGTGGACTTGCCTCACATAGGATTCTGCATACACCCAAAATGACAAAGAGCCAGAACCCCCCAGGGACTTCGAGTTTGCTAATCTACTTTACATTTCAGATATTCTGATACCATGGTGATGGGCAACAGTAGAAAGACCTAAAATAGAGCATAAGCATTTTCAACAGCTTTCTCTTACTAAGTGCACTTCATACGATCATGAGAAAGTCATCTGGATTTTTTTCCTCTTTCTCCCACTTCACATAAATTGTCTAGTACCTAAAAGGTCATTTTGAAGAACTTTGCTTTTCTAGAAATTACTGGATTTTGTAAAAACACAGGGTATAAGCGACAATCTCTTGTCTGTCTGTATTTAGCATCCTTCAGACTGCTAAGAGAGAGCCTTTAGCAATGCTCTCAGAAGGAATGGGCTGAGGGAAAGAGAGGGGAGGATACTGTATGACATTGTCTTTTGAATTTTCATGTATATTGAGCAAGACAGAAGTGAATAGCCCAGAATAATTAGTGTAATGATAATAAAGAAGGCTGTGAACATGTTCTGAAGACCATGTTTATTGTTCCTCTCTGCAGAGTGTTGTGAATGGCATCTCGTCTGGTGTGCGCAGCTTTTTCATAGAGTGGTATTTGAATAGTACATGGCAAGTTCTGTGGGATTTTGCTGATCTAATAACTTTATTCCCCTCTGTCTTCCAAAGCTAATCTGCTGCCTGACTGCAATAATTCTGAAGGTATTTAAGATTTGGATGTTACTTGATGGGGTTCAGTTTATTAATGTTCTTTCGACTTAAGTTCACTACATGATCTCAACAGTGACAAACTGGCGACCACAATTACTGCCAATAACTGAGAAGTGACACTGCACACATAGGGCTGGCTCTCAACCCGTCCCAGATAACCAAACCTCTATACAAAGCAGTGGGTTTTTAAAGGCTAAATTTAAAGTGAAAACATACCACTTTCTCATACAGAGGCATTCTGTGCATGTAGGAAGTGCCAGGCCTCTTGCAGGAGCAAGTCTTCTGCGTTTCAGTTCTTTTTACACCTTTCTCATACCTATTATCCATTTACCTTTCAGTTTTCCTCTTTCTGCTTTAGGTAAGTTTCCCCTCCTTTGGTGCTGCTGTGATGCTCAATGCCCCATTCTAATGCAATATTTAGGTGCCTCCTGGCTGTGGTTTAAAAGTTACTTTAACATTTTCTGCATTGAAGTAGATTTTTCTTACAGCCCAACAGTTGTCAGTTCTTAGCTCCTTAGGCTCCTGCAGTTAAAACTTCCAGAGCTGTATCAAAACCCCAGATCTCAGTGGCTCGTTTCCCATTTTGAGCATTAGATATTTTTATCCAGTAGTATCTTATCTTTTGCATCATTCAGTGTTGTTGGTACCGGTTCTTTCTTATTTTTCAAGCACTAAATGGCACTAGGAGGCAGATGAGTATTTATATAGAATACTTGCTATATTGCTTCTTTGTGCATGTAAAGGAGTGGGATGAGATTCAGGCTGCGTGTGAGGCAAGCATCTGAAACTGTGCAGGGAGGAGAAGCTGAAAAGACTCTGAGAAAGCAGGAGGATCATTTCTTTTGCTTCTGTTTAACATCTAACAGTTTCTGTTAACATCATCAGGTTTCTGTTTAACATGTAAATCTCCTTGGTTTTCCATCTCCTCCTCAGGTCCAGGAAGGAAGAGAACAAGAGCTCTCAATGCCTACCAGGGATTATTCCATTTCAGATGTTACTGAAGCATGCAAAAATCGCTCCTAAGAAATCACAGGATCACTTGACCTTTCTGATGCTCGCAGCAACTACTTTGTCATCTACTCCTCATTATAATGCCATTTTCAGTGGTATGGAGCCTGTGGTATAATCTGCTGCTCCAACATTTGGGGCAGTGCCCTACATGCTTTCAGGCCGGCTGTTGTTGGCAGGCAAGGGAAAACCTCTGGGGAAATACTGGAGCTCAGACTTTAACAGGCTAATCTGTACCAGGATGGAGTCTTCTCATTCCTTTCCAGGGACCTGGCTGAAGGCTTTCAAGCGATGCAATTTGTGATTTTAGAAAGTGGGGGCTCTGTATGAGCTGTAGGTTGCATTTCTGTACAGTTCACATTTCTTTCTCACACGCACCCATTCACAGGGTCCCATAACTGTGACAATAAACAGCAAATTCTGGATTGGCTCATGCTAAACCAGGCAAGGCTAGGATATATCAATAACCCATTTTACAGAAAAGGAGTTGAGAAAGATTAAATGATTTCTCCTGATTAGCACGTAACTTGGTAAAGTTGGAAAAGGCAGCTGAGCTGATGATGCTGATGATGAGCTCATTGCTGCTCAGAAGTGTGATCCTTCCCCACAATTTCTCTCCTTGCAGCAACCCCCCAGCCCTGCTGAACCCTTGATGAGTCCATTGAGCTTTCTGAGCTGCAGAACACCATTATTATTCCTTGGTTAGCTTTAGGTATCTGAGGGAGCGACAGGTTGAGGCGAGGGTTGAATGGGAATGAGCAGCTACCTGGACAGGGGGTGACTGGGAAGAACATAGCCTTTTTTTCCAGTGGTGGCCACACCGAGCATCAGGAGCTGAACTGTCTTCCCTCTTTCCCTGGCTTTCCCAAAGTTCAGAGAGAAAGCATTTATTCATGAAAGGTACCTGGCTTGGATGAGGAAATATGTCAGTACTGAGACCCAGCTCTTTCTCCATCTCGGCATCTTGTGATACGTGAAGTGTTGTGCAAAAGCTTCGTTAGCTGGTTACTTGACTTGTTCCTTGAATTACTGCATTGCCCACAGAGTAATTGCTCTTTCCACTGGTGGAGCAGACCCTCTGTGCTGTCATTGCTGCAGTCACCCTAACACATGTAGCTGGGTCAGAATAAGGTACAACCTGTAGTGTCAGCACATGGGTGTCTGTGGCCATAGAGCTCTTCCCCTGCTCCTTTTGCACTGCTCACGTGCACCCAGCCACAGCAGCACCAGGAAAACCAACGCAGCACACATGCTGTCCCTCCAAATCCATCCCCTCCGTTCCCAGGGTGTGACAGCCCATCTTTCTGGCTGTATCTTTCATGAGATGGCATGTTTGTAATCGATGCTTTCTGCACTGGAAGCTCACCCATCATTCTTGGCAACATATGGCAACTAATTTCTTCTTAAGCAGTTAATTAGGCACCATTTGTATGCACGTCGCCCTTTGCGCGCTGGAGCAGCTGCGGCTCCAGTAGGAAGCTGTTTGTTCTGGACTTTCTCCTTCCTTTGTATGGAAAAATGAGGTGGTTCGTGCTCATTTCTTTGTGTATGTCCTTTCTAAAGAGCTGAAGTGATGAGGTGCTGCACTGGGCTGCAAGGCTGGGTGAGAGAGTCATCTGGTCTCTAAGGCATTGGGCGAGGGCTGGGATGAGCAGGGGGTCAGCTTCCTGACTCAGTATTACAGGAGTAATAGTTGATTTGGCAGGAATTGCCCTCCCTGTATCCCAAGGAGGAGCAGGAATGAGGTGCCTTGGCAGGACTGATCAGGCAAACTTTTTCAGAAGGCATCTGTATCTTAAATGCAATTTGCTAGCCAGCATTACCCATTTCTACATTTGAAAGCACTAACATACTGTATTTAAAACTTAAAAGATGCTAGTGCTTGGTCTTAGCAAAAAAAAAAAGGGGGGGGGGTAAAATCACACTGTGTATTTTGGTACCTGCATGTGATTTACTGGCCTTTGTGTGTGGGTTTACTGCCCACACTGCTGAGCATCATCCAGAGAACTATGTGAAGCCATTTTGTGGAGGGAGAAATAGGTATTGCTGCAGCCTGCAGGTGTCTGAAAACATTTCAACAACAACAAAAAGGAGAGTGAAAAATGAGCTATCTATTACAGGAGACAGACTGTGTGACACAGAAATTACAATGCTCTTCACCTTTTATTATCCTTTAGTCTTTTGTATTACAATCATTTCTGCAGCCCCCAAATCAAAGCTCTTTTGTACTAGGCACTCTCCAGACCATCCCATGAACATGATCCTTATTTACTTTGCTCATACTTGATATCAAAGGCCATGGAAGTTCGGGACTGGAATTGTTCTTACTTTCCTGTTATGAATGGGAAGGTGCAGAAAGGGTAAGTGAAGTTCTAGGGGTAAAAACAGTCTGGATGCTTTAATGTCAGATCCAGTGCTGCAGTGAAAACATACTTTTCTTGCCATGCTGATTTGCTGTTTAGTATCTTGTCTCTGACCTCTGGGTGGCATTTAACAACTTCAGAGAGGAAAAAATATCTAATGGACAATTAATAAACTGTTTGTTGGGGAAATTTTCTCCTACTGAACGATAGAATCAGGAACAGAAAACCATGGGAAGACATTTCAGAGCTGTTCAGGGATTATCGCTCCTATTTAGTTTCCTGAAATTGGAAAGGAAACTGGTGCCTTTTTGGTTTGGAGCCCCAGAAAGTGCCTGTTGTTCCATTGCCACCAGCTTTGGTGAACTCCTTGTAAGCCTGTGACAAATCGCTGACCAGTCTGCAATTTTTCATACCTGTCTTGTCTCTATTTTGCTGTGCTTTGGTGTGATTACTGCATGTTCTATCTCACAGCATCTTGGAAATGATATATCAGCCTTATTGAACATGGTGTTCCCTCCTGCATTTGATGAGCTTAGTCCAAACCTTGGGTGCTTGTATGCAGCAGAGTTGAGCTCATGCATGAGGGCTGAGCTTTCCCTGCTCAGTGCAGGAGGCAGATTGCTGAAGTCAGGCTCTGAGCTAACAGGCTCTGATTTCCCCCAGTAAGCTGGAATTTCTTCCGTTCATAATAACAGCAGTTGTGCTGTGCTTCAAATAGCTTCAGACTTTCCTCTAGTGTTTACCATCTTCTATTAAGTTTAATGTCATTTTCCTTTAGAAGCCAGTATAAACACAATAACACCAAATAATACACAGCAAAAGCACTGTTGTAACCTGAGTGCTTTGGTTAATTTGGCTGTGAATTACTCTTTCCTCCATCACCAGCCTCGTTAACCCAATCTCATTTGTGTTTCTTTCCCACTGTGATTGCTGTTTTGTTGAACCCAGCTGATACACAGCCTGGAGAAGAGAAGGCTCCTGAAGGGGAGATACCTAAAGGGGCATCAGGAAACCTGCAGAGGGCTTTGGACAAGGGCCTGTAGGGACAGGCCAAGGGGAATGGCTTGAACCTGCCAGAAGGGAGACTGAGATGAGCTCTTAGGCAGAAGCTCTTCCCTGTGAGGGTGCTGAGGCGCTGGCCCAGGGTGCCCAGAGAAGCTGTGGCTGCCCCATCCCTGGCAGTGTTCAAGGGCAGGTTGGACACAGGGGCTTGGAGCAAGCTGCTCTAGTGGAAGGGGTCCCTGCCCGTGGCAGGGGTTGCAATGGGATGAGCTTTAAGGTCCCTTCCAACCCAAACCAGCCTGTGAGTCTATGATAAATTCAATTTGTTCAATATAGCTTTAAATCTATCACAGATTCCTGTGTGAATTCTTCAGGATCTTTCTGAGGATAGCCTGAGACCTAGGGTGCAGCACGAGCAACAGCAGCTGCGAGAGGGTTTTCATGACTATTACTCCATTGCTACTCATGAGCCCATACAGGTCAGGCTCCAGTTGAATTAGGCACATTACGGTTGTGACAGGAAGGCATTCCCCCTTCTGCAGTCTTTACAGGCTGAGTTCCCAAGAGATGGGACATCCACCAAGGCCAATTACTGTGAGGTTTCTAGAAGAGTTACAAATAAAATGAGAAAAGCAGCAAGCTACAAGCCAGCATTACAGGACACCTTTATGTACTAGGGACAGATAAATGGGATGGAAAGCTTTTCTTTACAGCCATCATTGCAGTGTCTCCTGGCTGCTATGGGAGCAGCTGACTTACTGCATCAGTTAGCAAATGGGACAGGTTTGTTGCCTTTCAGAGACACAGGCTACAGGCATAGCCCAAGGCTGCCCACTTTAATGGGCTCTGTGCTCTCCATCATGGTTATGTCATTCCAGAGCAAAGAGGTCCTGTGTGGGATGAATACATGATGCTAATGGCCAACAGTTCACTGCTTTGGCTGCCTTCCCCTTGGAATTCTGAAGAAGTGGGACTGTTGTAATCTCAGCTATGAGGATAAAGCTGCATGGAGACCTCATAGCAGCCTTCTAACATTTGAAGAGGGGCTACAAGGATGCTGGAGAGGGATTCTTCATCAGGAACTGTAGCAATAGGACAAGGGGTAATGGGTTTAAACTGAAACGGGAAGTTCAGGTTAGATAGAAGGAAGACGTTCTTTACTGTGTGGGTCATGAGGCAGTGGCACAGGGTGCCCAGAGGAGTGGCAAATGCTCCATCCCTGGCAGTGTTCAAAGCCAGGTTGGACAGAGCCTTGGGCGACGTGGTCTGGTGTGAGGTGTCCCTGACCGTTTAATGGGGATTGCAATGATCTTAAGGTCCTTTCCGACCTGAACTATTCCATGATTCTATGGTAAAGCCTTAGGAAGTGAAAGGTGGCATGTATTCAAGAGCAGAAGGTCCTTGAGGCCACAGAGAACAGTAGAAAATCAAGAAACCCTAAGTCATGGTAGGAGACAATGTACAGAGGACAATGACTGATAAGTCTTGTTTGGTGCACTCCTGCAGGGCTGAAGATGTGTTAGGTGGTTTTGGAGTAACACAGCCCCGAAGTGAAGGAAACAGTCAGATAAAACTAACATAATGATGGTTATTTGTATGCTAAAGTGACATAAGGTTGAAGCTAAAAGGTCAGAAGCTCAAGAGAGAAGTGGGCTTTGTGTGTTGGCTGGGAGAAAAAGAAAAGTGAGAAAGAAAAAAGGGAAGAGGTGGCAGAAGCAAGGGAGTTGAGAGGTTGCTACAACTTGAAAAAAGGCATTAGAAGTGCTATTATGTTACATTGGGGGGAACATTTTGCTTTTTGAGAAGTTGTGAAGAAGTGTACTAATAAAGTAAGGTGAGCACTCAAGGTGAAGGGGCCAGAAATGAACAATGAGACAGCTTTACTGTTCTGACAGATACATGGCTCTCCACCTGCCATGGCCCAGATGTGGCACAAAAACCTGAAGTGAGAGGCATAAGATAAATAGTGGTGCTGGAAGGGTTTAAATTACAGGGGATCAATTTCTCTGACAGAAATTAAGTTTCTTTAACCTCAGCTCTCCCATGAGTCAGCATTGCTGACTGGAAATGATTTACACAAAAAGTCCAGAGATATTAGAGACATCATTGTGAGAATGTAAATTTAAGGAAACCAGCAGTTAGCGAGGAAGGGTGGGATAAGATGCAACAGTTCTGCAGTTAAACAGGACAATATATTCATTACCCAGTGAGCAGGGCAGAACTCAGAGTGTGTTGTCCCCCAGAATCTGGTTCCAAACGTCCTGACTTCAGGAAGAGTCTCCACTCATTCTGCTTCTATTAAAGGTAAGATCTGTTTTAAGCCTGGCTTTCAAGGGCCTGGACTGCCCCAGGCCCATACAGATCTACCCTCCTTTGCAGAAGTGTGGCATCATGACACTGATCATTAACCCATGAACTTGGCATGAGCAGGCACTGACTTCAACTGTGCTACCACTTAAGTTACTCAGTTTTATCTCATTTGCACACACAATTAAATGCTAAGGTGAAATTATCAAGTGCTCATGACAATGAGGACATCGTTTAGGGCAAGGGAAAAGAATAAGTACAGGCTGGAAATCTGAGCTGGAGCTAAGGTGGTTTGAATGGGCAATGAAACACAAAACAAAGGTGGTTGTAGGGTAGGGCTTCTTTGGTCTCTGGATGTGGTGCCTGTACTGTTGTAAATCCATGTAGGTCAAGGTGTATGATACCCGCAGCTGTTTTTAGGAACCTTGCTAGATGTCTGTTTAAGATAACTTTTGCCATGCAGCTTGGTTTTGGTTGGGTGTTGTGGTTGTATTTTTCCTTGCTTGATTTTTATTCTTCAGAAATGGAAAGGACCAACAGAGCTCCCCCAGGCCACTGACTGTCCCAGGACCAGTTCAGACTGAGTGTGGAATCAAATTGGTTCTCCTAATACTTGTATCCTCAGATCTTTTTCACTGACTATTGCAACAGTAAAAGCCTTGACTATTTGGGATAATCCTTACATATAACCAACTTTGTACCTCTTATAAATCCCACCATAACCTGCTTTGGAAAGGCTTTCAGTAGCTGTGCTGCTCTCCACTGCTCACAGTCCCAGGGGGGCAGAGGCTGCAGACAGCTGAATATGGCTGAGGTGGCAGCATCTCTTGTGATGCCTCAGAGCAGGAATCTTGCTCAGATGCAGATGGAGGATGTTTGAAGTATGAACTGTGCCACATGCATCTTCTTGAGGAAAGCCAAACAGTGCAGCTTTTGCTCTGTAACTCAAACAGATACTGCATCAAAGAGGCTCTGAAGCTGACTCTGCTGAAGCTGGTTAAAACTCTGGGCTTATGGGAGTGGGAAAAGAATGAGCATGAAATTTCAAGCATTGACCAGCTGTTTTAAACTGACAGAGGGCAGATTTAGGTTGGACATTAGGCAGAATTTCTTCCCTGTGAGGTGCTGGCACAGGGTGCCCAGAGAAGCTGTGGCTGCCCCATCCCTGGCAGTGTTCAAGGCCAGGTTGGACACAGGGGCTTGGAGCAAGCTGCTCGAGTGGAAGGGGTCCCTGCCCGTGGCAGGGGTTGGAACTGGATGAGCTTTAAGGTCCCTTCCAGCACAAACTGTCCTATGATTAGATGATTCTGTGGTAGCCAAGCTGTGGTAACCCTCGAGATCCACATTCCTTGCTTATTGTTATTGCAAAGTAGAACATAACAATTTTACTCAACATCCATTTATTTTAAAGACCGCATTTTCCTTTTTACAGTGTTTGAACTATATACATATTTTAATAGCCTTTAGAAACCAAAACCATCTTTCAGCCTCCATGGTCCCATATGACAGAAAGCTTCAGAGAAATTCATGCTTGCTATTCACATTACCCCCATGCTGCTGTGATCAGGAGTGGTGGGAGGTCAAGATAAGCGAACAGAACATGGGGAAACTCGTAGGAACTGCTGGGCTTGAACATCCCAGTTCACAAGGTCAGAAATCACGGCTGCTTCTCACAACTCATGCTTGCAGCCCTTGGAAAGCCCAGACACTTCAGGGCAAAGGGACTCCTGGAAGAGGGAAAAGGAAGGGGACAAGGACCAGAAAGGCTAAGATTGTCCTGCGAGTTGTGTATCGATTTGAGCTATAAAAATGAATGGGGACAATGCCTATTTTTAAATGCTCAAATAAGACCAAATAATTTTATATATTTCTCTTCATTTTCCAGCATTAGCTGTGAGTACTTTTAATGAGTCTTTTTATGAAAACCTCTTTTGGTGAGGGGAAGTTATTAAGCCTCTTATGAAGGGATTTTATGGTTTTAATTATAAACAGGTAATGGAGTCTGTGTAAAAAATACCTTTTGACTTTGCAATAAAAACCCATTTCCCCCAAGGTAAAACTCCATAAAGAAAGAATTACACAGCAAAGGAATGAAGCAGTCGGCTCTGAAATCACAAGGTGCCTGCACAGCACCAGCTCTTGAGGAGCCCCAGGGATCCATCGACCTGAGTCTGAGTGTCTGTCTGTCTGCTGCCGGCCAAGGTGACTGCAGGGGGCAATGCGAAGTTGCAGGGTTGCCCAGACTGTCTCACTGCACTGCATTAGAGCAGCCTCAGGACTCTTTGTTAATAGTCATGTACAGACCACCCAAAAACCACAGCTGGAGACAGATGCATAGTGGAGGGAGAGCTGGGCAGGGGCTTCTTACAAGGGCCTGTAGGGACAGGCCAAGGGGAATGGCTTTAACCTGCCAGAGGGGAGACTGAGATGAGCTCTTAGGCAGAAGCTCTTCCCTGTGAGGGTGCTGAGGCGCTGGCACAGGGTGCCCAGAGAAGCTGTGGCTGCCCCATCCCTGGCAGTGTTCAAGGCCAGGTTGGACACAGGGGCTTGGAGCAAGCTGCTCTAGTGGAAGGGGTCCCTGCCCGTGGCAGGGGCTGGAGCTGGATGAGCTTTAATGTTCCTTCCAACCAACCCAAATCATCCATGGTTCTATGATACTACCGTTCTGCTTTTTTCCTTTGAGCTGTGCAGTGAGCTGCCATGGTTGGAAATACTCACTTCTTTTTCCCTGGGTACTATTCCTAGACTTGTCCACCCTGGCTTTCTCACTTGTTGCCCACTCTGCAGCAGGAATCTCTCACATATCAAGCATGAAGAAAGTCCCTGTATTTGAAAAACTTTCTCTTCAGTGTTTTTGACCAGAAAGAAATATGACTTTTCTGCTAGCCCTGTTCTGAAAGGGTTGGTCAAGGTCTGAGCTGTCAGCAGCCAAGGTTAGTAGCCACAACTGCCTTTTTCTTGAAGGGAAAACAGTGCTTTTCCTCCTGATGTGAAATATACATTTCCCCGAGTGTTAGAGGAGGCACTTTCTTGGCTTGCAGACCCAGTGCTGGCATTCAGTGCTGAGCTCAGCCGTGCTAGTCCCGCAGACTTTCTATAACTTTAAGTAACTTAATTTTCCTTTGCTTCATCATTTCTCCCCCTTTCCTTCCTTCCTTCTCCTCCTTCTTCCTGTCCACAAGGAGGTCCAGGCTTTGACAAATGAGTTGTCTTTTAGCGTAAGGTCAAGTGATCCAAAGAGAAGGAGTTACTGTGACTTAATGAGTCAATTACGCGAGTTGTCTGTCAGCAAGAATTGACTGTACGTGTGTGTGCTCTTAGCTGGCTCCTGCTGGGCAATACAGCATGTATTAAACCAGTATAAATAGTTTACTCCAGCTTAGAGTCTGCATTTGCAATTAGGAAATGAGGAAAGGCTCCTGAAAGCAAAGACTCCGAAATAAAAACAGTTATAGAAAATATTAAACCTCTTTTTTCAGAGTGCAACCCCAGTGTCCAGACCCTTGCAGCAGAGGTCAGTGAGATAGCGGCAGGACCCTGCCTTGCAGCGGCACCTCTCCTGGGCGACTTGGGTAAGTTGTGCACTTGGCCCAGCTCCACGTGAGTAGCAAACCCAGCAAATCCCAAATACAACCAGGGGGTGGCTGTAAGCTGGCTGAGGGGGTAGAGAGAGATGAGGCAGCCCCATGCCGATGAGCTGTTGGCCGTGGCACCCAGGGTCACCATGTGAGTGGCACCGTTGCAAGACCTCAGTCTCTTTTCATGTGCCTGGGTATTATAACACTCTAGTCCAGAGCAGCCTCCTACACCACCTGCTAGAAGTGATTAGTTTCGATTGAGTTAATACCCAGTTGGTCAATATAAGTTCTGATTGCCTTCTTTGAGCTGAAAGACTGATGAAAGAAATAGGTGAGGAGTTAAAAGGTACAGCACCAGAGGCTGTAACACCCTGTCTTTTAACTCTCCCTGCGTATAATTTATAAGGATATATAGACTGTTATGGCTCATCTGTATCCCTCTAATCATTAGTGAGGTGCCTTTCATGCCCTAAAGTTAAAGTTGTAAAAGTAAAGTGTGTTTTCTACTGCAGGTCCATTTTAGCTCTTTATACAAATGTCCTAGTGCCCTTTATAATGTAATTGCTATAAATCTTGACAGTGTTATTTGTTTTGTTTTTCTATCTCAATGCAGTGTTGAGTGGAAACAGCCTCATTATCTCCCTATTTCTAAAGAGAATTCACTGTCTTTGAAAGGTGCTATATTAACAGCCCCAGAGATAGAAATTCCTGTACATACAGAAAGAGGCATAGCACAGGCAGATAAATTGAGCCTCCTGCTTCCTTGCTGTTGTGCTTTAAGTGATGGATGTGGTACTTCCCTTATCTGTCCTGGACTTGTGAGTTCAGTAGCACACAGGCTCATCCACACCTTGTCTTTTCCCTTGCTAAAGCAGTGCCAAACGGAAGATTTTGCTGAATCTAGGGAAACAAATACTTGCTTTTTACAAGCTAGGTTCCCTCTATTTTGACTTTGAGACAGCTTGTAAGATGTTGAGCCTTGTTCTTGTATTTGTAATAATCGTATCGATCGCAGTAGTCTCTGACTGTCAACTGAGTCCCCACTGTAGCAGACCTATGAGTTTTTTGAGGTCTCACTCTGATGATGTTTTTGTGGCTGTCTCTGATGCTTCCTTGCTTTCCTGTATTTGCTTTTAGACTCTCCAGCAGTCTCCAATCCCACGAGTCAACATCCATAACCCTGCAGCACCATCAAGGAGATTATTCAGGTAACATTCTTCAGTGTCTGCAGGAGCCAGCTATAGCATGCTTCAGACAGCTGAAGTTTCACTTCAACTGCCTTAAATCAGGGTGTTCAGTTTGGTTTCAAGGACGTTTAACTCAACTCATGTCAGGACTTTAAACAGCACTAGGAAAGTACGGTTGGTTACCCAAGATTCGTAAGAACTAGCTCAAAATTCAGTTGCCACATTGGGGTATGTAACCTTTTGCAATACCTTTCATTTGTTTTTGAGATATCTCGTTACATATACTGTCAGCTCTGACTCATCTGCATAGCAAAGACAAGGAGGCTTTCCTGTCAACACCCCTGTGATGCCTCATGAGATTCTGAAGCAGGATGGTCCACTGAGAAACTCCATTTGAAGCAGGTGGATGTGCAGTTGCTTTTCATATCCCAAATTTCATCATAAAAAACTTTGTTTCCTGGTGTGAGGAGGAGCCTGTTACCAAAAAAGTGTGAGAGAGACAGAACAGGAAAACAGACAGTAATAAGTAAATGGTGTTTGAAGTGTGAGACCCTCTTTTTCTTCTGCTAAACTTACCTTTCTCCAAAACAGGAATGGCTCTGCCAGCCCAGCTGCATCTTCACAGCACCATAAGGATTGCTTTAAGTCAGTCCCCAAGCCTCTTCCACAGTTGCTTGTGTTTGACGGTTTAGATAGAGCCAATAGCTTATCTCCTTCCTGCACATACCCACATGCACACACACACAGCCTCTCTCATGACCCTCCATTTCTTCAAAGATCCTTCTTAAGTACGTCTCTGGTATCACTTAAAGTCCTTTGCAGGCAAGGAATACCATTCTTTTGGCTCCAGTGAGCTTTGGCTCTGGGCCTTATCCTTATTTCAGAACAGGCTTCTTTTCTTCTTAAGAAATTCCTCTGAAGATTCTCAGAAAAGGTGAAAATGATGTTTACACCTCAGGCCTCTGCTGGGAGGTACGAGACTATCATCTATCACCATCACTTTCATGTCATAGACATTTAAAGAGTTAAAAAGTGGCAAGGGATTTTTCTAAGCCCCTCTGTAATAAAGCCCAGTTCAACAAACAGGTCATGAATATGTTTAAATCTTGTTAATTCCCTGGGAATCACCCGTGTGCTTTGCTGAATCACAGCCAAAACACAGAAAGGGCTGTATTGATTTTCTCTTTCCATGCATTTACCAGGGGGTTTAAAGACTCAGCTGTAAGTGCATGAGGCCCTGTGTCACAGAGTCACGTAGCTGGAATCCCTTTTCAGAAGAGCTATCCCCTACATGTAGTATATTTAAAATCTGTGAACACACTGTATGCTTTTTCTCTCATTTTCAGTCACCTTTTCTGGCCTGCAAAAGCCCCGTGATCCTCTTTGCACAGCTACTTTGGTTCAAAGCAATGCAGAGGAATTACTGCTTGCCTTCAGAGGGCCGGGCTTCACCTCTTCCTGGGGATTCTCTGTAGCATCGCAGCATTCCAGCACCTCAGGAAACGCTTTGCACCAGGCAGTATTTCTGTCACCAGAATGTACCTATCTACTTTGATCTTGGCAATTAAGCACCACAAAGGTTTTATGTAGATATCATTGAAAAATATATCTTGATGGGGAAAAAAATGTTCCAAGTGGATGTTTTCATTCATCGTCCATCTGCCAATCTTCCTGCTGACAGCAACCCAGCTCATCGAGAGTCCTCTCTTTTATAGAGACCCTGCTCAGAAGAGCTGTTCTGAGGCAGATCTCTTCTTTCTTTGGAATTACGCTGTGTGTCTCTTTTTCTTTGTTATTGTGAAGGCAGCTAACCACATGCATAGAAATAAAGTAAATAGTTATCTATTCTACCTGCACTTATATGCAGGTAGATCTCCAGGTGAGATTTTTTTCATCAAACAGGAGGTTGAGGGCTTGGCTTTTTCCTTAATCTCACTCTTATCTTTTAAATTACCTGATAACCAAAGCAAAGCACATCTTTCATAAAAATGGATGTTTACAACTAATGGCATGGTTTTTAAAACACAGCAATTGCCAGAGACTGCTGAATGGTGCACCCACATATGGAAGTTTTTCACAGCTTTGGAGCTAATGAGTTGTAGACATTGGCAAATACTGACTTTTTAAATTAGAGCTACTATAGTTCAAAAGAGACAGATGGCTTTATTTATAAAAAGGGATTTGAGGACCACACACAGAAGACTCCACAGAAAGACAATGTGTTGTCGGAGACCGTATATCATAAAATGAGATACATAAAACAGTTCAGATTTCAATTCCCCTTTCCCTTGTCTCCAGCCAAATCTGATGCAGCTGCCTTTTTAAATCCAGTAATATTTGTGCCCCTATAAAGCCAAGCACAAAACAAGAAGGAACATTGAGAGGTCACCTTCAGATCTGGAAATAGGGCAGAGCTCCCCTTGGGCTTCATTCAAACCCCTTTTTGTTCATTTCTGTTATTGCCAGTGTACTTCTTTCTTATCTCTTCCATTCAGTACCCATCATCTCAAACTCTGGAGGCTTAAGTTGAGTAATCAATAACTTGACTTGTTTCCTGTTGCTCCTATGGACCAAGACGCGCACAATTCCTCTGTAGAAAGGCTGAAATGACAATTTCCCAGTGTTGTACTGTGCCATCACTTTAAAATACAAGTTTGATCATAGGTTTAGATGACCCAGAGTTACTGAGTTTCCAGTTGCTGGTTTTCAGCAGAACTCAAAGCAGTAATGGCTAACAATGTGTATTGTTGGGGGCAGAGGAGGAACAAAGACATTCTTGTTCAGGAGAAGCTGTACAGTGACACAGCACACTGGAGAGATCAGAAACTGGAACAAAATGGTGTAGACATTGACAAGTTTTTCATTCACCCACAAAGCATTGAGAGTTGCACCAGGCTGGACAGAATCGAAAGCAAAAGAGCCTCACTAGAGACACTGCTTCCATGTAGAGACACAGGGGATGTGATGATAGTACAGTGATGGGTAATGGGCAGTACTCTAAAACCTGTGCTTGTTTCCAAAGGAGGATCAAATCACAAACCAGAATGGTACATAGCTGTTTGTGCTCTAAAGGGACAAACTCCTCATAGGGGAAGATATTCCTTTGCTGTTGCTGTTATTTTCTTTCCCAGCTTTCAGAACGCCTCCAACAATCTCTTTTGTGTTAGCACAACATATGTCTCCTCTGCTCTGCTGTTATCTGAATAGAATACAGAATGGAAGCAATTTCCAGAGAGCACAGGAAATATTAAGACATGCGGAAGCGCATGGGACAGGGAAAAAAAATACCCCAGCAGTTACCTGGCTTTCCTGAATGTAGTGTGACAGCTCAAATAGTGATCAAGTCGGGACTGCTTCAAACAAGGAGGGAAATTCTAACCCTTTACTTACACAAGGTGAGTTGGTTATGTGTCTCACAGCCTTAATATGTCAGTGCTACTTCTACGTTTTCTTGGTGGGGTGCCTACATCTCCTGGAAAGCTGGGCATCCTGCATGGTTGTGTCCAAGCATCGTTGCCATTTGTGGCTATTTGAATGATAAAGATAATCTGTGTAAATTGTCTTTGGATGCTGGAGGGGGACTCTTCATCAGCAGCTGTAGTGATAGGACAAGGGGTGATGGGTTCAAACGTAAACAGGGAAAGTTCGGGTTAGATAGAAGGAAGAAGCTCTTCCCTGTGAGGGTGCTGAGATGCTGGCAGAGGGTGCCCAAAGAAGTGGTAAATGCTCCATCTCTGGCAGTGTTCCAGGCAGGTTGGACAGAACCTTGGACAACATGGTCTAGTATGAAGCATCCCTGCCCATGGCAGGGGGGTTGGAACTGAATGATCTTAAGGTCCTTTCCAACCCAACCTATTCCATGATTCTATAGTCTTTCGTTCTCTAGAGTATAGGAACAGCATTGAGGTAGTGGTATGAGTCTTGCAGAGGACACCAAGGTAGTGAGGAAACTTTGAAATCTTCATCTGTTGGGGCATTCAAATCTCAGCAAGTCCCCTCAGCAGTGCCTGAGGCCAGCAAAGATCTGGTTCCTATTTTAAAAGAGCTTACTCTTTTAGGCTTACTGGCTGCTCCAGTAACATTTGCATTTGTGGGTTTAAGCGGGAAGATCTTCTCTCTCAAACTCCTGCTCTCTATCTAGTTATCATGATAGAAGGGTTACAGCCACCTTAGGTCAGGCATACCCATAGTGTAAAGAGCACTAGGCCGAATGGTCATTATCCTGTAAAAAAACAGAATTAATCTGTACATCTCCCCATTGAAAACAAGACTCAGCACCACAGGGGCAGACAACAAACTTCAAGCTGCAGGGCGAGGGAAGGTGTGTGAAGCTTAACATCGTGTAATCTTTAAATAAAGCATAATTTTGTCAATAAATGTAAGCCTTTACTGGTTTAATGTTAGACCAATATGACTCCTGGCACTAAATGTAGCTAGGGATGAAGGCAGTTAATAAGAAATTGTAGGAGAATAGTGTAACACAGTTTAATTTCTAGCAAAACATAAGGAGGGAGAAAATCCATTTATTTGAGGATTATGAAATTGCAGTGGGTTTTGTTTTGGTTTTTATTTAACAAGATTCCAGCTGAAGAGGATAAAGCAAGATAAGTGGCTGACTCAGGCATTCTGAAATGCACACTGAAGCTTTCTGTTGTAGCCTGTCATTATTCTGTGGACTTGCAAAGCAAGAAAAAATGGCAGTATTAAGTGAAGATATCATTGAAACAAACTGTTCAGTTATCAGGGCTAAAAACCAGCTTGTTTTTATTGGCCCTTGCACATTTTCATTTCGTTCTTCATTTCTTGTTATACATGGCATAGCTCTCCAGAGGGAGAGAAAAGAGACATATGGGGAACCTACTGACCTCTGCCTAGTATTTAGACTTTGTACATGCATTACTGTGCTACATGGATTTATTACATACTAATAAATAATCTAATAATATCCTAGATTTATATAGCACCTTTCTATTCCCAGAGATTCCAAACCCCTTTGAAAACAGCTGGACTTCATTGTCTTCTCACCTTGCTTTTCTGCACTCTTGGCTTCAGGGGGATTACTCTTGGTTTACACTAAAAGTATACAAGAACTGGTTATCTTCCCTCTGGACCACAGCTAAGAGGAACCACAGCAATTACAAAAGATCACTTAGAAGCATGATAAGGCATTTAGGACACAGAATGAATGAGGGGGTTTGGCATCATAGAAAACCACAATACTCTAAGCCATGACTGGAATTTGGTTAGCAGCTAATGCTCAAAACAGTTTGTTCACTCTCTTAGTCTAAAGTGGCCAACCTTGAGTTAATATTTCATGGGAGATAGGGCACTTTTGATACAGAACTGGAATCTTGTAGTTGCTCACAGTCATCATCTCACATTCATGTGGTTTGGAATATGTAAAGGTCATTTGTAGTTAAAGATCTCTTATGAAACAGTCGTTGAAAATATTATTACATTTTTTTCACTCACCTACGAAATGTGCATGTCCTGAAACGTGTAGTAGAGAGCTCAATGTCCTATAGAGTACAGTACGTATTGAGGTGGT